CCACAGATACATTGGCACGGGCCATGCGGGCCACGCGCAGCGTGGCTAGGTGTGGCTAATTCCTCAAACTCTAGTCTGAGCTAGCTGAGATAAGTCTCGCGCTGGATTCCTCTTTTACAGAAATAGCGGAGGTTCGATGGGAAAAATGAGTGGGGACGCGAGATCTCCTGATCGATTTTTCCCGCGAATAGAATGATCGCCTAGATCTTGGTTCGTCCCGATTCGGCAGGGGGAGCTAGCTTCCGGGGCCGGGACCCCCCTGGCGAGTCTCGGGTGGCCGGAGGCGAGTATAGGCTCGATAAACCGACTCGGGTGTTTGTGGTTCATCTTCAGGTACTAAGTATGTTGACCTTCCATATCTGGGGTACTTATGTTCTCCGACCCCTTTTTCATTTTATCATGAACTACCTTTCAATCTCTGGGCGTCATGTCGATTTTTTATCTCGTCGCCTGACTAGGTAATTACCCGTTGGCATGAGCATCCTCTTATGAATCTCTCTCAAATTTCATTTTTCCCCTTCGATTGTCGTCTCCCCTTTAAAAGAGCTTACCCACCTTCTGGAGGCCAGAAGTGCGGACAGAGTTCAGATGCCTTAAAAAGGGTTATACTTATGCATGGATTTCACAATTTATAGCTACCATGGATTGAACCACGTGCAACATTCTTAATTCGCATTGGATAGGTTCTATTATTTAATCAGGAATTATCAATCAACACTACCTATATTCAGTCAGTCGATAACATAACTTACATGTACTCTTCATAGCAACATAATATTTCAGCACGCTCCTCCTACAGTGTCCATATTTTCATAAAAATGAACTAATCTCAGCCCGAAACATCAAAGAGAATCGAATGGCTGAATAATTTTATGCTTCATCAAGGTTTCTCTTGACCAACTGCGCGGCAGAGCAATTATTGTCTGTTTAAATCCTACCTACGTAGTAGAAGCTGTAGTTAAAATAGGGGAAATCAACTTATAATATCTATCTTCCAAAATGTTCTGCACGGCTGATTCTATTATGAACCAGGTAGACAAACTAGACATTACGTGGATATGAAGGTAATTTCTTAAACTTTAAAGTGATACTCTAAGGCGGGTACAAAACATAACCTAGGTAAATTGTCTTGGTTGCTTTGACATTGGCGGAATCGCTATAGGTGTTGCTTATCAAGGAAAACGGCCTTGTGGCTTCGTGGATAGCAGCAGAATTCCAGCTAAAATGTAAAGTTTCGTGGTAGCTCTCACGTCATAGCCACGAAGCTTCTATCAGCCCCATTGCTGAAAGCTCTATATCTTTTCGCGGAAAACTTCTCTGAATTCTAGGTAGGTAATCTAGGTATTTTATTTCATTTCATTTCGTTATTCCCACGTAAATCCCAACCCATCCCACGTTCTTCCAACTCCCCCCTTTTCCCAAAACAGAACAACCCACTCCACGCCGTCCCTTCTTCCACCATGTGGATCATCGACAAAATCTACGACGCCCTAGTCTACATCGGCCTCCTGCAAAAACGAGCCAAGATCCTCTTCCTCGGGCTCGACGAAGCCGGAAAATCGACCTTACTCCTACGCATCATAACCAACGACCTGTACTTCACAGGCCCAACAGAAGACCCGACATCAACCGAGCTGCTCATCGGCAACAACCTGCGCTGCACCACGTTCGACCTGAGCGGCGCCCAGGAATCCCGACACCGCTGGCGCGACTTCTTCGCGGGCGCGGGGGGCGTCGTGTTCGTCGTCGACGCGCGGGAGACGGAGCGCCTCGACGAGGCTAGGCGCGAGTTGCAGGGCCTGCTCGCCGCGGACGAGCTGCGCGACGTGCCGTTCCTGGTCCTGGGGAACAAGATCGACATTCCCTTTTCGGTCTCCGAGACCGAGCTGCGCGGGCGGCTCGGCGTCGGCCGCGGGACGCGCAGGCAGCCTCTCGAGGTGTTCATGTGCTCCGCGGTCCAGAAGCTGGGGTACGGGATCGGACTGCGCTGGCTTGCGCAGCATGTTCGCGGGATCAAGTTTTGGGAGTCGCATGCCTTGCTAGAAGGAGGGGCTAAGGGCTCGTGTTTGGAAGGTGGTGAAAGGCTGGATGATTTTATCGCGGATCAGATTGGGTGGATTGATTACAAAATGAAAGCGTCTTAGGTACTTGGAAGGAGAGATCCAATGTAGATACCTATGGGCTTGTCTAATAAACACGTCCAAGCAGCCTTCCGCCTTTCAGACCATATTACCTAGGTACCTATGCTTCCAACTCATTGACAAATTCCCCCGGGGAATTGGCGCGATCATGCACCCACCTGCGGACATCATCAGGTGCATATGGCACTTCCAGTGACGGTGATGATGGCGGCTTTTCCGTCTCGTCTGTCGGGATGCCACTGTCAGAGAACACTTTCCGTAGGTTTTTTCGGGAAGAAAAATGCCGCAGATGGCTTGGGGACTTGAAGCTGTGGGATCGATGAGGCACTGCGCTCCCGTCTTCATCGCTGTGGCGGGGTTGAAAGAGCCTTGGACGGGGTTTGGAAACTTCATTTCGAGATTAGCTGTGACCCATTCGAACAACAATGATAAACCGTAAGGTAGACCAACCGGTTTCTTTAGTGCCTTCTATTACAAGCTCTCGTGGAAAGCCACTGATGGGAAGGTAAGAGTTCGCCGTGTGGGGATAGTTTCCGGATTGTAGAGACAGAGAGATAGTCGTAACGGCGACTTCTTTAGACATGTATATCACAGTATTTGGCATGTCGAACCGACCTCGAAGGTACATGTCTTCAATCTTCTTCTGATCGATGGTGTGCTTGACTTTTCCTAGGTCACTAGAATCTTCCTCTACCACGAAGAATGGCTCGAAGTGTTCTTGGAGACAGTCTCTTAAGAAGCCTCCCAAAGCCTTCATCTCGGCTGAGGAATTGGCGAACCGACAGTGAATTCGTCCTGCTAGTCTTAGCTCTTGATGCTGTGGAATTGATCCAGAAAAAAAAAAAAAAAAAAAAAAAGCAAACACCAACCAATGCATTCATAACCGTGCTCCGTAGCTTTCACTGAGTTTGGATCTTTCTCGAAAAAGAATGTGCTGACAATGAGCCTGTGAGCGACCTCTGTAACCTTCGCCTTGTTTTTATGAAGATCTTCGATCGCGGCTTTTTCAATACGCTCGAGCTGCCCGACAGCATCTAGCCGCGGAACTTCGAAACACAGGTCTGGATTGAGACGGATTAACCTCATTTTATTCATGCTAGAGATCTTGCTATAGTCCGAGGTTGAAGTTTTTGCGATGTAGTCGTCCCAGATTTTATTGCATTCAAGCAAATTGTCAAACCGACGTGCAGCTATGGTTAGTACCGAATGGAGCGAAGTCCTCTTGCGGGGCTTCGGTTTTGCATGAGATGAAGGCCACGTCTGGGGCGAACGCAGGTGGTGTTCATCAATTTCTAATCCATTCTTTCCTGTGCCGATCGAGAGGAGGATGTCTGGAGGAGACTTGCAAACGTCCGGCCAAATTAGTTTCCTCTCGTGATGCGCAACCCACACCGGGTTGTTGTGGTAGAGAGCGCCATCGAGATAGTTGTTCCGAGTTTCCTGTTTCTGGAAGGTCTTGAAGAAGGGAGGAGCAGCAGATGTGGCACGAGCTCTATTGCCATATTGTTAGCAACATGTACGTCTCAATCACTCAAATACTTACGCCTCCCACATCTTAAACTCCTTCTCCGGTTCGGTACATCTATCAAATCTGTAAGGGAGACCTGCGTGTCTCAGCTGATCGTATCATCGTTTAAGAGTATTGTCATCTCTTACAATATTCAGTTGTTCCCTGTCGATTGTAGTTGGCGAGAACTACTGCATGCTGTTTCATCTCGCTAGTTGTTGTAATAGCGACCTTTGTGGCTATTTCGCTTAGATCGTTGGCACCTCCAAACAGAGGTTCCTCTGTGAAGGCCCTCCGAAGTAATTCCTCGAACGGTCTTGTTTTAAATATGCTTCTGTGGCTTAGAGCAGTCAGATTCTTGAGAAATGGTATCGCGATCAAGTCTCGCGGTTTGAAGGCTTGAACGCATAGTTCTTTGAAATTGCGAATGCAACCGTCCACTGTCCAGTTGTTCACGCCTAATCCTAGAGCAATTATACCACCGGTGCTAGGAGGACTTAGCATTTATCTAACTATTTATCGACCTGACATACCTTGTGCCTACAATTAGGTCGAAAAATAATCGGATGGGTAGTTTCGGTCCCAGGATCTTTTCGATGGCTTTCAAGGTTTGTAGCTCGACAATACCACGTATGCCACCTCTAAAGCTATGGTTAGGAAGTTTCAAGATGGATTCCATGTGACTTACCCATCTAGACAGAGTATTCGCGTACCAGCGAATGCGGGTTTGACCAGAACGGACCGCGGTGCCTCCCAAGTTGTGTCCTGCGCATGCAACGGACAGCTCCGCAGTTCTATCGTGGTTTTCGACACTTTCGCCCCGTACGCCTCGATGCATGGGAGACATAGGACGTGACCGCAAGGCAAAGCATGTTCGGGAAGTTCGCGAAGACAAGAAAAGCATGCAGTGTGGCTTTTAAACTTATCGGCGTTGCCCAGAGAACGGTAGAACTCGTTGATCGACTTTTTATGAACCTCCGCTGCGATATGGTACTCAGAGTACTCCGAAAACTTATTACTCCGTTCGAAGGACTTTTGTAGTTCTTCGAGTTTGACTGAAATTCGTTCAATCCACTTCGGTTCATATTCATGGTAGTCGAAACTCGACTGGTAGCCTCCAAAGCCGAAGATCTTGCCACTCTCATTCTGATGGCCTTTAGGGTTATGTCCTACTCTGACATTGCAACATTGCCCGTACTTGTGGTGTCTGAAAGTACAAGGACTGTAGAGGTCTGCGAATTCCTTGAGGGCAAGCTGGCAAAATTCAACATAAGCATCATTGAGAAGCCGTGTCGTGGTTCCTTAAGGTCTGTTAGTGTCCCGTCGGATGTTCGCATCTGGTTAGGTCGGTACATTTCACTTACCCAACAAGTTCTGCCGCACAGCATCGAGCATGATACAGGATGATATCATGGGAACCATCTTGTCGAATATCTTTTCCGCGTTCCTCTGGAGGAAGCTACAATTTTGCTTGATTGCGACAGCAAGATTCAGGATATTTCCGCCAAAATCCTGCGGGATAGGATTGTGCTTCAAGGCCTCTTTAACGAAATCAAATGGTGTGTTAAGATCTCCAGAGAAGTGGTCATAAGCGGCTTGCAGGTATTTTTGGAGTTTCTCTTCTGTTGCCAACATGCGAACTCTTTTCTTTGTGAAAAGGGACTCTTGGCATTTCCCCTTTATGACGCCAAAAAGCTTTTCTGCCTGTTCATCCATCAACATGTACCTACCGTGTGATGGGACCCTAACTACGGTGACCGAGGCATAGTAGCATTCCAGAAGGTCGCGTGTAGATTCAACCTTTCGACCGGTGGCCTGCCACACACGTACATGCTGAGAGAAACGGGGTTCGCGGAAGACGGCGCCCTTAATTTCGTTTAGAAATAGGTTAGTAGCGGTCCCTGTGTCCCATTCCTTCTCATCGGCTTTATCTGTCGCATTCAGGACGATGACAGCGTGCGGAAGGGCAGGTTGGTTTAGGGACTTATCGATCGACGATGATCCCCACTGCAGGAGTTTTTCCAACACTGTCGACTCAAATGCTCTGCTATGGTCAGGTTGCCTATCGGTTTTGACTAGCAAGATGAACCTCTTACCTTGGATTCTTAAGCACGAACACGACAACATCAGAAAATGTGTACAGTAAACGAGGGTATAACTGGGCCACGGCATATTCTCGTTTCTTAGTTTCGGGAGTTACTGCCCAAACTATCTCTCTTTGAGAACTATGTCGGTTCTTCTGCAATTTATTTTTTGTCACGATATGCATAGAACTGGTATTGGCAGATTGGGTACGGCTACGGTTAGTAGAGGAGGACTGATATTGCGGTCGTGGTATTCGAGGATTTCCGCTGCCGACAGTTGTTTCAGGTCCTTGATCCGGATTCTCCTTGGCTCGATGTCCTGCACGATTTATGTTAGCGCTCAATATTTACACAGATAGGCAATACCATATTATCTGTTGGAAGTTTGAGGACTGCTCATACTTCAGGGACGATATGGAAAACAGGTCTCAATTTAGCAACCCTACCTATTCCCGAAATATGGCTATCAATGAAAGTTAGGAACTATTGAAATTACTTACTGAGTCCCCTTGGTATTGCTTCTCCACCATCGAGGCCTTCGCAATCGGCATACAGCACGGGCGCTTTAGTGTAATAGGAAATTGGGTCGGCGTACAAATGAACATCTTGCCAACTTTAGCGACTTCCTTGGTGCTCGTCAAGTAATATTTAGGTAGGTAGATAATGATGCTGCTACTCTAGAAGTCGAGGTAATGGAAGAAACATAGGGACGAAACAGACAAAGATTACTCACCACCTGTAGTCGGGACTCGGTCATTATTAGACGACGTGACAGGGGAAGGAAATGGAGTTCTCTGATCATTAAGTCTCATGTCAAGACGGTCGATTAGCATCTTGATCAGTGTACTCTTTCCAGCACCTAGTGACGTTAAATCTAATGCTCAATAAACGCACAGGACATGTAAACCTCACCTGTCTGTCCGATAAACGAGACGAGCTGGGGATATCGGTTACCGGGGTCTTGTGTCTGACTCTCACTCATCAGATTCGCAAAACGGCCATGGTCTTGGAAAACAGGTCGGCCGGCAGAGTCTCTGCCGACTCCGAACCAAGTTGTGTCGTCATCGCTTAGAAGCTCTTGCTCGTGTTCAATCTCGTTTCTAGAGGGTTCAAGGATTTGGCGGAGCCGTTGGACGACTTGCGCGATCGCCTTTTCGTGTGGCCTATTGTCGTAGCCCACGGTGCCGGGTAAGTGCAGAACCCATTGAGACCAACAGTCATTGCAGAATGAGAGGTTATTGCATTGAATGCAAGAATAAGTTCGCTTGTTTGATATTTTGCAGATGAAACAAGCGTTGCTCTGCGCCCCTGTATTCATCTTAGCCGTGTGATAATATTTCTAGAATATGCTCTATCCGTGGTAGACTCGAGGTTGGAGGAATAGCTAGTCTAGAGAGACTAGGTAGGTATATGATAATATGTAGACAAGAGTGTCTCCCCTCAGAGAAACTTACATGCCCTTCAGAAACGCAAAGAGTGCCAGCCTGCTTCGCCCAGCCGAATAAGAACCAATCGATTCCTATTGATCGGCGAAAGCTGAAAGTTGATTTTATCATCTGGCATCTTGTGCAGTTTGGGTAACCCCCAGACTTGCCATTAATTATGCCCAATGCGCCCAACAATATCAGACGTACCATACTACAGGAGGAGGAGGCAGATAGATATGTATGAAGACATCAGCGCAAGTTCTTCATGACCTTTTGGGAAATAGAGAGTGCCAGTCTGTGTGGTGGCAATGGTAACATGAGGGTAGAGATTCAAATTGAAGGCTAACACATGGCCGGGGGCGATATTAAATATGTCCAATATAAGTCCACCTAACATCATGAGTTGCCTCATTTTGTGACGGTCACTTTCTGAATAAGCAAGAGGATCCGGATTAAAGATTAGAGACGCCGGAGGAAAAGACCCTTGTGTAACTCACACGGTACCTAGGCATAGGTATACGGTAGGTGCGTCCGCTTATTCACATTTCACCTTAAGGGATGACATTAACTCCGGTTTCGTTAACTCCAGCGCCGCCTAACCCCGGCATCCCTAAATCCACAACCCAGGCTGCCGGGAGCGGGACAATTCCCCAGATCGGATCGACATATTCGTCGGACGTTACCGAGATGCCACTCAAGATCGATCCACCCGGGATAGTGACACACGGCTGCATTCCCGTGCCGTCGGTGAGATTGGGTCCCGGATGGGTGCTTTAAGGAACGGGGGAAGATGCAGAGGACTCCGGAAGAATGATGGCCAATGCAGTAGATGCGAAAACTGCGAGACATATGTCGTCTATATGATACCTCTCGTTTTTCTCGCTTTATTCGCTTCTTCAATTGCTCGTCATCAGATTCCCCTCTTCTGAAAACATACATCTATCCGCACTTTGCAGACCTCCTTTATTTCATAAACATCGGATCACCACTCCTTAAAAGCCCATCATCATCATCATGCCTTCCATCAAGGGCCAGAACATCCTCGTCATCGGCGGCTCCTCAGGCATCGGCTTCGCAGTAGCCAAGCTCGCTGCCGCCGAAGGCGTCAACGTATCCATCGCCTCGTCTAACGCATCCCGAGTCTCGGCCGCCGTAGCGAAGCTCCTCGCCGCCGCCCCCGGCGCCAGCATCCGCGGATACACAGTCGACGTATCCCACGACGACGTCGAATCGCAGCTCGAGAAGCTATTCACCGACGTCGTGGCAGCCGCGGGGCAAGCCCTTGATCACATCGTGTACACGGCCGCGGTCCTGGACGTGCGTCCCGTGAGCGCCGTGTCAGCGGCGTACCTGCGCGACAGCCTGCGGTTCGGGTACGTCGCGCCGCTGCTGATCGCCAAGCTCTCGCCGCGCTTCGTCAAGCAGGCGTACACGTCCTCCCTCATCTTCACGAGCGGCCGCATCGCTGAGCGCCCCGTCAAGGGCATGACGGTGGCCGCGGGCGTCGGCGCCGCGCTGTCCGGCATCACGCGCGGGCTGGCGCTGGACCTGGCACCCGTGCGCGCGAACCTCGTCAGCCCGGGCGCCACGGACACGGAGATGCTGGGCGAGGGCGAGGCGCGCGAGAAGATGGTCGCCTACATGACGCAGGCGGCGCTGCTGGGAAAGATCGGGACTCCGGAGGAGGTCGCTGAGGCGTATGTGTACTTGATGAAGGACTCGAACAGCACAGGTAGCTGCGTGAGCACGAGTGGGGGTGTTTTGGTTCAGTAGGGGGGATAAGGGCTTGACTAGGCGGTGGTGATGTAGGGATATTTATTTCAAATCTTAAAACCGATGCGTACCTTTGGTACCGTCTTTTTCCGGACTAACCTCGATAACCTCCTTAGACAGATCTATCTTTGTCTTGTCCAGTCCCAAATGTCTGCTTTTCTTTGCCTGTGTTTGCTGGATACCTAGGTTGACCAATCTTCAAAATTGTAAGAGTGTATTTCATTCGATACGGTATCTCAGTGCGTACCGTCGTGCAGAATGTTTGGGTCACAGTGTCAGCCCTCTCGTCGTATATACGAAGAATCCATGAATCGGATGCGTTCTATGAATTCTGTGGGTGGGCATATCGTTGTGGGTGGAGATGTGAGTTGGTTTCCAGTTCCTCAATAGTTTTATGTAAAGCGCTTCGAGGTCGAAAAAAACTTAAACAAGACTACAGCAATCAATCAAGGACTGACACGAAAGGAAAAAATAAATAAACAAAAGTAAAAAGAATAAAAAAAATGATTCGACGCAGGCCTGATTCGAACAGACGCCCCCGAAGGGATGTGATAATCCATAAGATATTCTAGATATTCTAGTCACACGCATTAGACCACTCTGCCACTGCGCCGTCATGTGAGAGGATGAAATTTTGTCCGTTAAACGGCTTTATATAGTAAGGCAATTATACTAGTGGGGTAGGGTGCATTACGTAATAGGCGGATCTACGAAGTATAATGCCCCTTTTCCCCCTCCAGCGAAAATCAGCTGTGCCCTGCCCCTACCTTTCTACAAATTGACATCTACGATAGATCCCTTACAGAGGGAAGAAACGAGAAGCAGTGAATGCCTCATAAAGAAATACATTAAGATTAAATTAATCAGATTCGAATGGACTTCGTAAAGTCTTCTGCTACTTCGAAACATGAGAATTCCTAGTAGCCCGGAAGCTGATAAGCAACGTAATAGACGTCAGGTAAATAAATATTAACAATACGGATCCATCTATCTTCACAGTCCCAGTTAAGCATTTGCTTCATACCACACCCGCTCTACCCCGAACTCGTAGTTCCAGCATGCTGCTGTTAAGTATACAACTTCCCCCCTCGAGCATACCTATTCACAAACTACCCCAACTCTTCCCATCCATTCACTCACTCACTCACTCACCCACTCCCTATTCACAAATTCACCCAAACCTCTCCCTAGCAATCCGTCTCAACCCCTCCATAACCCCCTCCTCCCGAACCCTCCAAACCCGTCTCCTTTCCTCCCTCTCCGCCTCCCTAGCCCTCTCCTCCTCCTCCCTCCTAACCTCCCTCTCCGTCCTCTTCCTCTCCGCCAACCCCTTCAACCTCTTATACTCCGCCAACGCATCCCCATCCCCTCCCCCCATCAACTCGGCTTCCCCTACTTCCCCTACACCCGGGGACCGCTCCCGAAAAGCGCGCATCTTATCCCCGACCTCGCGCTTCTTCTCCAGCGCGCGCTCGCGCGTGCCGGGCTCGGCGCGGGGAACTAGTTCTTCGAGCTGTTCGCGCTGCTGCTTGCGGTCGAGGCGGCGCTCGAGACGTAGGTCAGCCACGCGTTGGTCCCGCTCCTCTGCGGCGTTTTCGCGGCGTAGGGATAGGTCTTGCAGGCTGGGGATGCCGGGACCGTGTTTGGCGTTCGCGTTTGTATTTGTGTTTGCAGTTGAGCCTGGGGGCAGGGTTGGCCCGTAGGAGTCGGAGTCAGACTCAGACTCAGACTCAGAATCGGGGTGTTCCGAGAGCGCTGGACCGTCGACGTCTTCGTGTGCGCGGCCTTGACTCCGTTCGCCTAACGAGGGTAGTAGTGTTTTCCTAGCGTTGCCACCATCCTCTTGTTCTGCGATATGTGTGTGCATGCCAGCACCAAACCCGCTCTCCCTAGCCTCTTCCAGCGTCTCGGGCCGGTACCAGCCCTCGGCCAAGTCGCCGCGATTCCACTTACCGACGAAGCTCTTCCAGCGACCTCTGACTTCCCGCTCGTCCATCGCCGTAACATCCTTGTTCTTCTGCACTTCGAGGTACTGCGCGAAAAGCGGCTTAAACGCGTCGAGGTCGGAGCGGACTAGCGGCCGCGCGCCGAAAGGCAATTCGTCCGGAGTGCGACTAGAATGTATCGAGGGGTAGCGGTGTCGGTGATGGTGATGATGATGGTGGCGGTGATGCGAGTGATGATGGTGACGGGTCGAGGATGCCGAAGGCGAGTATTCGGCAACGCGACTCGGATGGTCTGGTTCTCTCCTTTCTCTATGCGGAGAATTGGTCGATTTAGATTTCAACTGTGACGCGTAGTCGCCTCCAGAATGCTGATGCCGATACCTATCGCGACTCCGACGTCGGGTCTCCCGCGCCTCGTCCCGCGACGACACAGATCTTCGTCGCGATCCGCGCTCTTCATAATCATATTCGTCACCGTCATATTCCCTCCTAACACGTTTCCCACCTCTTTCACCCCCATCCTCTCCCCCACGCGTTCGTTTGTACCTCGCACGCTCCTCTCCCAGTCCACGGTCCCGGGACCCGCTAAACCCTAGTTTCGTCATGATGCAACGACAGCACGTAGCCGACGTCCTATAGGATAAGTTACCTAGCGAATCGAACGTGGGATTCACGTGCATCCGAAGCCGGGATCCTAGCGTCGTTGTCTTCTAGTGGCTCCAGGAGACATTTCCTGTGTTTCGGTCGTACAAGTTGACAGGCTAATAGTAAGCTCGGGATGGAGAACGGCATGCGTACTTAGATGAGGTAGCATAGCATTCGATAGTTCTTGTCGGGAATTTCTAGCGCCATGTGGCATGTGGCATGTGGGGGGCTTCAACCAAGGTCGGATGCGCTACAATAATTACATAATTATGTAAGCTGGTCATCAAGGTCTTGAGTCTTCTCTTATGCTCGACAATCAGCAGAACTGTATTACTAAACCATGCACTTAAAGACCTACCCTGGTTGTTGCAAAACATACTCAATCTATCCGCATCAACACCAAACTAAACCATATACTGTAGGCAACATACACATATTCAAGTAATGCGAGCACTCAAAACGAACTGGGACGAGTTTTACTCGTTTATATTTACAGCTATAATAGCAGTATGTAGTGGAGTATCTTCCATCTCGCCAAAATTTCAGTAGAGACTTGAGAAAGTCCGTGAGCAAACCCGCTCGGTCAGCTAATTTCGAACGCGTATATAATCGCTAGCTAGGTATCATTTCATATCTTCTCAGTCATCTTTCAAGCAAGTTCCATTCCGTGAAAATTCGTTTTTAATTCAGAGCCAGTCGTGACTCTTCCAACCTCGCCGTGTTTTGTGGTGTTTATTCTCTCTGCCCGATCAAAAGTCCGGAACGAGGATTAAGGCCCGAGTCGAATCAAACCCGATATAGGATGTAGGCAGCCTGCAGCTAGATCCTGCTCATCAGGTTCGACTGGGATTCCCCTCTCGCCGGAGAGGTGCCAGTGATGCCGATTGGAGCCTGATGAGCACAGAAAATCCCCACCTAGCGGGTATGCCCGCAGACGACCGTCCACCAGCTCGTTGAGAATGTGATCAATCATCCTCTATCTCACCCAGTTCATAGCTGTCGCATCTTCGTGCTGATCTGTAGCTCATGTGGGAAAATCTCGAAATAGCTTCTCTGATATCATTTCGAAATCGTGTTCGTGTCATTTTCATCATTTGCCTTGGTCCCTTCATATATCCGCTCAGCTATATGTGTTTCAAAGCTTGATTGTTGGGCGTCTCAGCAATTATCCTCAAGGATATTCTCCACTCGCTTCATCGATCTATAGCTCCAGGAAGAGGTGTTATGTATTCGAACACCAGGTTATGCCTCTGTCAGTTTGGCGTCTTATCATGAAGTCCACCAATACCATGTCCGGCCATCTTGTGATCTAAGGGGTCGCGGTGAATCAAGCAATTAACGCACGCACAATCATCTCCACAACCACACATACCACTACCATAGTCCACAAACAAAAATTCGCTGGGTGAAAGATTGAGCTCATTTGCACCCGGGGAGTCTGTCTCAGCTGGACTGTGGCTGGGTGGTGGCGATGCTTCACCCACTGCCAGCGGCGGATCAGCTATCGGGGTTGGGGTGTCTATATTGGCATTCCCCAAGCTTTCTTGTAAAGCCATGGCTTCCCGAACATATTGAATGCTAACCTGGTTGTATGGATGAGATGCGCATCCGAGACATTCGCACCCAGGGCCGCAGTCGCATACGTGATTCGTATAACTGGGTCCTCCGTTTGACCCCGACTGAGGCAAAAAATTTGCCATCAACTGCTCCCACTGAGCCTGCTGGAGAGGCAGCTGTGGAGTTCCGAACGACAAATGGTCCGAGTAAAGTTCCGGTTGTGTATAATGATTGACGGGGTATAGCTGCTGGTTCACGCTGACCTGAGCGGAAACTTGCTCCATCATATGTCCGTTACCCAATGGGACTTGAGGTGCGTACCCCATCATATTCGGCGACTCTCGAGGACCGCTCTGCAGCTGCTGACCTTGGAACTGCATCCGGTTCGGCACTTGCGGGGGTTGTTGTGTTCGCTGGGAGCAACAACTACCGGGCGTCTCCAATGATAATTCCTGAGACGGCTCTCCGTTACTGGACGTCGGCGTATGATAGGGGGAATCCGATGTACCAGGCGTGAGTGTACCTGAACTAACTGTAGAATGGTCCGATATGCCATTCCCAGAAGATAGGTTTGGTACTATGTCAAGACCACCGTTCATGTGGACAACTGATGAGTCCAAAGCTCCTTCGAGACGAGAGGTCATCGATGGATACGTCGAATATGGGTTAGCTCCGTTCTGCAAAGGCGAAACGAAACTTCCCCAGTTAGATGAGGCCACTCCGTTTGTGCTAGACGCCAGATATTCATTTGCACCATTCTGTAGATTCAGATTGTTTGAGTCCATGCGCTGTAATGCCGCAGACGCATCCGAAGACTGCTTTCGACTCGGCTTTGGCGTCGGCTTCTGTACTCGAAATGATGCTTGTTTTGTAGGAGACAACGGTGCATTGTCTGGTGGTTCGGCTTTTACCAGAGTTGGGGTTCCATTGCTCTTGGCTCCTTGGGAGCTACCACAACGGCACGTTCCTCCTTTCGGGATCGCAGCCGTCACACTGCGGCACTGGCAGCTCTTGCCTGGCGGATGAGGACACGTACTAAGCGGTCGACCAGGCTTGCGAACGGGCACTAGCATACGGTCTCCTCCATGAGCGCACTTCGTCGAACGGTGGCCTCGTATGCATGGCTCGCTAAAAGATGGGATGAAAGGTTAGCGATGGCAACTTCAATCCGTCCGCCTCCTCAAATTATCAGACACCCATGTCGGTTACACCGGCTGCCAACATCGAATAGAGATGGTTTGCCAAAAGAAGCGCGTCAAAAATTAGCGCGACAACCTGCAGCCTTCCGAGACCATCCAGGAAGTACTGCGTAGATTAAAGACGACGAGACAGAAAATTGTTTAACGTACCAAGCCATTTTTTGTCCATTAACGATAGGCATTTTGGACAATATCAAAGGTCGATGCCAACGCGACGGGGACTCAGGTCGCGCCTAGGCAATGGGACAGAACACCGTTGACCATGTGAGAATCGTAGACACGGCCTCCAGGACTTCTAGCTCGAACTCTACCTGAGATATCAACTGCCGAAATCCTAGTCGGTTCCAACGAGCACGGAGATCCCTCTCATAGGCGTCAATACGCACGAGTGATAAATGCGCTCCTTATGTGCCGTGCTCCGAAAAAAAGAAAGGCTTGACGGGTACTTCGGTATAAGATGAAAGTGGCTGTCTTCGTACAACTTGAGCCTTGAGAATGACCTCAAGTTTACCTAAAAGCGGACACTCAGGGTCCCACAAGAGCCTTGAATAACCCTATATGTACCAGAAGCTTGGGTCACTATATGGATATCGGTTAGGTAGGTGAAGAGTCTATATAACGGGGCTTCTAGTGATGATGTATCCCTGGAAAGTCTGAAGGCGGACGGATGAAGTTTAAACTACCCGGTTAATGATCGCAATCCGATGTGGCTCGACTGGGATGGAGGTGAATTGGAGCGATGTGAAGGCGGAGTACCTAGTAAGACGGACTAAGGAATTCGACGGCGCAGAGTAACGGTACTCTGCTCAAAACGTACGCCTTTGGGGCCAGTGGTTTGGGAGACGTTATGGTTATGGTTATGTTTATGGCTTGCAAACGTCAAAACGTCGACGAAGTCGAATGGTAAATGGATGTAATGTGAGTTACGTCCGATTCCTTCAGGATGAATCCGCCAGAAGAGCCGGGTCGACTTGGATAGTATGTTTGTCTGTTGTAATGGTCGATATGGAAGAATAATTGTCCAGGGAGGGGAAGGGGGATAAGGACGAGTGTTCCTCGTCCGATTTTCCACATGTAACGTCCCCAGCCAACAACGTTAGTAGGCGTACCAAAGTGGTAAGCCTCCTTATGAATCGAGGCTGGTGACAGGACGGGCGGAATACAAAGAACGTATACTCCGGGGAAGCTTCGGTCTTGCGGTCTAGGCGGGCGGTAAGAAGGATATTTCAACCACGGAGCCGGGATTTAATAAGACGTTAGTTTGTCCAGAGAATGTTTGGGTTTCTATATATGTGTGTATAATGCGTGGTGAAATCAGAGGGTGTTTGTAGTGAAGGAGATTTCCTATATATTGCCGGCAACTACAAGTTGCTAGTTGATGTGACTCGTTAGATTTCTCAGTCCTCCGGGAACTTGGAACTTGCTGTTGGCCTTTGGTATTCTCCAGTTCGTCGTTGCACCGAGTGACCGAAGCCGTTTCTTCCAATGGAGAGAGTCTAGGTCCCACCACAATAAGATTTCAAACCAGAGACATCTGGTGGTCTGAACTCACGGGAAAAGGGTCAAAGGGTTTTTGGTATGCTCTCTTAGCAGAAGTGAAAGATGATTGGGATGGTGAGTGTCGTGTTGGCTGTGGGGGTTTCCCAAAACGAGCAAGTTTTGATTGGCTGCTTCCGCTCGAATGGTGCTGACTTCAAGTTAGATCCTTCACTTCCCCTACCAAAGAGACAGGGGGTTGGCCAGGCTAAGTATCAATGTACCTACTAGGGAAGGGAGAACAAGGTATGTACTTGCAGGACGCGCTAAACGGGGAAAACACGGGAACGCAAAGGGTCCTGCAGAAGATGCGTATCATTTACGTCCAATGACCACCGAATTCGAATTTCTGAACTTGCTGATGGAGGGGCTGAAGAGGGGCATTGCCGAAAAAGTCGTGAACTCCAGGCTTGGGACTCGAAGGAAAAACGTGGGGCTGCTGCTACGTAACGCTACCGAGCGTCTCCAGAACATCAGGGCTCAGCTCTGCTTAGGTAAATACATACCAGGCCATAAATTTTAATTTTATTGTATAAACTCTCAACGCGCAACTGCCACGAAATAAAGTCGCATAATGGAAATATGCGTCATATGGACTGATATTTGAATTTTCGGACCAGGCAGTTGACATGTCGTTTAGGCCACAGCTTAGACCAGGTGGTCGTTGAAACATGTTATGATTTATGATAAAACTTTCAATGACGACAAGCAAGGGCGAAGAAGGGATTTACCCATTTTATTACCTGTTCGACCTAAGCCGTGTGTAGCTTATCCTATTTAGGTAGTGGTTCCTTAGCGTATGACATGACTTGGCATACGTAGATGTTTGTACCTGTCGAAGTAATACATAGATCTGGTCCGAGTTGCGAACCCTAGACAGGATAAAAATAAATAGGGCTGTCTGGCTAGAACATACATATTTATCTACACTGGACTTACACCTCTCGAAAGAATTTTCAGAATCTCTTAGAACCCAGAAATAGGCAAATCCAAGGGAGCCGCTGCTACATTCCATGTTTATTCCACAGTCTGAGTAGATCATCATGTACCTACATACCTAGGTAAGCCAATTTTATATACGTACTTATAAGTACCTTGGTATTCTTGGAAACTCCGAAGACTCCAGGAAACTACACACACCTCAACGTGATATCGTATTCGTGAGCACCTGTCTATCATAGATTGAGTTCCATGCTTTGACTTTCTATTTGAACTTGGATATTGTTATGATACTGGAGCAATGGCTAACTCGCTCATATGGTAAAAGTTATTTGTTGTATGATTTGTACTGGTAACTCAATCTTAAGCTTTTAAACTTGGATCTCTATGATGCTATGTAGTTGTTACTCGATATCATGAGCAGGTAGATTTGACTTTGGAAGGTCTTTATAGACAATATATGGCGAGGTCGAGGTCAGGTACATGTCTACCTCCTGAAGGTACATGTCTACCTCCTGAAATATAAGAAAAGTTAAAATGTCGATCTGATGAAGACAGCTACACCACTTGACCCCTGAGCTACGGACCATACTGGCTCAGTACTGTTCAGTGATCACATATCGTTTTGAACTGTGAATTCAAAGCAAGATTACCACTCTGATTATCACTTCGAGTTACACTTGTTCACAATATCGTAAACGTCCCTCGACATCCTACAAAAAGCGACACCCCTTCACGTCTAAGCGTACCCACCCTCAGATATCACGACAGCATCTGCTGACCAATCACCGGAACAATTTGAATTAGAGTTTCGCCTATTAGAGTTTCGGCTTGAACCTTAGCGGGAGTGGCTTCCGAAATTAATCCGAAACTCTATCTTAGGGAGGAGCTTGCTCGTGATTGTTGCAAGTTTGTCGGATGCAGTCGCCTATGTTCATCAATGGGAGTACCTAGGTACTAATACCTGTTATTGAGTATATCCTGGAACCTGTGAATCAGATAGACGATATTTATTAGTGATATCCTTGGTTTCCTGAAGACAACAATGGATTCAACTTCAATATCTCCTATGTAACGACCGGCTCTTTTGTCGTTGGAATTGAGTTTCGCCGCAAACTATAAAGGGATACATCTATACCTCGAGGACATCAGTGACGAAATTGTTGTAGGTATCTCTGATACCATTGAATGTTGAGTAGAACAGGTTGTATATCACAGTGAGATAGCATGACCCATATTCCAAGTTGTGTAGGTGTCTATAGCCGATGGACCAGAAAATTTGGAGATAGGAGACTCGTTGAATTTATAGAGCTATGTAAGCCAGATAGATATGTCTGAAGCTTTACTCCCGACCATATTCGCGTCTTAGGCTTCATGATACAGCTTGTCCTCCTGGTTGAGAATGACAACCAGTAATTAGTGGGTTTTAATCCCTTTCTTCGAAGCTGTTGTATATTCGATTATGCTCTCAACGCAGCTCATACAGGATCCTTCCACCACTAAGCCTTATGTACCAAGACAGCAAGCTCCTTCGCCAACCGAGACCAATCGCCCTCATCAATGACTACATGTATCATATCGTCATGTCCCATTATCGGAGTTATCGGAGTCAGCAAACATGTCCACAGCTCTCATACGTCTCCTAGGCTGTTGGGCAGCCGCCGCTTGCTCCTTAGATGAGCCGCTCGTTTCGGGGTTTCCAATATCTTCGCCGCCCTGCCGCCTCTCGTTTTCTTCGTTGCGAATTTCTGAGGATTTACCAGATTTATCTGGTTCCGCAAGACCCAGGCCAGTCTCGTCCATAGGTTCCCCATCTTCGCTATCATCCATCGGAACTCCATCAATATCGGTATCAAGATCTTCCTCGTCCATAGACATGTACTCATCCATAACTTCACCATCCACTTTATCATCCTCTCCCCTGAACTCATCATTATTGCGCACCTCCGTGCTCGCAGACAATGGCACAAATCCCCTGGTTTCGCTCTGGACAACGCCCGAGCCACCAGTCTCCAGTGTTTTCCATTTATTCTTCTTGGCTACTTCGTCCACCTGCTCCTCCTTCTTTGCGCTAGGCGGGTTCTCGAAAGTTTCGGTGAAAAGCTGCTGGCTCTCATGTGGAAATGCGCACCATCCCTCCCATAAACTCAGTACCAGTTTAACACTCCGTTTCCATTTATCTGCCCTGAGACGACCCCAATTAAGACGTTCTGCCATGAGGCCCAAGTTTTCAAAAACTTTGCCATCCTTAAGTGACGTGTCGAAGAGTTGACGGAACCGCCAGGCATGTCGTACACCGCTTGCCGCAGCAGCTGAGAGGATGTCACTCACAACGTATAGCCCGATAAGGCTTGCGGCGCTTGTATCCTGGATATCGGTGGGCTTCGTGCCCGAGTCTTCGGGGAAAGGCGTCGAGTTGTGCGACTCGCCATGGTCTTCCGAATCCTTGCTAGCTCTGCTGTACTCGGGGTTTGCCGACGTCAATGAGAATGGCCTGACTACGTTTTCCACGACCATATCCACTATCTCATCCGCCCCCCTACTCGCATGGGTGATTGCGAAAGTAGTCACCCTGGCAACATCGCCCTTCCGTATTCTCGTTAATGTCGTCGGTAGGCGAGCCAGTAGGTGTGTTAGCCTCGCTTTGTCGAGTGGATTTAAGTACGTGACTTCGTCGTTGTCGTCCCTATCTGTTGCTCTTTGCCCATCGTCGTCGTAGTCCTCCTCGTCAGACGAGTTATACTCCGGATCGGATACAAATTCGTCAATAGCGGTAGCATATTCATATGACAAATCTTTCTTGGGTATCCTCCATGCATGGCTACCTTCGAAAAGTGGTATGTATTTCCTTTTCCCAGCACTAGCATCACCGCCCGTGATAACCTGCCATAGCCGCCATCGATACCAAACTCCACCTTCGCTGCGCGCATCCCAGAGCCAGGCCCATTTCTCTTCTCTTTGTACGTCAGGTCGCGACATCAGCAATGCTTCGAACTCTGGGCCATGCGCCAATACCGATTCGACGACTTTGTGGATAAGCTGAAGTTGTTTAATATCTCTTGGCGCTTGGACTGGAACGTGTAGCAATACTCGATTTATCGGGCCTCCACTTGGTTCGTAGGATGTTGGTGGAGCAAAGCCGCGTTGGAAACCGCCTGGATGATGAGGATTATTACCATTGGCCTGGGGAACCGGCTTTGCGCCAAAGGGTTGAGAGGTTGCCGAGGACGTGAAACTCGATGTGACCGCAGTAGACGTTACGGCCGACGATAAATGTCTATGTAGTGATAGGTAGAAGCCATAGCCTAAGTACCGATTCTGGAGTGAGCTGACCGCAGCGTCGATGTCGGTTGCGGGCGTCTCTTTGGACAGTGTAACAATTGCTGCTATAGATTTCCTCTCTGAAGTCCCCGAGGCGCTGGGCGGTAGGATCTTGACATTTTCTATGGTTAGACTCGCCGGCATTAGGGCCTTGATAACTGCAGGCGAAGTTACTGGTGGGAGGTTAGAAAGACGGAGTGTCGGTTTCGCAATAGCCTTCTGCTCAGCTAAGTCCCTAGATCTTGGGTCGGCCTCGTCATCGCTCGTATCGAATACCTTCGAGATACCCTTCGGCTTTGGCGCGCGGCCACCATCACTAGTATCGTCATCGTGGAATCCGAGTCGACCTCGTGTATCATCTGCACCTCTTCTACCGAACCCTTGCTGATTTGTATTCGTCTCGAACCTCCTCTTATTAACAAATGGTGTCGGCGCGGGACCCAAAGACCCAGGACCACTCTTCAACCCGGACGGGGCGCCAAGCCCAGCACCGAAATGTCTCTTCGGTGGTGGGCCTCTACCTCCTTCTCGACCGAAATAGCCACCCTGCTGACGAGCACCGAACGCGTTGTGTTGGTCCGCGGTAGCGCCCGCATCGTCGTCGTCGTCATCGTGGTCGAAGCTCTTCACAAAGCTCTCGTATACTGCGGCTGTTTCGGCAGCTTCCCTCTTTCGTTTAGCTTCGGCATCGGCCTTCTGTTTTTCGAACGCGGATTGTTTCGATGGCTTTTGGAGCTTCGCCTCGAGATCGGGGAAGTCGGCGAGTTTCTTCTTGGAAGACATAATAAGAAAGGGGAAAGGGGAAAGGGAGAGAAAGGGCCACTTCAGGGCTATGTGGGATATCGCATTCTATTAGTACGGTTTTCTCGCGTTGTTTGCTAGACAAGAGAAAGGCCAAGATGAGAAGGTTTTGAGAAGGTTATGAGAAGAATGACTTGTGTCTTATTACTTTGTTCGGTAATGGAAGCGCGTTCAAACATTGGCAGATTGGTGACATTGGTCAGATTGATCAGATCCGGTCACTGTTAGTTACCCAAGGCTAAATTACAGTGCCCACTTACAGTCTTTAAGTCAATATTGCACTGTACATATCGCATCAACTTTTATCGCACCTACCCCGCCGAACCCCTCCACAGGTACGACGGGAACACAGATACGCAGCAGATACGCAGCAGATATGCAGCAGCTATAAGCCATTGCCCTCCGATCATGCGGCGTCGCCGGTCAAAGGCGCCCTTTTCTATCAGAGTTGTGGATACTAATAGAATCTGACTGTGGAGTATAAGAGTCTTATTTCCCTCAATATCGGCGAAGGCATTGTAGATACATACCTAGTAGATATATATAAATAATTCAATACCATTCAAGAGCCGAATGTAATGTCTCACAGACGTAACCACGATCAGTCCATCAGCTACTCCTTGTGCTATATTAACTACCACCATTGAATGTCACCACACTCAACCCACCTCCAATCACCAGCCAAGCAGCCACCCCAATGGCGTCAGCACTCCCAATGAAAGACATCCTCTCGTGCGCCGCCCACATCCTCCCAGACATCGCCCAGACGCAGATCGACCCTCCCGAGCAGCCGAAATCTTCCTACTCCCCCCCATCCAGCATCCTCATAATCGGCGCCGGCGTCTTCGGCCTCAGCACCGCCCTCGCTCTAACGCAGCGCCCAGAATTCACCCAAACCCGCATCACAATCCTCGACCGATCCCCCGACGCCGGGATCTTCCCCTCCCGCGACGCCGCCTCGATCGATTCCTCGCGCATCATCCGCGCCGACTACGCAGACCCGTCATACGCCAAGCTCGCGTCGCAGGCGCAGGCGCGCTGGCGCGAAACCGACCTCGGCCGCGATGGACGGTACACCGAGTCGGGCTTCGTGCTGGCTGCCGACGTCGGGCCCCTCGCGCGCGACGACGGCTCGCCCACGGGCATCGCCTACGCGAAGAAGAGCTGGGTGAACGCGATGGCGCTGGCGCAATCCGAGGGACGACCTTTAAGCTCCGTGCGCCTGCTGCCCGGGGCCAAGCCGCTCGCGCGGGTGACGGGTGTGGGCGAGTTCGCGGACTGGGGGTACTTGAATGAGGCTAGCGGGTGGGCGGATGCCGAGGCGAGTATGGCTTGGTTCTACGAGAGGGTCGCTGAAACGGGCCGGGTGACCTTCGTCAATGGGACGGCGGAGAGCCTCGAGACGAACGAGGCGGAAAAACGAGTTACTGGGGCACGGCTTAAGGACGGTAGTACGATCTCGGCCGACCTGGTGATCGCGGCCGCAGGCGCCTGGACGCCTACGCTTGTGGACCTTTCGTCGCAAGCTATAGCCACGGGCCAGGTCCTCGGGTACATCGATCTTACAGAGGAGGAGCAGACGAAACTCGAAAAAATACCGGTGATTCTGAACTTGACAACAGGCCTCTTCGTTATCCCTCCTAGGAATCGCGTGCTAAAGGTTGCGAGACACGCATTCGGGTATCTGAACCCCAAGACGCCTTCGTCGCCTCCGCTAGGAATCCCCGGCGACAAGTCGTCCCTCAAGCCCATCTCCCAACCCTTCACACATCTCGACGACGCCTCTCTCGAGATCCCGGAGGAGGGCAAGAAATCGCTACGAGAAGGCTTGCGGAGGATACTACCCTGGCCGGAGTTGCAGGAGCGGCCATTTGCACGCACTCGCCTGTGTTGGTACACTGACACCGCTACGGGAGATTGGATAATAGACTACCATCCATATTGGAAAGGACTATTTGTTGCTACAGGAGGGAGTGGCCATGCTTTCAAATTCTTACCAGTCATTGGTGACAAGGTGGTGGATTGCATTATGGGTCAATGTCCTGTAGAATTTCAACAGAAGTGGAAGTGGAAGCCAGTGGATGACATCGAGAAAGCTATAGTAACACACGATGGAAGTAGGGGAGGACAGCCAGGGCTCATTCTAGATGACGAGTTCAGTAAGCACGAGTAACTGAAATCGCAAATCAATCTTCACAGAAACATTTCACCAAATATGAGATGCAGAGTTGTAAGACAAAAATATTAAAGGGGAAAATGATGCAATTATAGACTCTACCTAAGGAATAACCTTAAGGAACAACCATCCGCGTGAAGTCCAGGTGCCGATTCATGCTAATGTCGGCCAAGAGGCCAGACAAGCAGAACAATCACCTAGGAAACTTTTGCAACCTTGTCGACGGATTGGTGCTGAGCTAACTGCCAAAATCACCCTTTGTCAGGAGGCATACAGAATGAGTTCCTCAAGAGGAACCATTCACCCCACTGATGCTTTAAGTAAAGCACAACTAATACCGAATCAAAGCTCGGCATAGTACAACCTCCATGTGTGCACCTAGTCACCAACTGTGCAACACCTCAACCTTCCTCCCAGGGCTCGAATTAAGACAGCACCTTCGACCAGCGTAAAATGCCATCGGAGAGTACCGTAGCGCGAATCATTGTCGTCAATCCGGCTCTTAAATAGAAACGATTTTAGGTTTTTTTTTCTCTTTTCCATAAACTCAGTTCGTCCTTCCCGTAGAGTTCCTTCCCTTTATCAACGCCAGTGCCATGCAGTCGAAATGCAAATGATACAGGAGACGTGAATGTTCGGACTGTGACCTGTCCAAATCAACGCGTCGTGAATCGTGAAACGATAGTCATGAAATCGTCAAGTCTTGTTTGTAATTTACAAATCCCATCGGTGGTCTAAGATGGGATGTATGGTGCAGTCTGAGTAAATACCCACCGAGGGCTCAGACCGGTAGGGCCAGGCCATTAGACCTTGCGGAAATCTGCAAGATATTAGAATTGTTTTTTCAACCAATGTGGGTTGATGGTACGTACCTTGGAGGACGGGATAAATCATCTCGAAGGCCTGGTAAATCTCTTCACGGATCTTGGCACCAGTCAAGACGATCTTGCCGCTGACAAAGATCAGAAGCACGATCTTGGGCTTGATCATACGGTAGATCAAGCCAGGGAACAACTCAGGCTCGTAAGAGCTGAAGTTGTGGTGGCGAGAGGCCAAGCCCTCAAGGCGAATAGGGAACTTGATATCGCAGCTGCCCACAATATTCTGAATCTTGAAGTCCGCGAACTTAGCATTGAAGCCGAGCTTCTGAATGATACGGGCGTATTTGCGCGAAGCAAGCTTGGAATCATCTTCGGACTTGGCGCCAGTAACCACCATCTTGCCCGAAGCGAAGATAAGCGCTGTGGTCTTGGGATCACGAATTCGCATGATCACGGCAGCGAATCGCTAGGCCAGTTAGCATATGTTCTCTCAAAATCTACAATCCTTAGTAGGCATGTAGTACCTTAGGGTTGTATTCCGCATTGCGTGCATGGAGAGCGATGGTCTTAAGGTCAAGACGACACTCGAGGTTCACCGTCGCAACAATGTTCCTTGACATGCATTGTAAGTTAAGAAGTTTACCCATCAGGTACGAGCGATACATACTGCAAGGTAGGCGTCAAGCCACTTCCACCCTGGACAGCAGCAGGGGTGGCAGCGGGCGTAGCGGGAGTCACCCCAGTGCCGTTAGCCACCTGCTGGTTGCGCTGGCCATTGGCCTTGTCAGCGTCGAAAGGCGGGGTGAGGCCACCGTGACCTGCGAGACCGCCAACACCACCAGTCATGGAGAAGGAGTTAGGCGCAGTGAAGGCCTTTGCCTGAGCGGCAGTAGAGGGGTGGGTCTGGATTGCATCCATTTTTGCAGATGTACACTCAAAGGATCGAATAAATCAATTGAGTAGTATCGCGAAAGATGATCTAATAGTGAACGTTAGAATCAAATCAATTGATTGATTGAGTTGAGTGCGTGAATGAATGTGTGAATGAATGCGCGGATGAGAGATTGGTGGAAAGAATGGGTAGAGTGAAGTGTTTGGTTGGGTTTGATTTCAATGAAAGTGGTCAGTTGGGAAAATCGCGTTGAAAAAATAAAATAGAAGGGAAGGTTTTGGTGCGCAATGCCACCTCGTCTTAAATAGTTTTCCACAGTTCGAAAGTTGACGCCAGAATCAGCAAGTGGGGCAACCGAAAATTCGGGCTATGAGTCAGTGTGATGGTGTTGTGATGGGCGACAGTGCTGGGTAACGGTGGAAGTGCGTATATGGAAGATGACAGTAACCGACAGTATAGTTACAACTTTATTCTACAGTTCGAACATCAAATTGCAAGGGTCGGTGACGAAAGTGAAGGAGTCAGCCTTACCACACGGCGTGCAGGAGATAAACAAGTAAATGTCTCCCCAACACAATAAAGGCTGGTACGATGATAAGGTCGTATAAATCTTTCGATCAATCGACCAAAGGGCACACACACGTAACGTAGATCTTAGATGTCAAAGGCGGATCACTTCTCGATGGTATCAGATCGGAGAAGGTCGTAAGCTTTCCTTCCGCAAATTCGAAGTGCAAGATGCTCGAGTGCAGTCGAGGTCGAGGTATCTTGTGAAGGATTCGACAACGACGACGGCGGGTACTCGATATCTAGCGACGACGGTATCGGGAAGGTAAATCCTCAACCTCGGTATTTCTCTTCTTCAAAAACTCGACTCTATTGTTGGTCTATCTTGGTTCTTGACTACACTGCACCGTGACCCGTGCGGCGTGCTATTAGAGAATGGGGTGAAGTTGGTAGGCTTTCTTCTTGATGCGACTGCTCGAGTCCTAGAGTAGGCGAGCGACAATGGAACAAAGGATGACCTTTAGTTACTTTGTCAACTCCTATACTGATTTAGCGGGGGAGTGCGACGAGAACGAAAAGTAACCACTTGAATGTGTCCAAGTGAGACTTGAGGATTAGGTAAATGACAGTGCACGGTTGACGTTGAAATGATGCGGAGAGGAAGATGGAAAATGCAGATCGGAGAACCGTTTAAATAGTGTGGGGATGAGGGTTCAGGTTTATTATGTGGAGACAGACCGGAGGAAGGTACGTACTCTCTCGGAATCAATCACTGTCAGAAGAGAAAGGTGGGGTTCAACAATCAATGACGATGTTGAATGAGGGAAGGAACAATAATAAATTATTAGTTGCCAGGCGTTATCGATTGACAGTGCGGGCAGGCAGCTGGCAAGAAACGGTGGCTGGTGGTTTGTGGATGGTTGTGGCTGAGGAGATAAGAAGAGAGAGGGGACCTTCGGGTCGGGACTTCCGCGGGCAAGATTTTTCGAAACATTGAGGTAGAGGGGAAGCCGCCCAATTTATAATTTTTGAAGCAAGCGCCTTCGTGTACGTGTGCATTGACTTTTAAGTAGGGACGCCCCAGTGTGGCGGGAGCCCACAACTTTTTGCTCCTTGATTCCCACCCTTAGCGGCCACGCTAGTATCAATCCGTCCAATCATGTCTCGTCGCTCGCCCCTTATTTTATCTTCCTTAATCTTTTTCTTTCCTTGCTCATCACTCTAAGTTCTCACCAAGTCTTTTAATGTTCCTCGTAGTCACCTTTTCCATCATGAAAACCATACGCGTCTCGCCAAACATCGCATCAACATGACGATATTTTCCATTCATATCATATTAATACGATCGCATCAGAAAACCACCGTCACAACCTCTGGAGGATCAATTAATTTTTTTTGAACGTCCTAGCCGACATAATTATTGATCACGGCCTCGTGACGCTCTCCGGGGTGCTGAGATGCATGACTCGGTCAACTACCTACGGAGTGCTAGGAGTGGAAGCATCGTCAGTCAGTGTCACAGATAATAGCCCACACTGGGCTCTAGGCTTGGTGACCAACAGCCACCCGTTCAGGCTCTTAAAAAATCTTGATGGGTGGGTGTGGGCAGAAATGGGGTTTTTAGACCCCAACCACACCCTGCAAGGCCTAGTTTGCTGCCACCCTAAGACTTCTAAACCACCCCTTCCCTCCCTGAAACGCACACAATACCTCCTCTTTTACCCCTATTCTCATGCTTTTTCTCTTCCTTCGCCACTAATCATCTTAGTCTCGCTCAGCTTCCGCAGTATTACCCACCTAATCGGTTTTCATCGTGAATGGATATCCCAAACAATCTGAAATCCCAAACAATCAGCAAAGAAAGGTGTTACGCGTACATACAAACAGATGGCGGTTCTTTTGCCATAATGTGCGAGTAAACGAGATGGCGGCTTGTAGGCTGTGTTGCTGTCGCACTCAGCCATCCAGCCATTCTAACCTATCCTACTTCAGAAATATTATTCTTTTTTTCCTCGTTTGGGCTGCGATGATCCCTCTTCCCTCTTCCCGCTGATCAATTGCAGGTCTCATTTCGGTGGTTTCGGAGGTACCAGCCGCAACCGCAATCGGAGAATGCCACCACCCTACCTTCGCCAGGGAGTCCCTAGCCAGTTAATTATCACTTCACGTCTTATGGAGTGACAAACACCATCAAATATTGACGAGCAAAATCAACCTCACCTACAACATACGGTTTCCGACGTCGGGTTGCTTCAACTCCTAACGGTCAAGAAAGCTTTTTATTCTCTCATCTCGTGCGTGCTTAAATGCGCATTTCCCGTTGCTGAAGGCTGCTGGAGTTAAGGTTGATCGGTCCTTGAAAGCGACCATGGTACAGTACATCGCTATGAATACGCACTACGCTACTGTAGTCTGTTCGCTCTCCTCACTGTGCTGCTGTGGTAAACCGTGGCCATTATTTCGTTTCGTATTTTGTCGGTACACAGGGCGGGACCTAGACCTACTACGTAGTAGCAGCCTCCTGAAAGATCCCTGTTCATCGCCACTCAGCGTTGTGTCCCTCGACTGAAATTTTTTTTCTTTTCTTTCTTTCGCAGGAAAATTTTCTTTACTCGGCAGCCTACAGCACCAGCCTCGTTTAACCATACCAGCCAGAATTCCTTGTTATGCATCCGGTCTTGGCGTGTACCTACTATGACTCATCTAGACTTTTTTCTTGTAGACTCAAATGCATCGGTCGGCAGGCTTGCTTTTATTTTATTTTGTAGGTTTGCGGCTCCGGCAAACAATACGAATATTAAAACTACTATGGTTTTTTTTCCATAAATTGGTAAGACATAAAATCCCTGCCTACGTTGGGAGGTCGAGTTCGTATTTGCGTCATGATCTATTGAAGAACTATTGCACGTTATTACCTGAGCGCTAATTTTCGCGCCGGTCTGCCATGACGCGACATCCCTGGAAGCCTAAGATGAGGCAGGCTGGCTTGGCTACCTCGGTTGGCATGGAATTGTATGCAAGCGCTCGGTACTTTCAAATCACCTGATGCAACGATGCGGTCTGACAATGCAGGCTGCACAAATTGCGGCTTGAATATGTAAGTACCCTTAAGTAGCCAGTGCATATTTACTGTGCTGTGTCGCCAACTTCCATTTTTAGGTTTCCTTCGCAAAATCATTTGAGACTTTGATATAATTATACGGCTCTGTGTAGTAGTTGATATCACTATCTCACAAATACGATTGACCCTCACACAAACTTTCCAATATCCCAATACTTCTCGTTTCTCATCCAGCAACGCAAATTTAAGAATGTTCAAAGCGTACATCGCGTGCACAATCCTATAGTTCAGCTGATTACTAATGTAGCTAGTCTCTTGCGACTCTAGGTGTGAAGAGGCCAATCAATGGGCCGTACCATATCTCAGTTCGCTTAGTGCCTTGAGTGTCAAAGAGCCGCATACGAATAGTCAAAGCCAACTAAAGCCCAGTTTCGTGAAGATCGCTCTATAATTGGCGAAACTATTCAACCCGTCTTCATAGGCCTGGTCTGACACATGGCAGTTGGTAGCTCTGTTGTACTTTACTGTCATCGTGATATATCACCCCCGACCACTAGGGAATTGATACCAGCGCAAATTGAGATAGCTAATATTCATCCAGGGCAATATCAACTCAGATATGAAAAGCAACACACGCAACCGTAGGATTGATGCTAACATTTATCCATGATTAGGTAGGTGGCATATCCTTCCCCATCGCCTTAAGGTGCATATATCTCTTGGGACACCTAGTTATCCTCTAACGTCAATAAAATAACACACTTATGCATGCCATAAGTTAGAGACTGTGAACCAGACCCTTATATGACGAGTAAAGTATTCAATGGTGGATAATGGTGGGTTTTTAATTACAATTGAGAACGGCGACGTTGCGGTATGTAAGTGTAACCGGCCAGGCTCCGACTTGGACCGACGGAAGTCGAACCATCGACGGTCTCCGGCATTTGCAAAGCCGGGTGGGGAGAAGTCGGGAGCTTATTATTGGAAAATAAAGTGATGACGTGATCGGTGTGGGGGCAGTTTCCCATCTTCCACTCGGACGGGCTCTGGGGCTTCCTGGGATTCTAGACTTATCGGACTACATTACATGGATGTAGCACCTACTATGCCTACCTACGCTACCTGCCTACCTAAAATCTAGGCCAAGCAATCCAGACTTTCCGCTCTTGTGGAATCGTCTTACCCACTCACCATTCGCTTGGGATCGCTTGGGAGAATTGGCGCCTCCTAGCCCTGAACATCCCTGTTCTCGTTGAGATCGCCAATCGGTCTATCCACGCAGCCACGTTTAGTATACTTATTACCAAAAGCCGGCACCTCTGAGGCGAATTTGCCTATGTTATCTCAGCTAAGTAAGTCTCAAGGTTGATCCATTACATTGCTATTACGTATCGACCAAGATAGCATGTCGTCGGAAGGAAGCTTATTCGTACAGAAAACGTGGGTAGCCGTGGGTTGAGGCGACACTGGCGACAATGGCAACCTGGCGACTTAGGACTGGACCAGCACGGCAGTCTTGGTCGATAATAGACATGTCGGTGTGCATCTTATATATGTATCTTGGATCCATCCTATGCGTTTGCTGTCCGCATCTCTGGTTCTTCGGATCTGTACGTTGGAAAGGGTTAGGGCAAACCCCGTCACCGCTAGTTACATCGTTGTGTGGTATCGGTACCTGCTTTTCATTCTGCCGGCTTCCATTAGACTTCTGACGATACACGGACGGTCCCACGAAGCTCCGTTTACGGCATTGTCCCTTCTCTATGTAGATGCAGATAAACGTCAGCCACCTGCTCTCCACACCTTCAGAGATATACCCCCTTCTGTCTCCCTTTATCCCCCGTCCTCCACGTTTTCGAGGTGGTCCGATCCAAGCGTGGAGTTCTTTAGCTTCCCTAGCCCTTCATTTAGCCACGTTGCTTGATAAGAAGTAGTCACGTGTAATAGTTTAAACGACCCGTCTCTTCATCCTGAGTTCGGCGTTTTAGTTCCCGTATCAAATTTGGTTGGCTGAAAAAAGGGGAAGATGACTATCATTGATACCAGCAAAGATCTATCCGCTCTTTTCTTCCATCAGGTCAAGGCTACGCCCGATGCCATTGCCCTGGAAGATGGGCCTACGGCATTGACATATGCCGAGCTTGATCGGAAGGTTGAGTTACTCGCTACTCGTCTTCGCCACGACGGAGTTGGTCGAGATGCCCTTGTTGGCGTTCTACTCGGACGGAGTGCGGACTATGTTATCTCTTGCCTTGCCGCACTTCGAGCTGGTGGAGCTTTCCTAGTTCTTGAGCTAGCGTATCCCCCAAGTCTCCTAGCCGACGTAATTGAAGATGCCAGACCTACTGTGGTGATAACCCATACAGCACACGCTGGCAAGATCAAGTCTGAGACTCCTCTAATCATTCTAGACGATAAGTCCGCGAATACGGACGGTATCGCTCTATCGAATGGTACATCAAAGACGCTGCCAGAACTACCCTCTGAAGATGACTTGGAAAAGCTTGCCTTCGTGTCTTACTCATCTGGCACAACTGGAAAGCCGAAAGGCATTTCAAATCCTCACAGAGCAGCTGTCCTTTCATACGACCTGCGATTTGGCGTAAATGATCTAAAGCCGGGTGACCGCGTGGCCTGCAATGTTTTCTTCGTCTGGGAAATATTGCGCCCGTTGCTACGGGGAGCAACAGTCGTTACTGTTCCGGATGAGACCAGTTACGATCCTGTTGCTCTTGTCGAGTTGCTTCGTTCGAAGAATATCACGGAAACCCTCATGACACCAACGTTACTAGCAACAGTACTCGCTCGACATTCACAACTTGGATCACGCGTTCCAAATTTGCGTACTGTGTGGCTGAATGGTGAAGTCGTAACGACGGACCTGGCACGTCGTGGCCTGAGGGCGCTTCCAAACGCACGATTACTGAATTGCTATAGCGCAAGTGAAACCCATGAGATCGCCTGTGGCGATATCAGGGAGATGATTAACGATGAAGACCGGGTAGTTCCGGTTGGTCCCCCTTTGGACCTGGAGCATACGTATATTCTCGATGAAGAGGGTAAAAGGGTTGAGCCAGGTGTCAGCGGCGAATTATTCGTCGGAGGAAATCTTCTGGCGCGTGGATATCTTAACCTGCCGGAGGCGACCGCAAAGGCGTTTAACGACGATCCATTTGATTCGACTCCGGGATCGCGAATGTATAGAACTGGAGACACAGCACGGATACTTCCATCAGGGCTTCTCGAAATTACTGGCCGTGTAGGAGCGATGATCAAAATCAGGGGTTATAGCGTACAACCACCAGCCGTCGAGAACGCTATCATAAAACATCTTGCGGTCCGCAACTGTGCCGTGGTTGCCTATGGCGACGGTCTTGACCGTCAACTTCTCGCCTACATCGTTCCAGACGACGAAGAATCTACTGATCGAATGGCCGTGAAAATCGACGAGGCAGGGTTTAGTCCGGTTGCGCGGCGTGCTCTATCGGAACATTTAGCTCATTACATGATACCGGCCCTTTGGGTCGAATTAGAAAGCCTACCTACTCACGAAGTATCCGGAAAGGTCGACCTTAAGCGTCTACCTCCGCCATCTAGGTCACGGAGCCCTAAAGCATCACTGGGTCCTGGCCAAAATGGTGATCATAACCAGAAGATTACTATCGAGGACATCGCGAAGATGTGGGCCTCAGCCCTTAATATCCCTTACAAGTCTGTGATGGCACAGGAGCACGACTTTTTCGACTTGGGTGGCCATTCCTTAGCGCTTGTTGACCTTGTGACGAAATTGACAGGTGCTTATGGTTTCCCGGTGCCTCTCGGTCGCCTTGCCGGAAACCCGACACTGAAGGGGCACCTGGAAGTCGTTTGCCAGGCGCGAGATGGACATACCGCAGCCGTCCAAGCCGACCTACCTGCTGTTCTACGTGCCGATTCTATCCTGCCACCGGAGATAAAACCCTCATTGGTCAAGATGCGACGCCTCAGCGACGCAGACACAATTTTACTGACTGGCACAACTGGATTTTTGGGAGCTTTCTTGCTTAGCACTATCCTAGAAAACACTTCTGCACAGATCATTTGCCTTGTCCGATTTGCCGATCTAGGGAATGACAACTACGCTGCTGGACTTGCACGAATTCGCAAGAATCTCCTTGACCTAGGTCTTTGGAACGATTCAATTTTGGATCGTATCGAAGTTCTGCCGGCAAACCTAGCTCGGAAGCGGTTTGGTCTTTCCCCTGAAGGCTTCGAGGAGTTGGCTGCTCGCGTGCAGGTCATTATCCACTCTGCTGCTACTGTCAATCTTGTTTACCCTTATGCTGCTATGCAAGGTGCCAATGTATTTGGTACGAGAGAAATCTTGCGCCTGGCAAGTAAAGGTGGCGCGACAGTGCATCATATCTCCACAAATGGTGTGCTACCGCCTTCAGTTGAAGGGTGGTCCGAGGATGCTATGTTAGGCGTGGATGAAGTGCCAGAAAAATTGCTTGATGGGTATGGTCAAACAAAGTGGGTAGCAGAACAGCTTGTTCTTGAGGCTGCTAAACGTGGATTGCCGGCGAGGATATACCGACCAGGAACTATCAGCGGCCACAGCACGTCCGGTTCTACGAACACTTACGATCTCCTAAATGCGTTAATTGTCGAGTCGCTTCAACTGGGGCATGCGCCGGATATCGAAGGTTGGTACGCCGAAATGACCCCGGCCGATTTCGTCAGTAAAGCCATCACTTCCCTTGCCGACGTCGTGGATACCGACCAGCGTGTATTCCATTTGGGTGACCCGTCCCCAATAACCACAAAAGAGGTCTTCGGAATACTTGACCAACTCGGGTACCCGACGAAACCACTGGGATGGGAAGAATGGGTCCGTCTATGGGATGAACGCAGAGGGTCTAGCAAGGGGGAAAACATCTTCACTGTCGACATCCTTCGCCGCGGTATGCCTACCGTCGACTTTTTGAAATGGGTCACCGTCCTCAAGGATCCTGCGACAGGACCAATCCTTGCTAAGACTGGTCTCCAACGTCCTAAGATCGATAGCAAACTGCTCGAGACATACACTCGCCATTTCTGCGCTCGGGGCTGGCTACCGCGCCCACCGCGACGTAGCCACGTTAACGGAATCTCGAAGCTCTCGAACCGAGGCCCGCTAGCCGGAAAAGTCGCAATTGTTACTGGAGCGTCATCAGGCATCGGGGCTGCCGTTGCCGTCGCCTTAGCTAGAGAAGGCGCACACGTAGCAATCGCCGCACGTCGTACAGAGGCACTCGAGACCCTCAAGAATAAGATCATCAGTTCGGGAAGCAAAGTACTAGTCCACAAGACAGACGTCACGGACAAGAAACAAGTCGAATCGTTGATGCAGGCCGCAACACAAGAGTTGGGTCCAATCGATATCCTCGTCTGCTGTGCGGGCGTCATGTACTTTACTATGATGGCTAACGTGCACATGGACGAGTGGGAGCGCACCGTCGACGTCAACTGCAAGGGCCTGATGTACTGTCTCGGGGCGGCGGTTCCTGGTATGTTGGCTCGCGGCTCCGGGCACGTCCTCGCCATCTCATCAGACGCGGGCCGCAAGGTATTCCCCGGGCTCGGCATCTACTCGGCTAGCAAATTCTTCGTCGAAGCCACGCTTCAGAGCCTGCGCCTCGAGACCGCCGGCTCCGGGTTACGCGTCACGTCCGTCCAGCCGGGAAACACGGATACGGAACTTCTGGGTATGTCGACGGACACGGAGGCTATCAAGAAATACGGCGAGCCGTCCGGCGCTAAGGTCTTGAGTGCCGAGGAGGTCGCGGGCGCGATCGTGTATGCTGTGAAACAGCCGAGTCATGTCGCCGTGAACGAGGTCTTGATCGAGCCTAGGGATGAGCCGATCTAGTGACCTACCTACCTACCTACCTACCTACCTAGGTACGGATTAAAGAGGCAGGAGAGAGAGAATGGATGAGGGATAATGCGCGAATTCAATGACGAATGAAGTTGGTATGACAAGAGAAAAGCAAAAGTTAGTCAGACGAGAAAGAGATCATCTTGTAACACTTCCTGTTACCGTTTCCTTAACGTCCTATTTTCCTTGGTTGAGAGACGATGTGGCTTTGGTGGAACGGATAGTGTCTGGGCATTTTAGCGGCTTTGCATGGATCATGATCATGACTGCACTAGTGTACGGTGGCTATGTTAGAGGCTGGGGGGTGGTGGAAAAGGGGGATGTGGATGAATAGTTGTAATGGAATAGAATTCGGGAGAAGTTAGAGCGTTTGACAAAGAATACCTACCTAATGATGAGTCGGTGGACTTTGTGTACTATGCAACTCGAAGATAGACGAATGGTATATTGAAGCTCTAGATACCTATGCATATAACTGGTTTCTTAGTTGGTAGCGATTACTTTATGAACTTCCAGATAGTAAAAGCCAGGCAGAGATATTTCTACATCAACCATAGGTAGTAAATATCCGATTGCTGGACACAAGACATAACAATTATAAATTTCACAATAAACATCACATCACAATTCACTCGAAAACCAGGAGATCAAAAGTTTCCCACATCCACAACTCTCAATTGGTGTACTCGCTCGAAAAGTTCTGCGAATAAGAACGGCGCGGGTCCGGAAAGAGCTCTCTCACCGAATCTTCCCGCGTCGTCGCTAAATACAACCCAATATTCCCTGCGGCCATGTCTGTTATATAGTTACACTTTCTCTTTCATAAACATGACAAATCTAGACTAGCTAGAAAAGAATTTCCGAAAAGGCCGCCATCCCCGTCGTCATAATTCCCCAAAGCTTTGTGCCGCGTTTGCTGTGCGGAAGCTGCGGGGGGGAAGACACATTAAAATATCCACCGTCTAATTTGCCCCTATTATTTACATTGGCGACCAAACCCCCCCGGTCATTATCGGATTAAGTAGCATTGGGAGGAGACGCTTATTTGAGGATGCCGGAGAGGAGACCAGCTAGACCACCCTGCTGACCGGCGGCGCCTTGCTGAGCTGCAGCGCCTTGTGCGGCACCGGCACCTTGGGCGCCAGCAGCGTTGCCACCCGCGGCTCCACCGAGAAGGCTTGCGAGAGGGTCTGCGCCGTTAGCACCACCGCCGAGGAGGCCACCGACGAGGTCGGTGAGTGCGTTACCGCCCTGTTGATCCGCGCCTTGAGCCGTAGCACCCTGTTGAGCAGCAGCACCTTGGTCAGCGGAGGCGGCGGCACCCTGGTCTGCAGAAGCAGCGGCACTTTGTTGAGCAGCGGCGGCATCCTGAGAAGCAGCACCGCTAGCCTGGGCGGCAGCGGCGTCCTGGGCAGCAGCGGCCTTGGCGGCAGCAGCCTTGGCCTTCTTGCCCTTCTTGCCATCGCCTGCGGCGGCGTCTTGTCCAGCGGCGGCAGTTCCGTTGGCAGCGGCAGCGTTGGAGTCGACTGCAGCGGCAGTTGCGTTGTTGGCAGCAGCGGCAGCGGCGGCGGCCTTAGCGCCCTTGTTCTTGTGCTTGGGGAATCTGACGTCGAGAGCTATAGAATGTTAGCGCCGTCCTCAAGCCTATTTGAGGATGTTAGTACATACCAAAGCCGTGAGCGTTGTTGCGGGCTTCGATAACACCCGAGCCCGGCTGAGTGGGTAGCGCGGCTCCGAAAGAGGCAGCGGCGGCCAGGGTGATCAAGATAGCTCCGAAGTTCTTCATGTTGAAAGAGTGTATATCCAGACACTTAACAGAAAATAAAGAGTGGTCGAAAGTAAGTTTGTCAAGTGTGACGAAGTAATACAGTAAAGAAGGTAGATATGAGCACAGCTGTAGACAGTTAGTTATCGAGAAGTAAGAAGGCTTGGCAATCAAATTTGAACATACCTCTTCGAACAAGAAACAACCAAAAAAGGAAGGGTTGGCGATTGGGATTAATGTGGATGTGTGAAGAAGCAGAAATAAACCGAGATAGATAGGCCGGGAAGGCAAGGCATTTATGGTCAAATGGAAAGTATTGAAGTTTCGACGAACTTGAGTATCCTACCATCAACTAAGCTATCAAACTTACCTAGTAACGCAAGGTTCTTGTGATAGACAGTCATATCCCAGCTCCTAGCTACCCCATAGTAACGAGAAAATGTGGTTGCAAACATGGAAGCTTGGCGTCGGTACCGCAAGTCAAGATATTGGAATATTAAGAAACACAGGGAACAAATCCTGTAAACGGGATTCTCATTGGATCAAAGAGGTTGAAGACCCACCTATACCAAACACGTCGAGAAGACTTTCCGTCCCATCCAAAACATGGGGGGAAGAATATTAGCGTAAAGTAGAACAAGATCACCAACTTCGCAGATCATACATAGAACGTTGAATATAACGCAGATCTGATATTCCAGATTTGGAGCAACGCTGGGAAGATCAATTAGGAGATCCTTGGGGATCATAAGAGTTTTGGCTGGTTTGAAACTTAAGATGCCAAGAGGACGTGGGGACAGGGTCGGCGCTTTGAGGCTCTCAAATTTCTCGGCAACAAAGCCTGTAACGTCGGACGGGGTAGATCAAACGAGCCTCAGACGCCCTGCTAGGGCACAGAACAGGAAATTTCCTCAGCAATCGCATAATCACGTGAGAGCAGCCGCAGAAATTGAGTTGATGACATCGATGACAACAACTTTAACTTGATGAGCTGCGGGCTTAGCTCATCATACGATACATGCGAGGTTGAGAGCTCGCCATCGGTGGGTGCTCGCTTTCCGGTTGCAACCAGGAGTCCCGCCCGAAGCCATAGCCTATTTAGGAAGGCCCGAAATGACAAACAAGTTGTGCATTGGCTTGATTTCATAGCTTAGAAGTCTAGAGCGAAGGTGGCTGTGTCGTTAGTTTGAACATGCAGAACATGACGGACGGGATGGAAGTGTATCGGAAACTTCGAAAGTGTGAACATAGGCGCCTACGACGTTTCCAGTCAGCCTGAGCGCTCCTGGAAACACAACGAACATCTAGTCAACATTTAGTCGAGTGATGGGATTGACGGGAGATTGGACTCGACATCGTCCATTTCATGAAAATAGCGTCGCACACCGCTCTGTCGCACCCGCAGGAAACATGCCGGGACCGCGTCTGTGTGTGCAGCATCGTGGGCTACCTAGCTGGCAGAGAAAGCGGATTTTGTTGTGTTGTTTCCTGCATAGGGCAGTCGAAGATCCTTATTTCGCTTCTGCCATGCGAAAAAAAAGCTTCGCCGGCGATCAAGCCAAGGAAAATCATAGCATAAAAATGATCGCTTTCCCATGATGATGCGATGCTATTTCTGTCCTCGGGAGCAATCGTGAGAATCATGACGGAAATCCATCAATGCAAGTCCTTTTTTGTCGACTGACGACACTGACAAATGGCAGCTATAGGCGCCTTGCGTGGCTATGGCGTGACCAACCCTGATACTATCAAGTTGTTGCGGATAGAGTATGATATTCCAGCACTGGATCAAAAGGCCTTTCTACCTTGGAAAGGATGACAGGATGACGGGATGACGGGATGAACAGCCCGGAATCCTCACTTTATTTTGACCTTAAAGATCTCGGCCGGTTGGAATTACTATTATGTAGGTACCTAAGTACCTAAGCTAGTCCCATTTCACATTCACATGGGTTCTTCTCTGCTCTAGCCACAGAAGCCACAAATCTACAAGCCACAGACCCTGAGAACAGCTTCCTAATCACAGGAATATGATAGGCTCATTGGAAACTCCGAGCTCGGCCTAGCACGGCTTGCAACGGGTCTTGTTAAAGTTTTGAACCAATGAGTGGCGAGTAACCTCGGTAGGTCGGCCAGGTCGGCCCAATATTCGCAGGCGCAATTGACTTTTACCCATGTACTATGTACTACGTACTAAAGAGGTTTGATGTCATCATAACCATTTTCCGGTCTAACTAACCGCTAACCATTTTCCGGGTTCGAGAACCACGAATCACGAATTCGCCATTGATAACCGACTTCGAGTCAATTCCCAATATCCATGGCGTCTAGAATACGGTGAAGAATCTTCCTGTCAATTAAGAACTCTTCATCTCTCCGGAATAGACAGCCTGGTTAGAGAGAAGCTTTACAATGTCGGCGTCGGTACCACTTCGTACCTTCGCGCAGCGCAGGGTCTCGTTAATTCGGCCAAAAGTCCCAAAGAGCGCGCGAATAGCTTCATATTCTTCCTTAATATCTACAAACCGACCAAGATGTACTGCTACGACGTTCTCCCCGCTCGCCTGCTCGACCCTTCGCACCTTCAGCACAACGCGTCCGAGGTACTTCGCTACGGCTGACGATAGCTTCGACCCCAAGACTGCTGAGCGGGAAAGTGACCAAGTTGATGTATGCATTATTGGCGGAGGCCCTGCTGGTCTGAGCGCAGCAATACGTTTGAAGCAACTTGCGAATGAGAATGGTAATGAGGATTTCAGGGTCCTATTGCTGGAGAAAGCAGGCGAAATCGGCGCACATATTTTGTCCGGGGCCGTCATAAATCCGGTTGCGGTTAAGGAACTGTTTCCCGACTGGCTTGACGAAGCGAATGAGAATCGATTCGAACATGCGACCCCGGCGGCGGGAGATAAGATGAAGTTTTTGACTAAGAGCAGTGCGATACCTCTGCCAGCCCCACCGCAGATGCACAACCATGGCAATTATATCGTCAGTTTAAACCAATTCACGAAGTGGCTGGGGGAGCGCGCGGAGGAGCTTGGCGTGGAAGTATACCCCGGGTTCGCTGCGTCCGAGGTGCTTTATAAGCCTGACGGGTCGGTTCTCGGTGTTGCGACAAATGATCTTGGCATAGGGCGAGATGGGAAGCCGAAGGATAGCTTCGAAAGAGGCATGGAGTTTCACGCCCGAGTTACACTATTTGCTGAAGGATGCCACGGCAGCTTGACTAAGCAGGTTATCAAGAAGTTCGACCTGAGAAGGGATAGCCAACACCAAACCTACGGTCTAGGGGTAAAGGAGGTTTGGGAGATCCAACCAGAAAAGTTCCGAAAAGGCGAAATCGTCCATTCTATGGGTTACCCCCTATCCCTTGACACGTACGGCGGTGGATTCCTATATCACTTCGGAGATAACCTCGTCAGTCTTGGGCTTGTTGTGGCCCTGGATTACAAGAATCCGTGGTTATCGCCATATGGAGAGTTTCAGAAGATGAAGCAGCACCCGCTCTATAAATCTATATTGGAAGGTGGCAAATGCATTTCTTATGGGGCAAGGGCTCTCAGTGAAGGTGGTTTCCAGTCGATCCCCAAGGTTGCTTTTCCCGGCGGTGCATTGATTGGTGATTCTGCTGGCTTCGTCAACGTCCCGCAGGTCAAAGGCACCCATAACGCTATGAGAACGGGTATGCTGGCCGCCGAGTCTGCTTGGACTGCGTTGGCGGAAGGTAACGAAGAGACTGTCTTTTTGTACAACTACGAAGATTCACTCCGGAAATCCAGTGTCTGGAAGGAGCTGAAGGAGGTTCGAAACATGCGTCCCTCATTCCAAACTCCGTTAGGAACTCTCGGTGGTGTCATGTACTCCGGCCTAGAGGCGTTCATCCTTAAGGGCCGTGTTCCCTGGACCCTGAAGCACAGGCATACCGACCACGGTTCTACCAAGAGCGCCGACTCGTACCCTAAGATCGAATATCCGAAGCCAGATGGGAAGATCTCTTTTGACATCTTGACAAGTGTCTCCAGGACCGGGACGAATCACGAGGAAGACCAACCTGTTCATCTCCAAGTTAAGAACTGGGATGCTCACACCCAAGAAACATGGCCTAAATACCAAGGTCTAGAGAATCGATTCTGTCCTGCTGGCGTTTATGAATATGTCGAAGATGAATCGAAGCCACTTGGTGTGAGATTCCAGATTAATTCCCAAAAGTGAGTATCCTGGATCGTCCTACTAGATAGACTTAATCCCTGTTTCCCGCCGGCTACTTACCTAAATAACTTCATGCTGACATGACCATAGCTGCATCCACTGCAAGACATGCGATATCAAGGCACCCCATCAGGACATTAACTGGGCTGTGCCACAAGGTGGCGAAGGTCCTAAATACTACATGACGTAAGAAAAAAGAAAGATTGCATGAGGTCCTCGCAAGAATGACTTCGAGCGTTTGGGTGAGGCCTGGCCTGAATTTCTGGATGGATGGGGCGTACGATTCATGGATCACGGCGGTATGGTCGAATTCAACTTCCCGGTGTATCAACAGTGTTCAAATCTAAGGGCGGGGGAACATACATATTAAACTAGACGAGGACACCCGATATAAAGATACCATATATGGAGAATCAAAAGTCTTTTATATAACTATTGATATTATTGGATACACCTATATGCTTAGTATTTGCATGAGTAGGTACATTAGGTGATGAATTGCTACCGAGCTTCGATAGCATTTTGCTTTTATGCCTGTAAATCATTTTGTTTTCCCTCAGAGCTCTAGAAGCCCTGCTGCCTATGCCACTTCTCCTGCCACCCGGGAAACCAGGGACTATCATCGAGGGTCTTAGGCTCCCAATCCTTTTCAATGAGCCCCTTTTCAATCTGTTCCTTAGCGAACTCCTCCAAGGTCGGGATCACGACGTGCTCCGTGTGCCACGTGTTCTTGTACTTCATGAGGTTCTCCTTGCCCTCCTTCAGTACCTTCAGGATCAAACTCGGCACATACGGCTCGTCTCGGAATTCTTCGATGGGCGTGAACAGGGCCTTGAAGTTGAAGACGACGGCCCCCGATAGCGGGAGCCGGCGCAGCGTCTGCCAGTCGACGCGTAGGTGGATGCGGTCCGGTGTTAGGCTCTTGTCTTGGAAGTCGCGGTAGCTGGCGTGCGGGTCGCCCGGCGGCATGTACAGCGGCTGGTCTACTTCGAGACCCCAGGAGCCGCGCTGGATGGGCTTGTTGGCGGGCATCTTGGAGAAAAATCTGCTTCGAAGTCAGCAACATGGCTCCCCACTCCCACACTCACTTCCTTTCCCCTTAAAAAATGCGATGAGGGCGTCTTACCTGTCCATACTAAACTGCATCTTCTCCTTATAATCCGGGATCGGCGTGTGGATCTCGTGCAGCTTCATGCCGATTTTGCTGCCGACGTTCCAGCCCAGCGCCGAGCAGATCAGGCCGGCGCGGAAGACGTAGTAGCCCGACTCCGGGTCGCGCAGCACCATGCCGAAGTCCTCGGGCACGTTGTCGAGCAGGACGTGCAGGGGGTGCATCTCCTTGATTAAGGTCACGGTGCCGAGGATCCGGTTCTCGAGCCGCGACTTGTCCGCCGATAAGACGAAGTACTGCGGGTACCGCGCGCACAGGAACTGCAGGGACATCTCCATCAGCTCCTTGCACGCGAGCTCCGAGCCCGGGAGCGATTGCAGCACGTCTGATCCGTGCTGGGCGTATAGCTCCTTGCGCTGTGCGATGCGCGTCTTGTAAGTCGATTCTAGCTCTAGCCACCAGTCCGTTTCGAGTTTGGTTAAGGCTGTCGAAGATTATTAGATTCAAATCTTGGGATTTAGGGGGGTGGGTACTTACACATTGTCTGATGGTATGCCCATCTGAATGGGCGGTACGGCCGCGGCTTGGCCTTGTTAATGTCGAATTCCAAGTACGGTTGAGGCAGCGGGACCTCGGAGAGCGTCGAGTAGTCCGGAAAGTCCCCTAGCGCCTTGATCTCCTTCACCGAAAAGCCGGTATAGCAGTACTTTGAGTCGTCGGCGGTCCGGTAGTCCTCCTCGAGACCCAAAAGCGAGTTTGTGAATGTGTTCGTGTTGAAGGAGAGGTTACCCATCGCTTTTCGTTGGGCGGGAGGCATCTTTTCCACCATTATCTTGAGCTGTCCTCGTGGCGAAGGTGGGAACGTCGAGAGAAGGTCTGATGTGGATGAGGCAAGTGGCTTCGGAGACACCTGCTTCTCTAGCAATGGCGTACTCGGGCGGGACGCATTGCGCCCTCCCAGTCCTAGTCTCCTGAGCACTACATCTTTCTGGGACCTCTTCAGAGCGAGAAACGTGATTAGGGATAAGACGATTCCCGACGCCAGCCAAATAATAGTAGATAACGACATTTTAGATATTAAGTAAATATAATACCGGACACGGTCGGTAGGAGGGTAACCATATATATAAATGCCACAAGAGTTCCACCAACACTGTCACCACTCGCAGGATTCCCCCTTATTAGTATCGTCGTCGCACTTAACGATGAGGTTATAGGGGAGGCAACATATGAATATACCTACGAAAACCGATAACGGCCTCCGTACCTCGGAATGCGCAGCAGTACATGATAAGAATGGCCGGATCATCTGCAGAGCAATTGGCCTTTATAACCCCAGCTGATATGTCCCAGTAGATCGCAGTTGAAGCAGCGTTGGAGATTGCCTAGATGGTAGCTTATGGCGGCGCTAGCGCCCGGATGATAACACCAATGCCGTGAGTGGCCACTGATAGTACTAGCGTATAGAGCGCCCATCATCGTGCATCTACAGCGAGATAACTAGGCGCTGGGCTGGGTACCACAATTTTGATCTACGCGGTTCACCCCGCATATCCCCTTGTTTTATAGATATTGCTGGAGTAGTCATAGGCCTCGCCTTGCTGTAGGATGGCGACGCCTCAGTGTAACACTGCGTCTGTTATCCCGGAAACTATTATTCACAAGGTTACGATAAATGACTAACAAGGATCCCGAGGAGGCAAGGAGTAGTTTTATTTCGATATGTTGGATGTTGGATTTACTATAAATGGAATGCGAAATGTCGTGTCTTCGGTTCGATTTTGCTTCATGCAAGACTTGTCTCTCTCACTCCTTTTTAGGATATAGTCATGCAAGCTAAACGATAAGAGACGACTCAAAGAATCTACCTAGTATTGGACATACAATGTGGCGTTTTAATATATTTTCGTCTTATAGTTAGAAGGTTTGGGTTCATCACGGCCCTGGAGATGAAGCCTCGAGCTTTAGATATGAGCCTCCCGGACTCTCCCCAAAGAAGGCCCCTGATGGACAACTGGGTACCTATAAGAGTATAAAATTGTTAACAGGAACACGTACAAGTATCGCCTCAAAGTTATTCATGCATAGACAGTTATATGAGTTTGACATCCTTTACATCTCCAAGTTATCACACTGGAGCAAAGCTGGTGTCACTATAGTTTTACTTTTATCCTCGCCGCTATAAAGTCCCTTACTCACCTAGATACCTGGCTTTGCTTATTCCTAGGCATGGGGATACCTTACGATAGCAGCCATCTATATCCTCTGCGCATCGGGAAACGCTCGGGTTTTACCCCAGCTGGTTATCAGCGTGAATCTCCGAAAAGTCACCGTTATTGGTTGGATATATGCAGACCCGCCAAGGCCCTAGTCTACGGTTTCCGTCACTTGACATAACGCTTGCGAAGTAGGAGATAAGTTGGCCGAACGCAGGATTCTTAAATATTTTCGAACATAAGATCATTCGATTTATAGAAATGATCATTAACATCAGCTATTAGATTCTTGCTAATATAGACCTATACCCGGTACATGTCGATATAATCGAATGTTGCTGACATGCGGCCTACATCGTGAGGCGCGATTAGGCCTAGGTCAAAGTCTCCTGGTATGCGACTTGTGGATTATGATTTGATACAGACAAAATCAGTGCGTTGATGGGAAAAGGGGGGGTGGTTGTTTGGGTGAAGGAAAAGAAAGCCGAAGTGGCCGTCAAAGGAATCTGACCCTCGAGCGAGTGCTCGCCAGGAAGCTAGAGCTATAGCAATGGGATCGATTGTAAGCACCGTCATGCTACTCTGACCGTTGATAATTGGCATGAACATTTATATAGGTAGGTAGTTAGACTGAGGAGTAGCGCGGTGATTTAGAGGTCTAAACGATTTCATGGTAACCTATTACGAGCGGATACAGTTTCGGAAGTTTTTGCAACACGACTTAAACATCATGTAATGGTGACCGAAGGTGATGTTAAGGAACAATATAGGTTCTATATTGCATGATGGGCTGGATCAAAATATGTACACGTTCTTGAGTCCTTGGATGTGGAGTTTCAACATTCTCTAATTCTGATTGGCTGAAATAATCAACGGTGTTCCGTAAAAGGCATGTCGAATTAACTTTGTTAAAGTCTGATTGGCCATTCCTTTTAATTCAAGTTAATTCCAATGACTTATAACTTATCAACATAGAGAAGAAATCTTTAAAATCCTTCTATATATAAACATAAGTGCAAGGATTTATGCGATTCACAAGACGCATCAACATACCTTGGTAGGCATTCATATGATCACTCCGAGATTTTTGTTCTTAGATTAATATCGAATGAATTCAAGGCTTTACCTTAATCTTTCGACGTGCTGACAATGATATATGGAACATCTAAGTATGAGTGAGACCCTAGGTATTCTAGATTCAGTAAAACTTATCCTGTGACGTCTATTCAATCTAAATAGGTGTGTACTTGATATAAAATTGCTTACCTACATTATCAAGCGAGCCGCACACCCACCTAATGGATATTGGTCGTATCTACTCGATATGGTTTTTGAATCCAATCATCTTGGTTGATGACTTGCGCCAAGATATCGTCATTGAGCGCATGTCTAGTAACGGATACCACGGCCGGTTAATCATGCCGGCTAATCCTATCTAGATTTCTGCTGATACCCTCAGTCATCGGCTTTGGCCATGTGCTGGCATTTCTGTGCTTCTCTTATAGAGCCTCACCGCAGATGGAAGTAGGTCATCTCGGCCAATAATTTTGTTGAGTTTTTCTAACCTGCCTATCTAAGGTAATCGCGTGGCCCCCTTTTCCAAGAACCGTGGGGGACTTTGTTACTTCGGATTATTGGATATCCCTGTCTCTCCTTTTGTGATCCAGTCAGCTTATCGAAGAAGAAACGGCATGGAAAAGGCCATAGAAGCAGCTAACAGATTGAACGGCGATGAGGGGAATATAAGTTATAACTAAGCAGTTGAAAGAATATGAGCGCTAATTCACTGCTACTTCAGGAACATCAATTTAGTCCCAAACCGAAATATAAGCCTGAACATGCTTCGAATACTAGGCTTCGCTTTGTCCACGGCGGCGGCTGTCATTACGGCCGGGCCTGGAGATCCCGATTTCTATAATACTGTCGCCGAGATCTTTTCGGGGCCCGACTGTAGCAACGAGACTTTTGTTTGGGCAGATCCAATATTTGGACGGGGCGGAAGATGCCAGCCTTTGGATAGACAAGACAATACCCCCGATATCCTCAGTTACAAGCCGACCACTATTTACCCGGACTGCATTGGTGAGCGATGAAATCCAATCTCCTGGGATACTAGTGGAATTAGAACGAGAGCAATGAGGCTAACATATTGGTTATAAAGTCAACCTCTACACGGATTCCGATTGCGACAGCGACCCATATTCGGCAGAAGTGGATCAATGTGTTCAAGCAGGCATCCCGTTCATCAGCGCTTTTGTGAAATGCCCATTCTCAGGCATCTCGTAAGATTGTTACGTGAAGAGGGAGTTGTCAAGGTATTGAGCCGCTTTACTCATTATTTAGATGCCACTGCAGCTCAACTAGCTTGAGTTGACACCAAGGTGGAGAAAGTGGATGGTTGAAAGGGACATGCCCATACAACATAAATTAATATAGTTTTATAGAGTAAGGTAGCTATCTAATCAACGTTTATGTTCCTATATAAGCTCCATTTCGTCGTCCTTGAGATACTGTGTTTATGCCATCATTTACCTATATGGTAGAGTTTCCTGATAGCTGGCTCTGTACTGGCGCCCCGTCAAAGTTGAAATATCCGAGTTTCAAATTTTGAAACACACCATATGGATCGTATTTCTTCGAAACTTCCATGAGTCTAGCTCTGTTCTCTGCACCATAGCTTCCTAATGGATCCTGGAACTGACTGGCGTAATTCATGTAGAGATAGGGGTGATCTAGGCCACGTCCCCGCGCCAATTCTTGACTCCGGGAGACCATATTAGAAAATGCTTTTAGGACCAATACGTCGTCTGAATCGAGCATCCAACTTGCGCAGTAGTTGGTTAATAAAAGGGGCTTCTTGCTACCACCAATACCGAGTGTGTTGCCGCCATTACGAGTCATAGCTTTGAGCTGAGGGACCGTTATGACCTGGTATACGAATGCAGGGAGAAAATCCGTGAGATTCTGGATCGGGATTATTTCTTCCTCGAAGATGGTCAGCATATCTAAGGCTAACTGCTTATCCGCGTGTGTGGTAAGGGTCCAATAGCTCTCGCGCGAACCAGGCGGGCTATTCGCGTCAACTTCGACAGTGAAATTCGAAATGGGTGCATTTCTCGTATTATTTTGGATCGTATTCTCTATGCTCACGAAGTCGTCAAAAACTTGAGGGTGTTCACCCGATGGTTGCGGATCCGAATGATGTAGCATGGCCTCCGAAACCCACGTTTGGTTCTCTTGCACGTGTGCGAAAGACAAGATGAGGGATGAATTTGGATCTTCCTCTGAGCCATTCATAGCATAGCTGATGAAGGCATCGATCAAGGCAGTTTTGGTGCTGTTCATCTCCCAAAGAAGCGTGCTTCCCCATATATCCCCCTGCTCGAAAGTGCTGGCATTAAATTGAGTGACGATGCCGAAATTGCCGCCGCCGCCTCGGAGAGCCCAATATAAGTCGGCGTCAGTATTCACATCGACAGTGATGATCTCGCCTGATGCAAGAACAATTTCGTAATTGATGATGTTGTCGCAGGTCATTCCGTATAGCCCGCTAAAGAATGATATGCCACCACCTAGCGTTAACCCACTAACCCCAACTGTAGACGCCCGCCCGCCGGCCATAGTCAGGTTTAACTTGTCTAGAGTCGTGTACACATCGAGCCAGGTACTTCCTGGACCGATGGCGACAGAATTTCCGTCAGCACCTGGAGTTACATTCTTCATTCGGTCGAAGTCGATTGTGATGCCACCTTGACTACTGGAGGCGCCTTGGAAAGCGGTATGTCCACCGCCTTTGGCAGTGAATGGGCAACCGGTGGCTCGGGATAATAAGATTATGATAGACACTTCCTCAGCATCGACCGGGTGAACGAAGCATCTCGGATTGGTTTCATTTGATTGTTGTAGTGACCAGAACTTAGATTGAGAAGCTTCGTAGGATGCTTGCCCTGCAGTGTCGGTCCTATTTTTGCCGAGTATAGTGGCGAGGGTATCGCACTGATAACACGGCGAAGAAGTGACCTACTTAGAAGCAACCCCAACGTTTACGAGGAGTTAGATTACACACTTACAGCGAAAGGGCAAAGGCACAAATCAGCGGATTTTAGACCCAAGGATGTCTCACCTAACCGGTCGGACGTGATGCCCTTCTCTTTAAGTAGAAGGACCGGATCTGAGGTGGAACCTGGGGCATTCGAAGCCTCCGCTAAAGCCGATAACGCTAGCGTCGAAGAAAATAGAAAGAACTTGAAGATCATTTTGCTGATTCGATCACGAACTTTGGGGATGAGTGTCTCAGACTTGTGAGGAAAGCGTGAAGAGATACTTCCATGTTTATATCTGTTAAATCGCTCTTGTCTTGTGGATGAGGCCGGTCCCGAAGGCCCACCAGTTCCGTGGTTCCCCACTGTAACTTCTACCGGATTTGCCTATTTAGGAAATATCTAACAATACCTGAAGCCTCATTCTTTAAGGACGTCGGAGGCGTGCAGCACGTGTCCAGACTATTTCTTCAAAAAGCAAATTCTGCGAAATTCTTCGAAATGGAATAATTTTACGAGGGAAAACGCTATGGCTTCTCGACAGCGCATCCTGAGAGAAGGTACAAGAAGATACAGATACTTCATACAAGACCGGAAGCGGGGTTGGGAGAAGAGGTACGTGTGTAACCGCTAGTTGAAGTGCTACAGAGCAGCTTTTTAGACAGAAGGAGCATGCGATACCTGTGATTTAATCTATGGCAAGAGGTTATAGTAATCTGAACGAAACATTTCAGTTCAGCTCCGCCATCCACCTATGATCTAGCTGCTAGAAGGTGCTACGATGGGGACCCACAAACATCTGCACCTTCTAAACTCCTGTAGGTAGTAAGCTGTAGATGCCCCTCATGCGGTGACGTTATGACTTCGTTTGCTGCAGGTACAAACGACATCAACCTCTTTGACTATTCAAAAGAAGACCGACTTCCCAACTTCCCAACTTTCCAATTAATAATTCTCTCTTCTCCAAACTTCTACAAAACCACGATCCATCGTCTTTCAATTCCCAAAAAAGAGCCCAGATCGCAATCTAATAATTAACTGTCACCATGTCGTCCATCCCAACTACTACTTCCGTTGTGGAGTCCGCCGTCATCAAGGCGCCCCTCAGCCACGTCTGGCATCTCATCAAGCGTGAGTACCTAAGCAGCCAATTCAATCAGCCACAGCCATGCATCCTTCTAATACTCATTAGTTCAGGACTTTAGCAAGTTCTGGTCCGCTTTGAAGTCCAGCCAGTTCGTCAAGGGTGCTAGTGACGAAACCCAAGTCGTCCACTGGGTCTTCAACGACGGTACTGAACTTGAAGTGAAGCAGGAGGAGCACAGCGTACGTGGAATCAGTTGCCTACCTAATTTCTTATTTCACAAGAATCCGTAATATGAAATGGGAGTTCTAATGGTATTTGAAGACTATCCATCATTACATCACCTACAGCGTCATCACCGCCAAGCCCGAGCTCAGCTACTCATCGGTTCTCTCCACCATTCACTTATATCCCGTCACGTCAGGCGAACATGAGAACAGCACATTCGTCGAGTGGACCGGGAACTTCTCCAGCGATGCCGACGCGAGTATGTATAATGAATTACGAAATCTTATCCTAACTATTGGACATATGCTAACGACACCGTGATAGGCGTTATTCAGGATGCCAAGTTCAAGCGTCGCGATGCCCTGGCTGACTTGGCCAAGGTTGCGACGAAGAAATAAGGGAATCTTTCTCGTCACATAATACGTCTTAGGGGCGTCTAGAAGCAAGATGCCGGGCAAGGTTATTACTTAGGTATCTCGGTGTGTACATTTAAATAATTGCGCCAGAAAAGGACCTTGTAGGACAGGCGCAACATGTCACTTTGAGTCTTCTTAGTAAAAAGAAAGCATATCATATGATCTCGACAGTTTGATAACTTGAGCGTTGAAATAGCCCGAAGCCGTACCTGTCCGTCATGAAAGCGCCAACTCTCACATAACGCCCCTGAGTCTTGCTAGGATGCAATATAATACCAAATCCTACTCGGACTCGGCGGTGCAAGCCCTCAAAGGGATAAAGGTGACTTGTAAGAAGAAGCATCAATAACTCCCCCTTATCTTCAGGGTCCTGCATCCACCAGTCTAAACTTACTTGCGCTATCCTCCTGTCCTTTTCATGAACGTATTTATGGTGTAGCAACGACCTCCGAGCCCCTTCCGGTGGATCGTGGACGATATCCGAAGGCAGGGTGACGACGACTCCACGTATCGTAAGTAAGCCATCTTTAACCTGTCCGAAAGGATCTAACCCTTGCGGCGTCGTCGACGCAGCGACCGAGTGCGTCTCATCCCTGTAGTCGTTTACGTCGATCAGATGCTCGAACGATTGCCTCCGCACAGCCCAGCTCCACGAGGGCGCGATGTACGATGGCTTATTAGCGTCGAGAAGGCGCAGGAGCTCGTATTTGGTGTCGGTTGGTCCGATGTCGTCTACGTGTCTGACCCAGCAGAGGTCGACGACCAGGCTCTGCCTCCATAGGCCCGCGTAGTAGTCCTTGGGGCCGCGGCCCATAATGCGGGCGAGACCCGAGACGGCGGGGAGCCGGTCCGTCTCGTAGGTCAGGTGGCGCGGCGTGTAGCGGCTCATGAGCTCGTTCCACATGGCGTGACGGGCTGGCGCGTTGGATACTAAATCGTTGAAGATCCCGACGTCGATCTCGCTGGGGTAGGAGGATTGCCCCGCTTCCGATCGAATGTGTTCTGGGCATTGGTATGCAAGCTCGAACGATCCGAAGTGGAGGGTTCGTGTCGAGAGCACGGCTTCTTGGAACGTCCAGGCGCGTTGGCTCCATGAGGAGTGGTCGTGGGTTAGCTCGTCGTATGTGAGGTCCATACCCTCGGCAATGGGGTTAGACGCCATCGCGCGTCCGCCTATGCGCACGTTATATGAACCTTTTGCTTCTGGAGTGATGCTTGACTTGAAAGGGATGACGATGCTTTTTGGTTTGCGCTCGAGGAAGCCTTGATGGCAGGAGGAAGATCCCGGCGTGCATATCGTGATGTACGCTTGGCGGTAGACGTCCGCCATAGTAGTTGATTCCCGTTCCCAATCCACGCGATCGTCCTGGACGATGCAGAGGGCGTCGATCCATATGTACGATATAGATAACGCTTTAGTCACGGCAACGGCGTCGCGCATAACTTGTGTCATCGAGTCGAGCGAAAATCCGGTTATCCTATTTGCGAGTGTCCCTTTTTCTGTCTTGAATTGCGTCGCTGAGTCACTAGGCGACCCCCAGCAGTAGCTTAGAGCGGCGTACTGAGGCGCCTTTCTTTTCATACGTGAATTTGTTAAAACCAGGCGAAGCTCGGCTCCGGAACTTTGACTTCTAATTTCAATAAGTCTAGTTGGAAGAAAGCGGGCTGGGTTGTCGAGGTGGTGCTCATGGTGTTGCTGACACTGGCTTAACTCTTCTTTTACCAGGGCGATGTTATCAGGATGTAGGGCATACGCGATGAGAGGTGGCCTAAGATTAAGCCACCGAGAACATTTCCCTACCAGATTTTAGATGGCGTGGAACATAGGTACTTATGGAGGTAGATGGGAATAGGCGAGGTTACCCACCAGGCTCACCGTCGATGAGAAATCGTAGTGATTGCTGTCTATTTGAGGCTGGATATCGAAGCGCAACGGCATGATCTGCTAAGCTTAGCGTCACGAATAAACCCGTCAGCCCAAGCTCCCCATTCCGACTTTGACTCCATCGGTATTTCATCGAAATATTGACCATCTGTTCTTCCTCGAATTTTACGAAGTTGTCGATCGCATTTTTCAGCAACTTGCAAAAGTCGCATCCGGCCTGAGAAGCCGCAACTAACTTCGGAAATTCGGGAAATTTGTCGAGAAGTTGATAGGTAGTCTAATGAAATGTTTCCTTCTCCGTCAATATCGGGCTGCTCGAACGGCAATTCGAGGCTTTCTTCCCCCTCGCCATTCAGTATTCTACGACCGCCTAACGCTTCGTCGTTTAGCTCGAGTACTTCGCATCTCTTGCAAAGGTGACTCATTGTCTCGAAGGATCGTACAGTTTCTTTGTATCAGCTAACGGCTTCATTGTTGGATCGATCAACTTAAATGAGTTAGTAAACCGAAAATGTTATCCTTTGATGTACGTAAGTTGAACAGTAGCAGTCTCGAAAAGTAAGGCGTCCTTTGGCACGGTTGGGTACCTATTTTCAGGTAGTGGGGTTAGTTTTCCCCTCCCCCGTGCCCCCGCAGTTTCCTCTACCTAGGTACCTAAACAGCTCTCTTTAGGGAGATACAATGATTATTGTTCATGTCCAAGTGTGAATCTGAGAAAACATGGTGGTTGGATCGTAACAATAACCCTCTCTCCAAAAGTATAAATAGAACTGGAGGTTACAATAATAATTATCTAAGTACCTATCTATTATATCTTGGTTACTTTTAACTTAGAGCATCAAGTTAGTCCTGTATCAACGAATCCTCAAGTTTAAAGATCTTATTCTGGTAGGGCCTATCACAATGTCGACAACCAATATCCCGAAAGGCGAACAGCGTCTTTTCACCGTCCAACTTCTCAATTGGATTGAGGAGGAACTTGATAAGGAAGCCGAGGACTTCAACTTAATAGCTCTCGACAACCAATATCATAGAGTGCCGAATCTTTGTTTCGGCGAACATAAGTATGTAAACCTATCAGCAGATACCCGGATCGAGCGGCATAACACTGTACGATTCGGGGATGAAAGAGAATTAGAACGCGCTACCCAGGAAGGACGAAGAGATTTGTTCTTCGTTTTGCGTCCTGAACCTTTTACCAAGATGCCAGCTCAGTGTTCAATAAGCCAGGCAGCAGAAGAAATGCAGGCCACGATAGTAGCGTGGGAAGCGAGCGAGAAATGTAGAAACTTAATCACAGCTATAGAGTCTGTAGCTATGCCTCCTATCGACAATATCATAGCCTTCGGCCTAGGGTCAATTTCAGCTCGCTCAAGCAGGAGATCACACCAAAGGGAGCACGCTTTAGCTATGACGATAGCGCGTACCTTGGAAAAGAAGAACCCATCCAGTAAGATACCTATCTATCTCCAAGATCCTGATTATTCATTTGTTTGTAAGTTGCTACTCCTTGAAATGGGCTTCCAAGTTATTGATGGCCATGGTGCTCGTGGATTCACCATGATTAACGAACGTACGCTTGTAATGAGCCACAACGCTTCCATACCAATTAGAGAGGTTATTGCTGACACTTCGCGACCGGCGGTCTTGTACTGCAAGCCCGAAATTCCACAGGAAGAGCACAATAAGGATGAGCACAATGCGCACCTTGCGAACTCAATGAAGGACATGGACTCCGTCCGGACGAAAAGAATGATGACTGAATACGACTTCGTACCAATCCCTGGAGCGAGTTTAAGCCACTATGCGTATTATGATTACAACAACAGGGTCCGTGGACAGGGCAAAGACGGCGAACCTTTTGGAAACAGCGTACTGTACGTTAGAAAGCATGCCTATGCCTCTCAACCTTTTCAACCCTAGATCTCCCAACCGGCTCAACCTTCGTAGTCTAGCACTACATATGACCTCTGATTAGAACTTCTTCCGTGGGAGTTATATAAGTAGAAATCACTAGAGTGAGTTAGGTTCTAGTTGATTGTTGGGACTACAGCATGTGGTCCCGACAAACGGGCCAAAGCTTTGTGGCCCGTGCGACTTGGGGTAGATTACTTTAATCTACCCCCACCGTCCGCGTAGTACAATTCTAACCTTATGCATAATCAATTCAATCAACATACACCCAACACACGTTACTAGTGCACTACCTAAGCCCTACCAACATTGATTGACAATGCAGATAAATCTCAGAAGTATGCAGGTACCTACTATCTTCGATACTTTCTGTTTGTAGTTATGTAATTTGAAAACTCAAGTAAAATTCAACACCATATTCAATTCATCGAGATAATTTTGTGACTGTGATAATGTAAATTGGGCATGTAATTGAGTGAAGGACCAGTGGCTACCCCTTAGGTACCTAAGTGTAGCAATGTATTGTCCCTTTTAGCGCAAGCTCAGCCAATCAGACTTGAGATTGTGTGCCTGCTGCTGAGAACAGTGCCCTGGACTGCCTGAAGAGTTCAGCTTCAGAGAGCGTCCAATCAAAAATAGGTACCTGCCTAGGCACTTATCCGTGAATGCTGTGCTTTTACCAGGGTTTTAGCGTGAGAAGATCTACATAACCTAAGCCGCCCCGCAGGTCCTTCTGCTCTCCCAGCCCTTCATCAATCCCTCTCCTCCACCAAGAATAGCGTTATTAGGTGCATTATCTCATAAGCCATGGCCATAGAGACATTATCAGACGCGATCTCTACCACATTCGGTTCGTTGTGCATCGCCTCTGCGCTGCCTTTCATTGGGATTCCCTTCCCGAGTCAGGCATGGGCAACCTACTACGCCGACAAGAATCGCTGGATGTCGAAGTTATCTAACGGACGTCTGACGCCGAAGCAGGCTGGATACGTGGGTGCTTTATTAAGGGTCGCGGTCGGTTCATGCTGTATCTACCAGCCTACTCGGGTTGCGGCCCTACTTATCAATGGTGCTATTGTGTGTCGCGGTACCGTCGTCGCATACCGAGACAAAAGGCCGATGAGACCGCAATGGACGATGCTGAGCGCTGTTGGACTGTGTTTGGTTCTAGAGCAGCTGAACCTATGACATTACCGCTACCCCTATGACGATACAGATCGACGGTCATTTTAGCAGGGTTTTGGTAGATAGGGTGTGTTCGGGCGACATTTCGCCTTATTCGGAAATCGCATTCTATTGAAAGCACCGGCATAACCAATCCTTCCTAAACCTGCCCTTGCAAACGGAATATCGTTGCGGTATTAAATGAAGAAGAGAGCAACAAAACAAATTGAGATCCAGCTGAATGTATTTAGATTTCGTCCTAGAACGCATGACGTAAGCATACAGGGTGAGCTAGGACGCTGTTCGACATTCGAGGGCTGGATACCTACCTGTAAGACTTCCCGAATAGGAAGCATGCGGCGAGAAGAGGTAGGCTAGTATCATAAGATGACTCTTATGAATCTAAACTCTCAGTATTTATATAATGGGAATATCTCTTGGCGTCTACACTGTATCATATCGAACGCTAGGCTATTAGGTAGTAGAGAGCGGTATTGACAAAAGACATTCAGGTGAGCTAGGCTCCGTAACGAATTGGAATTATACGCAAAACCCTCCTAACATTTGAGCTAAGCCGACAACAGGTACCTAACCAAAGGCAAATAATGGCGCGTTCACTTGCGTATCTGGTAGCAACCATTACCAGTGCCGCTTTTACGGCGGCGGCTACCATTGCGAACCCGGGATGTCAAGCAACGGCTCCATCACAAGGTACTATCAACGTGCCTACAGCCAACATGACCGTGCCCGGATCGCCTTTCGGACTCGTTTATGCTCGGCCTGACTTTGCCTTCGCCGGCATGGGCCAAAAAGTGATTATGCTGAACACATCCGCGTTCAAACCTGCACTCGCCCGCGAGATCGCGCTTCCCGCCTCCTTCAACCAGTCAGGAGTAGTCGTGGGCGGGATCACCCTATCTCACGACAAGCGCCATGTATACGCAGCCATTGGACCCGGCGCCGTCATCCTCGACGTCGAGAAAGCGATTCTCGGTCACGTGAACCCCGTTGTCGGAACTCTGGTCGGCAAGATTGGAGACAGCGCCATTCAAGTGACGCTGTCCGCAGACGATCAGTATGCCTTGGTTACCCAAGAATACGGCACCAACGCGACGCGTTACAAGGGTACTATCGAGGTCTTTCAGATGCATCAGAGTCGTAACGGGTCTATGACTGGCGTCAACAAGGGGTTTACCACTCTTGGCTATGCGGTTGTCGGCACGGCATTCTCTCACGACCAGAGCAAAGTATACGTCACGAGCGAGGTCACCGCTGCTGCAACATCCGCCAACGAAACTCAAGGGACCGTGAGCGTACTCGATGCCGCGACGCTATATACCAACCCGTCGAAGGCCCTCCTCCATAGCGTTGATGCGGGTTGCAGTCCGGTCCGCCTCGAGGTCTCTCCTGATGGTAAGCTGGTCTGGGTCACAGCTAGACAGAGCAACAGGCTCCTCGCCTTCGACACCGCCAAGCTCGATTCCGCACACCCTGAGGGAGCGCTCGCGGCGAGCGTGCAAGTGGGCACGTCGCCCGTTGGCCTTGCTATCATTAACGGGGGTCGCCATATCATCACCGCCGACTCCAACAGGTTTAACTCTCCTAACGCCACTACCGGGTTGACAGTCGTCGACGTCGAAGAGGCCCTGAGGGGCGAGCAAGGCTTCCGGAAGATTCCGACTGGTATGTTCCCGCGCGAGTTCGCCGTTAGCCCCGACGGGAAGACCGTGTTGGTAGCACAGTATCAGAGCGATGCTATACAGGCCCTAGATGTCGCCAAACTACTATAATGCGTTTAGAAATACCTGGGTATTGGACGCCTGCAAGGGCGAATATGACATAAGCTCATAGTACTTAGGCCTGTCTATTTCTTATTCTGTATAACTGAATCCCTATATAACAACTAGAATATACATGAAACTTCGGCGTTCAATTGACTTGGTTCATCCCATGTTCGCTCTTTATCAGATCGGCGGCCTTTTCCGCAACCGCATACACCGTTGACTGCAGGTTTCCAGGGGGGAGTAGGGGAACGATGCTAGCATCGACAACGCGGAGATTTTCGATACCGTAAACCTTCAACCTGGTATCGACGACCCCTCCCTTGCTCTCCGGAAGCATCGCGCACGTCCCCGCGGGGTGCCACATCGAGATAGACCGGCCCCTAATATACTCTTTCGCGGCATCCAAGTCGGCGAAGGTAGCTGACGAAGGGGATATCCTTAGCGGCTGTTTGAGTAAGTTCGTGAGGGGCTGCGACGCGGCGAGAGCGGGGAGAGAAAGTACGTGCTCCGCGAAGATATCGAGGTCCACGGGGTTCGTTAGGTACTTGGGGTCGATAACGGGATCCTCTGAAATGTCCTGGGACGCGATATGGACACTTCCCCTCGAGAGCGGCTGCGCTAGTATGGTGATGAACTCGATGTACCTGCCTGACACGGGCGGCGGTGGCTTTCCGGTGAGAGGGTCGGGCGCGAAACCGCCTTGCACGAGACTTGTGATATAAGCAGCCGATGGCGCTTTGGGATCTAGCAAGGTCTTCTCCGCTATTTCGTAATATGCCGCAGCTCGAGCTTGGCTATGATCCGAAGGCGTTTCCACGGGAGGACGGTTCTTTTGCAGCAGCTCTTTCAACGACTTTTGACCAGCCTCAGACTGGTGCTTGGTCACTGGCATATAGGCACACGTATGGATGCCACAGGTTGAGAGCGGGCCAGTGCGGCTTCTCGCGTACTCGTTCATGGCCTGTTCTAAGTCCTTGGGCTCGAAAAGGACGTCAAGAGTTTCTATGTCATCGTTTGCCTCAAATACCATGCCGCAAAGCAGATGGTCTTGGAAGTTTTCTCCGACACTCTCTATGTTCTTCACAACCTCGATACCGTGTCGGTTGAGGACATCTGCGTTGCCGACGCCGGAAAGTTCTAGTATTTTAGGTGTTTGCAGAGCACCGGCCGCAAGGATGACCTCCTTGCGAGCCTTCGCGATCTTCGCTTCGGTACCATGGCGATATTGGACCCCTATGGCTGTTGTTGAGCGTTCCCGAAAAAGAACCCTTTCAGCCAAAGCACCGGTCACGACGTGGAGATTCTTCCGACTTTTTATTGGGTCGTAGTATGCGTTGGCGGCATGGCTTCTTTCCTTTTTCACTGGATCTATGTTTGCGAGGTTACTAAAGGCGCCGACTCCAATCGATGGGTCTACAAAGGGATTATTTGCCATAAGATATCCCATGTTCCTGAATGTCTCCGCCCAAGCTTTGCGAATAGGATGGCTTGGATTACCGGGGAAGGAGAGTTCAAGCGGCCCCTTGGAGATGTCATTCTTGATGGCCCACCTGTCAATGCCTAGACTCCGTTCTAAGGTCTCTGGTATCTGTGGTGAGGTAAATGTTTTGGCGTAATACTGGCCAAGACCGTCCCAGTCCCAGCCGTCGTTTCCGAGCGAAGCCCAGGAGTCGATTAGTTTCTTAGTAGGAGGAAGAAAGATTTCTGCGTTCACTGCACTCGAACCACCGAGAATTCTGCCCTACATGAGTATCGAATGTTAGAAATACCCTTCCCGGTAACCGAGATATTGGCGAGAGGTTATAAAGTCTCGACTGAAGGCCCCGCGAATATCAAAATTCCTTAGTGTTAGGAAATAGAGGATACGGAACTCACTTGACTCATGTTCATCCTTCTAAGATTCATGTTTGCCTACAACCTGTTTTAGGACCAAACCCTTCCAGCAGAAAGACCATCGGTGCATACCTGAGCCTTTGTTTGAAAGCCCCAATGAAGGTCGGTATTCATCATAGTTCCAAAGAGGGCTGGTGTCTTAACTCGTGGGTCTTTGCTGTGATTAGATCCAGCCTCGATCACAAGAATACTCTTATTAGGATCTTCTGAAAGCCGAGTCGCAACGGTAAGCCCGGCTGTTCCACCCCCTATTATAACAAAGTCGTATGATTCGGCTGCCATATTATGTGTGTGCGACAATTGGTTCTTGGATATGGATAAAACTGAGTCTGAGGAAACGTTGGAGTGCCATCTTGCGCAATATATAAGTATTCACCTGTGCCATTCCAGGGGTTGAAGAATATACCTACCTATCTAGGTATTCACGTAGGTGTATGCTCCACATCTGCAGGACCGAAGGTCCCAGATGCCAACGCAAGGGTGAACATGTCACTAGATCTTTTCTGCTTATAACATTGTGCACATGGAGGTTAGCCCTAGTTTGTTAGTAACCTGGGATGGTCCGGGTTTTGATGCTAGGTAGATACCGAAGAAAAGGCACAGTTCTATGCATCTCTACGGCGTTGCGACGTGGGTGACCATTACAACATATCGAGAACTATACAGACTTCAAACAAAAATAAACGAATGTGAATAAATCTCGAAAATGTTCAATAAAGGATGGGAATAGTTTAGGATGAAACTGTGAGGTGAATTCAATTGACGCTTACTAAGACCCCCTTTCCTTTGCGGAAAGCTACCTACCTCAACAATATGTTAGGTAGCGTAAGCACTCGCTGACGGCTCAAAGGGGGTTGGATTCTTCTAAGTGTGGCACCTAAAGTGCACCGTCCACACTGCTAAGTTTACCTAAGGTGAGAAGTATCCCACTTCATCTTGATGCCTCATCAAATGGCCCAGATTCCAGCTTCCCCCTATAGAACAGAAATTCAATCTCTATTGTCAAAGATGAATATGCCGTCCTAGACCCTTTGATGTTCGCTCTATTGACTAAGTTACATTTCCAAGTATCCCTAGTTACTGAATTTCTGTTGATAAACTAGTGTCACGGGGCAATTAGTTAATTCATCCTACAAGAGACACAAGGGACTAGGCCTTGATTAGCTCAGCTGAGTGATGCTGTCAGATACCCTTTCTAGGTCAGTCAGGTGATGAATAGATACTCCATCGTCACGTTTTCTAGATCAGGTCTTATCCAAGGACAGGTGGGTGGTGTGATGAATCTTCTTATTGGAGATGTCTTCAATCCTTGATTCTTACGTGATTTCCCTTGAGATAAGATTGGTATTGTAGAAGAATTTGTCGTTTGTAGACAGATAGACCTAAGAGAGAATCGAAAAATTAAATTCCTTGTGAAGAATCTAATAGTCAGTTTGATAGATGCTATACCTAGCTCGCCATTCCGCAGGTACAATTGCTTCCTTAGAGATCTGCTACCTGTAGACTGTATGACAACTAGACCTCCCACGTTGTGCATATAAATGATGCCTACATGGCATAAAAGCCTCTCAGACTGGAAGTTTTGAGATTTGAAAATGGCATCCTGTAGATTGCGAGATGTAATATTGATGATGCTGTATTTCGAACGGTGAAGAGCTACTCATTCTTCATCTCCTTTTTTGCAAGCTCTATGACATCTACCCACGTTGGTGGCCGACACTGCCACTTAGCACCAGCCTCTTCTGCATCTACACCGAATAAAATGAGTGTGTCTTCCCTTGTCCACTCGCCTGTAGCCATCAGGCCGACAGGGACCTTGCCTTCGGTGTTGGGACCGGCGATTTCTCCCTCGCCTGGCTGCCCTTCGGGTACGACATAGCCCGCCGGCACGGTGAGACTCGGCACCCCGCAAAAGTTAGCTAACCAGACATATTCCATAGAATCTAACGTCTGGTCTCCGTCACTTATGCCGTACTTGAGTTCCGATGCGGCACGGATGGGCCAGCCTTCGCAAGCCGTCGTGGGCGTGACGATAATCATTCCTGGGTACGTATTCCAGAGCCAGGAGAGATGCTGCATGAGCACCCGACGCAGCTTCTGTGCAAGGAGATAGTCGGTAGCGGGTGTTACCCGTCCAAGCGCAAACAGGATACGATTCGCGGGCGAGAAGCCGCGAGTGTCGTGCACAAGCGTCGATGCATTTGTAAGCATGGTAAGAGCATGTGCAATCTTGCTCTCGGCGATAAAAGGGATGTTGATAGACTTCACAGTATAGCCCTTGTAGGTGACAAGCCAATCAATCATACCCCGGCACAACGTCTGAATTGCTGGTGTTGCGCTCTGAAACCACGCTTCAGGAAGACCGATCACCTTTGGTCGGTTGGGATCAGCCGTGAGTCCTCTGATAGAAGGCGACGGCGGAGGAAAGCACGAGAGAGGATGTGGCTGACTCGCGACACTATATAGCTCTGCGAGTGACCGCATATCAGCTGCGATGGGACCGCAGACCGCGGAGGTGCTGCTGGCATTGAAAGATGGATGATACGATATCCGTCCTAGAGAAGTTTTCAAGCCAAAGACAGAGCAGAACGAGGAGGGAACACGAATGCTGCCTCCACCATCGTTACCCATAGCGATAGGGATAAGGCCAGCTGCAACAGCGTATGCGGACCCAGAGGAACTACCACCCGTGTAATAGTGCTGGTTGTATGGATTGAGCGGAGTGCCGTGTGAGATATTGACGCCGCATGTGTCTAAATATGTTAGGGGCACACACTATGGTCTAATAATATGATCGTGGGGCCTTACCCATCCCAAATTCATGCATAGATAGTTTACCGAGGATAATTGCCCCGGCTTCCTCTAGTTTCTTAACACACCAGCTGTCGATCCTCTCGTCATTCAACGCTTGAGCTGTACAGTCATGTATGGACCCAAGAGATTTTGTGTAGCCTTCGATATCATACTCGTCCTTCACTGCCGTGGGAATACCATCCAGAGGCCCCAGGGATTGGTGTTTTTGGTATCTCAACGTTGATGCCTTGGCGGCCTCAATAACCAGATCAACCCTGATTTGGAGCCAGGCTGCCGAGTGCTCACCAGGTGGCGATGTGTCGCGGCGAATCAAGGGGAGGATAGCTTGCACAACAGCTAGCGGGGTCAGGGCTCCGGAAAGATAAAGAGACCGGTAGTGAGCGACGGAATATCTCCCTTGAACTGGAATAGGATTCTCTGGCTCTAGAGGGATGTCACGGCTGCTATGACTAACTCCAGACTCGGCAGGGGTTGCGCCAGTGATATCATTCTCAGTTGGAAAGACGGTGGGATCGAATCGTGGTTCGACATGCTCGATGTACTCTCTAAGATTTCCTAGCGAGCCGAATCCTGCATTTCGCCAAAGCCACCATCTTACAAAGCCTAACCATTCTGTTCTGAGAACAACATAGATTAGCCCGACTGATTGATTTAGATGTCACAAAAGTCTAGAGGCTTACAAAAAGCTAACGGCTATCAATGCCCAGCCTCGGAGCCTGGGGTTTCGTTTTCTCGCTTTTATATATGGGGTCTCTGGTCTGTTTTGGCTGTTAATGCAAACTTGAAAACATATAGATGGCTAGTGAGATCATGATTATAACTCACGCACGAATTGGCTCAGGGTAAAGAGACAAGAGCTTCTGTTTCGTATGCGGCTCCATCTGTGATTTTACCTACGGTACTTAGGCATGTAGCTAAAGGGAGGGTGTGTGGGGGAAGCTCTCAACAAGCAGTCAAGTTGTGAGCGCTAAATGGGACACAGTGCACGGTTCAAATTTGAAGATTACTAAGGTTGTACGTTACACATGGGACGGACAATGTACCGGTGTCATACGTGGCTGCTTGAAGTAACAGTGCATAACGTTAAATTACGACAAATTCACTTCTAATAAACGTTATTTATTGAAGCACTTGCATACCTAGGTAGGTAGGTACCTAGTATGGATAGGTACATAAGATTCAAATGGCCATAGTTAATACATACTTTGCCTGTCTCTAGATGCTATTATACATTTACCTGTGGAGGTGAGCAACTGTTCCCTCGAAAAGTTTTTATTAATGTAGTGTAAAGCATTTGAAGCATTATTGAATACCTAACTACCTTAGGTATTAGTGTATATTATGAACGTCTGGAGACCAATAGTAGTTAATTGTTTCATGATAGGTATCTAGGTAGGTCAGTCTAATGGCCACAGCTTAATAGTGGTTCTTTTATGTATCTACTGTACTATGAAGATTTAAATCCTTGTGTACCTATATCTTCTCTCTCTAAACTATACTCCTTTATGAATAATGATGCGATGAAACCTGTTCCCGAGACACACGTCAGAATGATCCAGATCATTTGGAAAGGTTTCTCATAAGCCCCCAGGATATCATTCATTACCTCCTCTGGGAGGTCCAGCTCCCTTAGGGACGGAATGAAACTGATTGCTTGGCTGGCATCCTTCAGAACCTCCGCCTCCGCTGGTAAGTTTCCAAGAGCGGCAATGCTTTTCTCGAAAACAGAATTGAACGCAGTTGAGCTAGCTGCTAAGCCAATAAGTGCGCCAAAGAGCCGGAAGACTACAAGCATACCCACTGTAACACCCGTGTCGTTGACATCTAAAACACTAGCCTGCATTGGAACCTGTGTGGCAGTGAATATAGTCCCAACCCCGGCACCGAGAACGGCCTGTAAGACGTATGCTTCGGTCCGGGAAGTGGTTTGATTTATAAGATGCCATAATCCTAGGAATACTGCGGTTACTACCCAGCTAAGCCAGAGCAGGACGCGATAACGTCGTGTGAGGTCTATAACCACCGGGGCGATGAAACTGAACGCCACGGAGAAGCACGAGCAGGGAAGTATCGACTTGACCGCCTCCAGGGGGGTTTCTAAGAACACAGCCTGAAAAAATAAGGGCAAATAGAGTAGCATCGTATATAAGATAAGACCGTGGAGAAAACCAGTCGCGAGGGATAGGGTGCTGGTACGATTGGCAAAACTCCGGTACGACACTATCGCTTCTTCTGGCTTCTTCTCGTAAATCCCAAATACGATGAGGACCACGCAGCCGATTAAAAGGGGCACCAATGTCTTCCATGAAGCCCATGGATATAATGTACCGGCCCAGCTGAGTGGCAATGCCACTGCGGACGCGCCAATCGTAAAGAGGAGCATGTCAGTCCAATCTAGTCGACGGATTTTAGCCTTGGGTGTCATCTGAATTGGACGCAGGCGAAGGAAGAAGAAGGCGAGGAGGAAAGAAACCCCTATAATAGGCAAATTGATCCAGCCAATCCATCTCCAATTAACAAGTTCGCTGAACAAAGCGCCTAAAACAGGTCCGGATATACTTCCAAGGGCGATAGCCAAGGCGATCACGCCTAGATATCGAGGCCGTTCCTTGAGGCTTGTAATGTCGGTTAGGATGAGTTAGTATGGTCATAAAGCAGATCACCGTAATTGAGCAGACTGATAACTCACCGGCAACGCCATAGCAAGGCATGTAGCATCCCATGATGTTATTATGACCACGAGCCAAAGGGAGAGAATCAACATATAGAAGGAGAACGGCTTCTTTGGTTTGATCCGTGTCCCTAGCGTCTGGGTTTCAACCTGATCGACAATGGCCGCCTCGGCCAGAGGAGTTTGTGGCTCGCTATTTTTCATGGCTCCCTGCATGCTTCAGTTCCATACCTAATAACGCGATACTTTGTTTACGGTAAAACAACGTAGAGCTAAACTCAGTGATAAAACGGTTGGCTGAGATGATTTGTTGGGGCAGGCAGGCAGCCTTAGAGAAATAATTTATTTTCTTCTTGGAGAACTGCAGTTGGGAGGCATTTTTTCTATTCCGTAACCCTATTGGTGTACGATTTGGGGTATATTGAGTATCACAACCAAATGTGTAACCAACAACATTCTATATTATCAGGCTGTCGGCACAATACTAACGGGGTTTCTATATTGATTATTCCGATATATCACTCTAAATATAACTAGGTACCTAGGTAGGTAGATTGAACTACAAGATGTTTTCCAAACATAGAGGTATTGTTTGAATGGACCGGAAATCCAGGCGTTGTCTACCTTCTAAGAATAACAATCGCTGTCTACCTTGACATTATCCTAGGGGATTCTTTGAAATATCCTCCAGTAGGTACCTGGTAGATTCGCCCAGATCATATATTGAAGGTAAGATGAATAAAAGCATATACATATCACACAAAGATTACTGTTTGACAACTACCTCCAGCTAACTTCTATCGCACGTATAATCAAAAAACACAACTTGTGAGCCACACCGCAGACTGGTGGGCTCGATATCAGCACGGGCATTATAATTCCTAGATGCATATCAGCTGAATTTGACGGTGTGCCAATGCTTCGAACTGCAGATGAAGTCTTATTTGAGTTATGAACATTAAGCGCGGTGGTATTAATGGGAGGAATCTTACCAGTGGTTCGACAAGCCACCTAAATATAGTTCTTTGAATGTTCACAAGTAATAACAACCAATATCCATTTCACCTTAGATGACTTATGTGATGAGTGGCATTTATTTAGTTGGCTCCTTCCACTGCCGTATAATCCTTCAACACTATACCGATTGTGTAGGAATCACTTACACGCATCTCGCAGGAACTTATGCTTAGCCACTAAATAACGGGACTTCAATCCCTTGAAGGATTCGCAATCAATATATTTAAGACCACTTGAGAATCGGAAGCTAAATTTGACTTTGTAGATCACTCCCGACTAAGCTGTACTTGGAGATATTTCGCGACTGTAAATGTATAAAAGAACTAAATGATACCTACCTAATTCTCTCGTTTCCCCCTTTAATTCTCGCCAGACAACAACTCCAGTCTCGTATCCAATAAGTTCGTCGCGAATTACTCAACACCATAAGTTGCAATTTCCAGTCCGAATCACAACATGCAACTCTCACTTCTAAGCGTCGTCGCCGTCGTAGCATTCGCTATGAACGTTGCTGCCGGTCCCGTGCCGGAGGAGCTTCTTCCACGAACATGCGTGAGTATTAATCAATTCTATAATAACTGAGATGAGGCGACGGCTTGGAGAGAAGTATTGACATTCTGTATAGTCTGGTGTCGGAACATGTGGTAAACTCATCTGCAAGGTGAAGAGTGGTTGTACCTGCGTCAACGAGGGTTGCCTCGAGGAATCAAGCCGAATCTGCACTTGCGCCTAGGTTTAAAACAGCGAAGGGTTGCAACAAAAGGCCGATTGAGTTGCAAAAAGGGCCAGTATAGATGATTCTTCCGGTCAAATGGGGCTTCTGTCTTGTACATAGGTGAAATACGATAGGGGACTATCTTCTCCGTTCCTGTGAAGGAATCATTGTTGCACACTGTACACAGTTTCTCGGTGTCTAGCTCTCTAGGTGCTATTTTATGTATTGCGAATAAAGACGGCTGAAGATAACTTATATTCTAGACGGAGTTAACTTTCTAGTCTGTAGCACCACGGTTTCGTAATAGCTGAATAACCTCACTTGATGCTATTGATAACAAACCCTGATTCTTCCAGTCTCGAGCCATGACATCAGCACCTGAATCTAGGTAGTAAAAAGCTCACTACGCCCCCAAAGCCCTCTGGTGCTGCTCCCATCAAAGGCGTCCAGTCGTTATAAGCACGTCGAGCATTGACTTCAGCACCGTGCTCGACCAGTAAGCGGACAACCCCCTCGCGTCCCCCAGATGCTGCTGCATGTAACGGTCTCGCGTCGATAGAGTGGCCCTCGACATTGGCGCCTCTACTGAGTAGCACTTTGACAACAGCTTCGTGGCCACAAAGTATTGCCGTATGCCCTGGGGTCATTTCTGCTTGATCAACGTTTTCAATGTTAGCGCCGCGATCAAGCAAGACCTGCACAATAGCTTCGCACCCAAGCTCCACTGCACTCTGTAGTAGAGAAGCTATTGTTTGATCGTGGGTGCAACATTAACGCCGTAGTCAAGGAATAGCTGAACAATAGCTTCTTGCTCATCCTTTGCTGCCTTCGACCACTTTAATTTGCTATATTCCCAATCATGGATGATGCCGCGGTGGCGCTTAAGGATCTGTCGGAGAACAGCCACATTTCCAAGTTCGAATGCACGTTGAGGTAGAGATTCTAAGTCGGTTGTATCGAAATCGATGCCGTCACCTCTATCGAGTAACAATTCCACTACACCCCAATATTTCCGATTCACTGCAATTGAAAGCCGTGTATTGATATACTCGATCCGACCACCCCTATCAAGGAACATGCAAGCAATTGTCGCATATCCCTCGTCTAGTGCCTGAGTTAAAGCGTTATCATAATATACAAGTCGATCATCATCATCAAGTGTGTACTCGATTTCAGCGCCCGCATCAAGTAACAGTGAACAAATCTTTTTATGACCGTAGGATGATGCCAAAGATAGTGGGGTCCAGGTCCAGTAATGCGATAGCGCGAACTCGGGGGGACGTGGATTGACGTCGGCGCCATTTTTTATTAGAATCTGAACAATGACTTCATCTCCCCGATGAACTGCGCGTTGAATAGGGTGCTCATGATTACTCTTAAAGTTAGGGTTGGCGCCATGATTGAATAAAGTTTGGATGCCAGATATGTTCTTCCCATCTATCGCCAATTCGAGAGGTGTGATTTTTGATATTCCAGTGCTGGACTTATCCATTGTCTTTTTATTGAGATTTATCTTTTCGATAATAAGGAAGACATCTAGGATTTCTGATTCTTTAGCTTCTATCAGATGGAAAAGGACGTTTCTAGTGAAGAAGAAGCTTCGCTTCAAGGCGTTCCTTTCTTGTCTGGTGTTGATAAGGTCGCCACATAGTTGGTGAAGGTTGAATTCTGGTGGCAATATCTGCACCTCCATCTGTAGTAACGCCTGGAGAGCTTCGTTACTCTTGGTGGTAAGTGCAGAGAATATTGGCGTGCCGTAGCGTGCTTTTTCCACAGCAAAACATGATTGATGGACATCGGGAATTCGGATGAGATCCGGCAAGTTGTTCCCTGCTAGTATGTATAAGAGACTTTCTGTCTCAGTGTATCGCCGTATTTGGCTCATCGCGAATAAATTATTGTATATTTTCCAATTGTCTAATGAGAAGCAAGACGAAGGTGTGACGAATACTTCTAGAAATCCTTTCTGGTTGACTCCGCTGGATTCAGCTTTGTCAGCATGATATAAGATATTCCGGTTGGCGTATTCAAGGAATGGAAGCTTGTTGACTATTTCCTGGCGGATTCGCGCGGTCTCTGGGTCCGATGCTTTTGGAAGCGGACTAGGGAGGTCAAAATTCTTTACGATCTTGTTGCCCATGTATGCGCCACAACATTGTCTAAGCTTATCATGGCTTTTTCCTTCAAGGTTAGACCCAAGTCCTGGCCATATTTTCTGAAGCCCATTTTCCTTGAGGAGGAAATCCCGAACTGACTCATGGATAAACTGAATGGTGGGTTTCTTATTTTTTGTCGATTCCGCGAGTCCTTTCGAGTTGTCAATGATGTATCTCCGGATGTCGTCGGTTGAGAGATCGTGTTCTGAATCGCAGGCGAATAAGGAATCCGGTTCCACTCCAGACATAATGGCAAAGTAGAGTTCCTTTGGAGTCAGAGGGCGCCTTGCGAAAAGCACCCACTGGATGCAGAGCAGGAGCCCTTCCGTATTATCGTGGTCGCGGGTCAATATGTTGTGAATCAAATTGTGAAGATCACCGGGAATATCTTTTAGTCTCTTATGAAGACTGTGTTTGCGTCCGCGATCGTATTCCTTGTTTAAGATATCTACTACTAGAACCACCCACATGAAAACACCAGATGCCTTGTTCTGTAGCTTGGAACGGATCTCCTCTGCGTGGTTGCTATGCCCGATATTCAATTTATCATCCAAATAGCTTGTTATATCTTGTTGATGTTCTTCCCTCCCTTCAATCACTAGGTTGAGCCCCTTTTTGACCGTGATGTGCGGATAATGCCTGCTCGCAAGGCATACACGTAATTTGGTTCCGGTTGGGGCGGCCTGTTCATTGAGAGCAGATAGAAATGATATCATGCTTCGAATTTGTTGTTCCTCGCATTCATCTAATGCGTCAATAAAGCAGATGATCGAAGATGTCTTCATCGAACATATTGCCCCTTCCAAAAGAGATGTCAACGATTCGATGTTCCATTTGTGTCCGGGGCTGGTTGAATCTAGTACTTGTCGGAGATCGGGCTGTTCTTCGAGGAGCTGTGATAGAAGCGATCGGTAGAGGCCAATTGTAGATTTCTCCAATTCTTCTCCTCTCGCATTGAAAAAGAAGGAGAGGACGATATTCCCTTGTTTTCTCAACGTCCGATAGATATGAGAGAACGTGGATTTCATCAAAGTTGACTTTCCTGCGCCGGGCTTACCCTTAACCCATAGGAGACCACCATGGTCGTCAAACTTATTGACATTAAGCCAATCGACGTATTGCGTAGTTTTCAGGAACCACTTGCAAGTTTTCCCATGCGCTCTCTTAATAGTCATTCGGCGGGTATCAATTTGAGTGAATTTGAGAGACTCGAGCAAATTGCGTCGATGTTCTTCCTCACTAAATATCGTACCAGAGGTGGTCAGGGTCTGCGGGGAGAAGGACGGGTTGATGAAGACATTGCTATTATGAAAATGCGGCACTAAATCCAAGGGTCAGTTCCAATAGGGGTCCCTTGGATGCGTAGCACTATACTATTGAAGTCCCGCCCATTGTGGAATCTCCCATGCACATTCTGTATGCCTTCTCCGGAATGTTGAGCGTAGCCTTGATCTCCATTGTGCGAGTTTTCGCTATGTTCGGGAGGGGCAGAGCCTGCATATTCTTCGCCCTGCTCATAGTAATCATTTGTTTTGAACCTCTTGTTCGGACGCTCCATTTGGCTTCAATATTAAAATGGATAGGTCACGATCTTTGATAGTCATGGGTGAATATTCGCAACATGAATCGGGGTATGATGTGTTTTGTCAAGGCTTCGTAACAAGTGAAGGAGGAGTAATGTTGGGCAGTCTGATAATAGCAATTGGGTTTCAAACCCCCATTTTATTGGTCATGGGGCTTCGGGGCAGACAGTAAGGCACACTTTGACGAAGGCGAGGCAGATTCGGCTGAAAGGTATGCAGGTACCTAGCAAGGCATGTAATATACCTATATAGGTAGGTATATTCCCTTGAACTCAGCCTTACAACATAACTTTACGTACCTACTCGAGTCCCTTGATTCGAATACCTTATGATTATCGGCGTAAATGGCTGAACTACGACCTGAAGATTATTCTATCATATGGATTGCACCGCTAGCGATCGAGGCACAAGCTGCCATACATATGTTAGACCGTAGACATAATGGCAGGTTTCTGATGGGCCGTGGTGACGATTACGTGTTTCCAGCCGGAGAAATGTGCGGGCATAACGTTGTGATCGCAACCCTTCCAGCAGGGCAGGAATACGGAACCGGATCAGCTGCAGCACTTGTTAGCCAAGCGAAAAAATTCTTCCCTAATTTTTGGTTTGGTCTTCTGGTGGGCGTGGTGAGTAGTACTCCAAGCAAATCTCAGGACCTCTCCCTTATACCATGCGTTCTGCCCACCCCAATTGCCTTGGTAGGATTGAAATACTTATTAGATTTATTTCAGGCTGCTGGGCTCCCTAATCTTCGCCGAAATCCGCCACGAGATATACGACTAGGCGATGTTCTTGTCAGCATCCCCGATATCGACCGCTCAGGAGCCGTGGCCTATGATCTAGGTAGAGATACGGGAAAAGACGAACTCGAACTCTTACGTCAAGGCCATGTACTAGCCCAAACAGAGCCTGTAGTGAGATCTGCAATTGGAAGTATCAAGCTTGATTCGCCAGATGAATCCAAACTGTTTCTGCCATATTATGAAGCTATGAAGGATAAACGGCATTCGAATGGAACTTTCGTTGACCCTGGACAAGAGTATGACAAACTCTACCAGGATGGTGACGATGGGGCCGAGAGCCTTGTAGAGAGGCAACCACGTCCTGATTCTCAACGCACTCTTGTGTGGTATGGATCTATAGGGTCAGGAGAGAAACTCATGAAGAATGCTGCAAGACGCGACGAATTGAGAGACAGGTACGACATTATTGGTCTAGAGATGGAAGCAGCGGGAACCATGAATCGGATCCCCGTCGGTGTGATCAGGGCTGCTTGCGATTACGGAGATAAACGCAAGAACAAGGAATGGCAGCCGTACGCTGCGGCTATGGCGGCGGCATATGCAAAGGCCGTCTTGTTTCAGATTCCTCCAAAGCCCAAGCCTGATCAACGTAGTAGACGACGTAAGATGCCTTTCCATAGATACTTCCAGCCAGTATGATGCCTAGATGGCTAACATGACTAATAGACTCAACCAAACGTCGTGCAAGGGACTCAACAGACTCGGACTCGGACTCGGACGATGATAGTAGGAATAAACGATCCAACATCGATGGCACTACTAGAGCTTCGTCAAGAAGAGACAATGTCGTATTTAGGGGTCAAGGTAACCAGAACGTAGGCTCTGGGAGTATCTCGATTGGTGGAAGTCAAACTTTTCGTTAAAAGCAGGCATCACGGTAGCGACACTTGATATTTCTCGTATATTACTAGTATTTGGAAATAGTCATTGAGTCAGAACATTCAGGAATTATATTCATACTTGTAGTGGTAGTCTCAACGCGACTATCACAACTCCGTCAGCTCGTCAGCTGAGTACCTAGGTAGTTTTACCGAATTAGGAATCCATTGATTAGTAGTCGTCTTGTGTATCTTGATGAATAAACGCGGAGAATCGATTGACTTAAAGATGGTCGGAGAACTAAGTACGTTAACGATGAGTGTTTTTCTTGTCAGAAAACGAAGGAATAATTAGGGGGTGGAAAATTGCATAGCATGTTTCTGGACCGTCCCGGGATATCCCCCTAGCCACACTGTAGCGGGGTGTGGGGTCCCTGATAATTAGCTGCAGGAGGCTGAATATCGTTATGCGCTATGCAGGTAAAGAGTTATCATCATTACCGGGCTATACGGAGTATGCTTTAAAGAATCGAGAGTCAGTAGCGAGGTGTCAGATACAATTTCATAATTTTTGTGTTATCAGGTGGTCCGTGTGTTTTAATGCCTTGATGCCTTTAAATCTCTGGCTTTTACGTGATCTCCTTTGAGATACGATATGGAGACCATTAAAGATTTTGCAGTTAGTCTTGGCCATAATCTTTTGGATTGGGAAGATAGAATTTTCTTTATATAATTAATTGAATTATCAAGTCTCACGTTATTTTGACACGAGGCATCTGAAAAGAAAGAGAATTGTGGATCTTAACCCCTTTTCTTAATAAGAGGATATTTATGAACGTACCTAGTAGGTTATATACTTCGCTCAAGGAATCCCTTTGCCCGCCTCTAACAGAAACATAAACTTTTTGATCTAATTGAAAGTTATATGGAAGGTCTTAAACCATACAATGCAGTAGTACGTCACGAACACGTCCTGCAGCCGGCGCATGCCGTGTCGGTGCTACGGGACTCCGACTCTCCAGCCCTTACGTACCGGGTACATATGGGATATAAAAAGCAAGATGACACGCCTTTCTCGAAGTCAATCTATTTCACTTTCCATTCCGTATCAAATAACTCTAGGTTAACATGTCCGTCACCATTGGAATTGCCGGGATCACTGGGAAGTTCGCTCGCGAACTGACCTCAATCCTCCTGAAAAATCCACATGTCGCTATTAAGGGGTACTGCCGCGACCCTTCCAAAGTTCCACAGTCCTTTACTTCCAAGGTATCACTGGTGAAGGGGGATGCCTACGATGAGCCCGCCATCCGGTCCTTCGTCGCCGGGTGCGACGTAGTGGTCTGCTGCTACCTCGGCGATCCGAAGTTGATGGAAGACGGGCAGAAGCTCCTCATCGATGCCTGCGCTGCCGAAGGCGTTCCGCGCTATGTCGCCTCTGACTGGTCCATAGACTACACTAAACTCAAATTGGGACAGTTGTTCCCTAAAGACCCCATGATTCGCGTCAAGGCGTACCTGGACGCGCAGGATAAGGTCAAGGGTGTACACATCTTGGTCGGCATGTTCATCGATGGCTTCTTCGGCGCTCATTTTAATGTTTACGATGCCGCTACCACCACGTTTAAGTACTGGGGCACGGGCGATGAGATCTGGGAGGGAACTACCTACCGGAACGCTGCCGAATACACGGCTGCCATCTGCTTAGACAAGGACGCTGTGGGCATTCTCAAGCGTAAGTTCTCCGTGAGTTTTACATGATTCCGAGTAATGGCTTACGAGACATACCTACCTATCTACAGTTGTCGGCGGGCAATCCACCTTCAATGAGATAGTCGCATTGTTCGAACGAGTCTACGGTGTGAAGCCTAAGGTTGATCGTCAAGGCTCGTTGGACGATTTATTCAAGCTCATGAATGAAAAAAGAGAAAAAGACCCCAAAAACATTTTCTCATACTTGTTCCTGTAAGCGGAGAGAATTCCTATATATATACCCAGTCCCAAGCTTACTATGTCATAGCTTCTTCCAATACTATATGATCGAAGGAACGACTGATATCGGACCTGAGCTTGACAATGATAGGTACCCCCAGGTGAAGCCTGTAAGCTGGGAAGACTACCTCAGAATGGTGCCCAAGGATCAGCTGCCTACTGCAATCACTAAAGTCGGTCAGAATGTTTAGGGGTACAGTGAGAAGGCTGAGCTATGGGACTGGTATTATGTGTACACCTTGGTATTTAACATATTATCCACGTACCTAGGCAATATCCATACCTTCCTCCTAGGTAGCTATGCGATGTTTCATCATATACCACTGTGGCTTCGTCAAACCTCCATATCACACTACCTATGTATCAAATCCTTTCAGACAAATCTCCAAAGACAAGATGCAAATGCGCCCCAACCCAACACCGCAGAGCCATCCATCCATTCCACCCACCCACCAAAATCCCGCCCCAGACAAAAGCCCCCCAAACCTCCCCACCACACCACACTCAACACAACCTCATCTCCCCCTCGCCCAAAACCTCGCCTTAACACCCGTCATGATCGCGATATACGTAAAGCTCTCCATCGCCCGCACATCAGGCCTCTCCACAATCTGCACATCGAACTCGCTGAGCAGGCGCGGGACCACCTTCGCGAGCATCAGCTCCGCGAGGTTGCGCCCGGGACACGTGTGCGCGCCGCCGCCCCACGCGAGGCTGAGCCGGTCGAGCTGGCGCCACGCCTCGGGGCTCGCGAGCCAGCGCTCGGGCCTGTAGAGTTCGGCGTCGGCGCCGTAGATAGATGGGTTTACGTGTAGGGCTGGTACGTTTACGCCGACGGTTGTGCCTGGGGGGAAGGAGTGTCCGTGCAGCTGTAGGGGCGGGCCGGGCGGGACTTTGCGCCAGAGCGCGAGGGAGGTTACGGGGTGTAGGCGTAGGGTTTCTTTGAGCGCTGCTTGGGTGTATTTGCATTTTTCGAAATCGAGGGCGGCGCCGGGGGAGGAGGAGGAGGAGGAGTCTAGCTCAGCTTGGACGCGCGATTTTATGGACGGCGAGGAACAGATCGATACGAGCGTCGAGACGGCGATCGATGTCGTGGTCTCGTGTCCGGCGATGAAGTTGAAACTTGCCATTGCGGAGGCGTAGTGCACTTTCCAATTCGGCTTCTTGGTCGTCGCTGCGAGGAGCTCGGCCAGCATGTCCGGAGCGGCTTCTGCGTCTGTGCCTGCGTCTACGGAGGGAGCTTGTTTCTCGGAGGAGAGGAATGCGGCGGTGCGGTTTTTTATGATTTCTAGGGTCCGCTATTGCGGGTTAGTAAATCTTGTTGCTGTTGGTGTATGGGGGATAGGGGGTAGCAGGTGTAACGACGAAGTTCTTACCGGCTCAAAAGGGACATAACCCTCCGGGAACTTGATATCGACACCAAATATCTTCGCGATTCTGGACCGCAGCGATGGCCACTTTTGGACAACGACGAGCCACGGCTGCAGGGAGCCGAATGCAGTCACCTGTCGCCATTGTTTGATGCTCTTAGCGAGGAATCCGTGGTCACTTTCATCCTCGATGAACCCAGGAGACCAGTTGAGAGTAATAGCGCCGAGACACTCGACTACGGCCAAGTGTAACCATTCAGCGAGATCCAGTACTTCTCCTTCCTGCGACTTCAGCTTGGCGACGAAACGGTCCATCACCTCATCCAAGCGGTCGCTATATTTCTTTAGAGAAGACGTAGAATACGTCGTGCCAATGTTCTTTCTGTGGCTCTTGTAGCGCTGCATATCAAGTTCGCCATTAAAAGCAAAGGCGTCTGCTTGGTGTCGACGGAATCGCCAGTCTATTCTTCCTGGGTTGTTGCTCAAGGACCCTATTTGGTGTGAGCTATTAATACGGGGTGAGTGGGGATGTTGAGATGATCATAGGTACAGTAAAAGTCTCCCTTCTCGATATATTGACTTCCAGCTAATAAATTGTCAGCGATCTTCGTCAGGGTGGAAGGCTTGCGAAGAATACATACTATAGATTGCCTGAAAAGCCTCCTTGGAATCAAAGGAGACATCATTTGGGCTTATCCGAACTGCTGGTCCGTATTTCTTATGCAAGTCCCTATAAAGCACCGTCACTAAGATAAGAAAGGTAAGTTAGAACATAGTATCTATGATATTTTAAGGTCCTCCGAAGCTGTAGACCTCATCCATGTACTACGGAATTTAGGGGGCTGGGGTCTTTTAGAGAATAGCAAAGCTTGGACAGTACTCACTTCGACCTTTCCTTACCTGATACACATACCATAGGCTTGTGATGGCAGCAAGCCTCGGACCTGGAATATTCGCAAGCGGATGTAGATATAGGCGATAAATGATTAAGGAGATCGGGAGTAGCGAGAAATACGCCCCCAGAAATAAATAGGGGTGCGTTAGTATGGAAGCCATCTTATGGTCTAAACCATTTGTCGATCTAGCCAAAGAGTTTACGAAGTTGTGTATAAAACTTCGAATCAGGAAATGCTCAGGCGCGAATTAACTTGGATAAGGGGATGATCAAATAATAATATTATGCTTCCGGGGGGAGAATGGGGAAATCTATCCTTATGGGCAACCCACTGGAAAAGAGCTTCATTGCTCGATAGCATATAAGAGAGAAGACGTGAAAACGGACATGCATATGTTGTCGTTCCAGTACCATCTTTATCTAGATATGATCTATGCAACCACGCGGAGCACCTAATTCTACCTAATTGTGTGTCGACCGCCACTTACATACCTACGATCGTCACCATCTGACTGGTCCCGCGGGGAACCACGGAACCCCTTGCTTCGATTACATATCGGACATACCTTTCCCTGGTACACTCGTGGATAGGACTCACAGGCCACTTATGACGATCTATGGGTCATCTTAGGTATGTTAGTGGGTACCCGCTGCGCCGCAGTAGGGCTGGCAGGGCTGGCAAGGTGAGACAAGTCAATGTTCAGTGTAGTATTTAAACAAGGACATTGTTATAGAAGACACACATATAGGTTATAATAGCAAGTTATTAACGTTACATTAGTAATGCGATCTAGTTAAGCTTAAGTCCTACTTAAGATGCTCTACTAGTATGGTAGGACACGGAGGTCTAGCCACGTCTACATGAGAGTGAGATTATAGTCCAACCACTCTCCCGGACCCAGACCACTGATTGTTCTTACTAGTGACATCGAGGCAGTTTATAGGCTGTGTCGTAACTCTATGTTTCCTAATATAGCAGTAGTGCTTTGTCATCTTTGTAAGTCAACCACCATCGCCAAACCCCGGTATTTCGTCCACTCACAAGATATCGAATCAATAGCCTCAGCACATTGAAACTAGAGTTGAGTGGCTATTTCCGAATGTAAGTTGGGTCGATATTCCTCAGGCCTTGCGCCGAAGCTAGCAACCAAGGGCGTTTTCGATTCTTCAGCTCTAGAGTAAAGCCTGGTTATTCATTGATAGTTAGGCTATTCAGAACCACATAACCGTTCCAAATACACTAGGATCGGGAAGGGTATCGGTTGTTTGATTCCAGTTCGGATGTTAGATCCATGCAATGATGTATAATACAGTGTGATATGTGCAGAGATGCGACTTTATGATAGTGGCCCCGTTTTCTCTATGCAAACCCAGTAATGATTCAAGGAAATGCCTCCTTATCAGCCTCGCAGCTAGCGTCCTGTCCTTTTGTCCAAAGATGCTTGCGTACCCTTCGCTTTGCGCTGACTACGTCCTAACTATATCCGAGAACCCTCGTCGCGTGTGCTAGTGGTTAAGAACTCCCATTCGTGCCCTCGGTCTTCTCTAAGTAGGCGACAAGGTCCGCGATTGTGCAGACCTTGATTCCCCATTTTCTCGCGAACGCGATGCATCCCTCACCTCTCATCATGCCAGGACCTTCTCGTATGGCTCTCCCGCTAACCTCGTCTCCGTCCTCGACGAGCTCGCAGATGACGGCGACTTCAGGTTTTCCAGCCAGCCTACAAAAGTCTACGCCAGCCTCGGTATGACCCGGTCGAATCCTAACGCCGCCCGGTCGCGCGCGCAACGGGAGCACATGCCCCGGCCGTCGGAAGCTGGCCGGGGTAGAATTGGGGTTCGCGAGATTTCGGACTGTCAATGCGCGGTCGTGGGCGCTGATACCGGTGGTCACGGCAGGATCAGCGGAATCAATGGATATGGTGTAGGCCGTGCCGCGGGGGTCTTCGCTGTTTTCGACCATCTGTGGTAACTTAAGGGATTCGGTGAGAGCGGGAGTAATAGGAGCGCAGACATAACCAGACGAGTGTCGGATCATGAAAGCCATTTGTTCGGTCGTCATATTCTCGGCGGCTATGATTAAGTCGCCTTCGTTTTCGCGACCCTCGTCGTCCATCACAACTATGAACTCGTCATTTCCTGCGCCGCCGTATGCTTATTAGTCTACCTTGGCGCAATACTGCCTCGACCAACACTACTACGTGAGGTTATTTAGGATTAAGAGCACATACGGAAAGCGGCGATCGCATCGGGTATGGAGTCGAATCGATTATGGTCAATAAGCGCGGACGGCATGACGGACAATTCGTCGGTATAATGAATAATGAGGGATATTATAGTCTTGCCACACCCCAATTGGCGCAGAATCAAGTCGCTACGAGACTGAATAAGTTGTATATTAACAATCGCGGCGTTATCGATCGTGGGGTTTAGAAGTGGGAGGATAGGTATATAGTAAATCGCAGTATATTGACAACTAAGTCAAATCCCTTTATTCCAGTCGCTCCAAGAAAAGACCAACACTGTTTTATGTTAACGCGACTCGAATAGTGAAGTAGTAAAGTTAGAAAAACAGCAAACAGATAAGTAATATTGAGAAGTTATTACTCATCACGAGATTTAAAGACTAAGAATGCGATGGTTCTTTCAAATGCTGACTGATCGCCCTAGTAATTAGTGCCTCCGAGGACTTTCCTCCCCGATGCTCGGCGGGGTCGGTTTCCTCGGTGAGGGGCGCTGTTTCCTAGGATCTAGAATTACATCACACTAGAAAATCATGGACTTTGATTGGTCAATCCCGTCAAAACGGGCTGAGCCGGCACATGCCGCAACCTTCTAGCCCTGCTGCATCTCATCTCAGCTTCTTACCCAATTTGGAACTTTTCATATGCAACTAATCTTTCTCGCGCTTCAGTCTACCTAACTCACACGACAACAGCGTCCGCTATGACGAAGCTTGTCTTTATGATATAACGCGCTTAAGAGACGAATGTCGTAGTCAAAAACCCTACATCATGCCACCGCGCTCAAAAGCCACGTCTCTCCTCCGGCGGCTCCGCAATCCTACCGCCAGTTCGCGCTCCGCTCAATGCTCATTCGGATCGCCCAACCGGAGTTTCTCATCACCCTCGAATTCCAGTCCCGCCGATTCCGCATACACGAGCGTTTCTCCCGATGAGGTATCTCACTTCAATGCTCTCGCATCCTCGTGGTGGGATCCCCAAGGACCATCCCGCATCCTCCACCTCATGAACCCGCTACGCCACGACTTCATCTGCTCCTGTCGCTCTTCCGTTTTCGACGATCCGCCCCCACCATCCAACGGCCTAAAATACCTTGATATAGGTTGCGGAGGCGGCATATTCGCCGAATCCGCTGCCCGATTACCTACCACCGCCTCGGTAACAGCGATCGATCCCAGCTCCGAGGTGCTCTCCGTCGCCAAGGCGCATGCGAAGCGGGACCCTGCATTACGATCAAAATTAACATATATAAATACCCCCATCGAGCAACTCCCCGCTCCAAATGCCCCCAACGACGGCTATGACGTAGTGTCGATATTCGAGGTCGTAGAGCACGTGTCGAACCCGGCGCAGTTCCTAGACCGGTGTACACCGTTCGTCAAGCCGGGTGGCTGGCTGGTACTAAGCACGATAGCGAGGACGTGGATGAGTTGGTTGACGACGAATCTTGTGGCCGAGGACTTGCTTCGTATAGTGCCGAAGGGTACTCATGACTGGCGAAAATATATTAACGAAGAGGAGCTGAGAAACCATTTCCTCCTGAAGAGGACGGAATGGACCGAGCCAAGGTGCATGGGGGTGGTCTACGTCCCGGGTCTTGGCTGGAAGGAGGTGAGCGGTAGCGAGAAGGTCGGCAATTACTTCTTCGGCGTTAGGAGAGTAGTTGAATCGACATAAAAGGCCATAAAATTGAACTGTATTATATTGAACGACGGCTGCTGTTTACTTTAGAACGGTAAAGCTTAAAGCTACTGGTTTTCTCACCAACCACCAATATGCCCTCGACGTCCGCTATTCCTAAATGCCCAGGTGCGTAATGCATTCTATTCAGGCGCTTGTCTAAAGGAACAATATTCTCTTAGTACCAACTCTTGAACCCTTCCTCCTTAAAGATCCATTCAGTCGATAGTGGTAAGTTCAATCCAAGCATCGAGAAAAGCACGGCATCGGTAGCTTCTTCTTGGTCCACATCTCCAGTAAATCCCAAGTATCCCTTCCCGACCCGGGAGAAGGCGACCGGTGTCTCCCTTCCGAGAGGCTGCCATTTATTGTCGCCATCGAAGCCGTATGACCTGGGTGGCTCGGGGAGGTACCAGCAAGATTCGGGCGAAACGTTCTTGAGATAGACCATATTGAATTGGCAGAACCCGTAAATGTTCGGCAAGCCAGACTTCCACCGCGTATTGGGACCCACGGCTGAAGGGTTTAGGATGCAGCGATGGCAATGTTCGCCGTGTATTGCCCAGGGTAGACCCCACTCCTTCATGAATTGGTCGAAACGGTCGAAGTGCATGGTGAAGGCAAAGCACACGCTTAGCACGACAATGCCGCCTTCTCGGGCGTACCGGATCACTTTGAGTAGTAGCATAAAGTTCTTGGGTTCGGCGATGCTGAAGTCGGTGAGGAGTATTGCATGGGGAGTGCGATTCTTTTGCAATAGTTCGACAGCCTCGTTGGCGTTCTAGGCCGGCTGGATGGTAGCTACTTCGGCGAGCTTTCTGATCGTTGCAGTATAGTCGATTTGCTGCCGCGTCTCTCTAATATCGACCGCTTTTTGATATCGTTCCTCTCCGAGCGAGAACTGGAAGATGATGGGCTTTGCGGACACTCTTCTGATGGTTCGACGCATCTTCTGTTGAACGATCGTGAGAGTGGCCCAAGGGATTTGCACAGTTAGATCACTTACTTAGCTAAACCTAGGATAATAGTGATAACTAGACTTAATCGTCTATTTTTCCTTAAGCTGGGTCTTGGATACTGAATAAAATAGAATATGAGCAGTCTTCACGTGAACTTGGCAGATTTTATCAGGCGGCCTACGGCGCGCAAGTTGCGGCAAGCCACTAAGATTCAGGGGTAGGACGAAAATCGTAGGGCACCTAGCAATAGACTGAGATATTGAGGAAGTCACAGTCTATAGTATCGCGGAAGGAATTCTTCATTCTTATCGAAATGATTAAATCAATTTGGTGGCTGTGTTTTTACGTACAATAATACCCTAAAAGAACAGAACACTTTACGTTGGCATAACAATTTGATATGCTCAAGCACTTAATTGTACATTTACATTAACTCTGTTAGGTAATGGGTATATAGGTTGTCATAATGGAACGTACAGAACTCGCAATGGGCAGAGAATTTCGTTCACCACTGTTGCCAGACATGTCTCGGCAATACAGTCCTCATGACAGCCCAATGACCAAGAGCGCTCTGATCATGCCACTTTGCTAGCTTCTCGGTCTCATTCACCCTGAGAATTCCGGCATCTGTGGCGGTAGTCGAAAAGGCCGATTCATCTACTTCATGTTTGGGGAAGAGGTATGCTTTCCTAGAGAGACTACCGAGAAAGTCGGCATCGGTAGGTTTCCGGAAGGTAACTTTCTCGTCCGTCTTCGTACAAAAGACGATAACATTGTCGAAATCGCGACCTGTTTCCTCGACCATTTCCGCCGAAGGTGGTTCTCCTTCCCTGAAGATTCGGCATGACGGGAAGACTGTTTTGATCGTATTCATGACGATACCAAGAGGCGGAAGCGTGAAGTCACCAGCATAATTCTAGACATGTAAGCGTTAAACGATCACAATGAGTGCGTAGTTAATAATGAGGGTAGACTTACGATAGCTATCACGCCGTTGGGTTTAAGCATGTGTTTAAGACCCGATAGAAACTCTTCGGTAAATAGCGGGATTGGTTCTGCGCCACCTGTAAATACGTCGTGGACAATGTAGTCGTAGTTTTCGTAGAGTTCTTCCTTGTTAGATTGACTCCATGAGATAGCGTCTTGAATTACTGCTGTGTGGTTCGATGGCAGCCCAAAATATTTCTTGGCAAAGCCATAGACCAACGGGTCGATTTCAACAATAGTGGTGTCGATACCATGAGCTATCAAAGCTGATGGGGTGGTCCCGATTCCAAGACCGCTAGCACATTATTAGTACTAATACTCATGAGCAGCGATATAGGAATACCTACATATTCAAAGCCTTCGCTTCATTATCTGGTGCTTTGTTCAGAATCTGGACAAGGCGCACAGCTTCGAGTTGTGTAAAGACGCTATAGATTGGTTCCGCAACTATTTTGCGCTCAAATTTAGTCCACTCACCGCCGAGTAGACTATGATCGCATCGCATAACTCGAAACCCATCCTTATAACTGTCCAGAACTGAGATGTACCCTGTCGTTGACTCTCCCCGATCAACCAGTGACCACCCGCTAGTATGGAGTGTCGTGTTTAAGGAACTCGTGGCCATAGGTGTCATAAGGTGTGTATTATAGAACGTAGTATGTAAAAGCGCCGGAATAGCCCAAACTATGAGTTTCGATGGGGCTAAAATACTGTACGCTGAGGCTAACACCAGCTCTAAACCAACACGAGTTTGAAAGACCGATTTACCGATCTGAGAGATCAATTGCCGCATCGACTGTGCTTCGATGAATTTGAGAACAGCATACGAGCCCATACCAGGCGCAGGGCCTGCAATCGATTTCGGCAAGCGGCTTAGATCAGCACCTTCGAGGACATCCGCAAGGCAGGCCGTACTGAACATAGCTAACGGAAATAATGTGAAAGCCTCGGTTATAGCTGGTCCTAGCTTCGCACCAAAGGTCTCACTCGCTTGGAAGAGGAAGAATTGCGCCATGGGGATGTACGCGGCTACCAGGGGCAGCAGCGTGATCGTCTTCACTGGCAAGGCTCGCCTTAGGGCCAGATTTCCTCCCCATCCCACGAACAAAGCTGACCAAACAATTCTCTCATGTAGTCTAGTTGCGGCGATTTGACCATATACAGGCGATAAAGTCAGCAGGGAAACATTAGCATAAACAGCCATGAGCGCGATGAGCGACAAGGCTTTGCCGTAGATGATACCCTGCTGAACTGCCCAATTGGACCAGCTTTCATCCTTGGCTTGATCTGCCATTAACTTGAGCTCCTCCTCGAAATCTTCCTTCGTCTCCGGCATCTTTGCGCCTCCAACCTTAGACGGCCCCTTTTTCGAGACCTGTTTTCGTGGAGGCATGGTGAGAGTAATGAATGAGAGTCTACAAAATTAGATTCAAAACATACGCTAGGAGTACGGTAAGAAGCAAAGTACTGAATGGAAATTAGTAAATTGGCCCTCAACAGCCAGCTGTTGGAGTTATCATATCATATACTTGTCTGTTTGATATATTTACAGGCTAAAGAGGATTCAACTGAACAGATGTCTTGATAATTCAATAACACGGAGTTGCGGCGCAACCTTCGGTGGGTTTATAGTGGGTCATATGTGGCAGTTGTGGCTAATGTGACAGCGGATCCACTAGAATGGAACGATTTTAGATCTTATCTGGGGCAATTGGAGCTAGGACAATTTTAGTTTAGTTTAGGCGGATGCCTGGGAACGTTTTAACTGAACAATGACCCGATTCATTTATCTTCCATTAATTTCAAAGTTTCAACATTTCAAAGTTCCAAATATTGTGAACATGAAAAGTCGTGATCATGGACGATGATGACTTCGGCGCGGATGCAGAGTTTCTTTCTGCTCTCGCCTCTTCTGCTCCTTCAATAGGAAATAAGTCGAGTCAAGCCAGATCGCAACCGACAACCCGCATTCAGCAACCTATTCCCCAGAAAATCCAACAGCCAACTCCTCAAAGAATACAACAACCGACGCCTCAAAGGATACAACAACCCGCACCTCAACGATTAGACAAACCACCGCCTTCATCTTCTACCTCTACTTCCTCCGGACCGAAGATCGTCCAGCCGACACCCCAAGCCCTTCCACAACGCTCTTCCGGTTCTTCAATTCTAGTATCACCACGCCAGAAGGGGAATCCTGTATTAGCCTCCCTACGATCGGTGCCATGGGAATACAGTGACATCCCAGCAGATTACGGTTTGGGTTTGACAACATGTGCTTTGTTTCTGAGCCTCAAATATCATAGGCTGCATCCCGAGTACATTTATACTCGAATTCGCAACTTACAAGGGAAATTCAATTTACGCATCCTCTTAACTATGGTTGACATACCTAACCACGAAGACTCACTGCGCGAACTTTCGAAGACCTCGCTAATTAATAATGTGACAATTATCCTATGCTGGTCTGCTGCCGAAGCGGCCAGATACCTCGAATTATACAAATCCTACGAGCACTCAAACTTTAGTGCTATAAAGGGACAGCAAGCTACGAGCTATGCTGAGAAGCTCGTGGAATTCGTCACAGTGCCGAGAGGAATCAATAAAGCCGATGCAATCTCTCTTGTTAGTGCGTTTGGTAGCTTGAAAAACGCGATCAACGCCGACCCGGAGCAAGTTGCCATCATTGGCGGCTGGGGAGAGAAGAAAGTTAAGAGATGGTGCAGCGTCGTCGAAGAACCGTTTCGAGTTCAACATGCCGCAAAGAGACGCATCGTAGAGCACGAGGATAGCAATAATGCTGCTGACAAGGCCGTCCCGCTAAGTCGAGTACCACTTAGAGACATGCCGAGTATATCGGCAAGTCGGTCCCGAGACAGCGCAACTCCTCAATCAGAGCAAAGACCATCTACGTCAACGAAGCCGAAGGAGGATCGTCGAAGTGGAGATGCTCCGATTGATGAATATGACGAAGAAGCGATGCTGGCGGCAGCAATTGAGGAGTCGAAGAAGACAATGACTCAAGAGCAACCATCTAGCTCGACTTCTAAAGCTCGGGAGGAAGAGAAATTAAGCGACGGAATCGCAGCTGCGTTAGCTAGGCTCCGGGATAAGGGATAGAGAAGAAGGATGATGATACCTGCCTAGTTCGGGCGGACTAGGCGGAACACTCGGTGCATCCCGGGTATAGGTTACGTTTTTCTCATTTGAATGTACGACATCGAAGCTCTACCAGGGGAAATTCTTCTCGCCTACCGGACGGCGGTCAACATGGCGTTGATGACCGGAAATCAAAGTAAGGAGCAATTGGCTCACGATGCATGTTCCCGTATGATCAAGCACAGGCCACATATCTCCGGCGCCACCAATTATTGTGAATTCCTTGGGCCGGGGGTGGATAGGCGCTTAAGTACAGCTACATATGTACGGCTAAGCTTGCCAGCTTATTTCTCCGGGAATCCTGAATGAGGCGGTATGACCGGTACAGTCTAGATTTTTATTTTCTGGTTTGCGTAAGGTGTTGTTACCTCGAGAAGTCCCCGCAAATGACCTATGAACATCATCCAGGTAACGGATCCTTCAGGAAATTCTTGGCTATTCCCAGGGGAGATCTTAGATATTCCCGATCCCGCCTGAGCAAGATGCTGTGGGACGTTCCTTTACCTATTAAATCTCCACCTGTAGGGAGTTATCACGAGGAATGCGACGTACAAACAACTGCGTACGAGTCGGTATGGCCAAAGAGCTAGCGCTATGGTAAAGCACGGATAGTTAGGGAGAGTCACCACACAACGTTGGTTCACCTCTACGGTGCATATACGATACGTCGTGTGTTTATCGTTATTGTTAGTCAACTGACTTATTATTCTGTCCACATTGTATGTATTTGAGGTGCGTAGGCAGCGTCCATAGTTATACACGGTCGGGAAATAGGAACTGATGACCTCAGGTGAAGAACGCATCGTCGATTATCTGCGAGTAGCCGAAGCCTCAATTTCGGCGCCTTTTCTTTTTCACATGGATTCCCCGCACAATAAGCGTAGATAAAGACTGAGTTAATGCTTACTTCCCGAGCTCCAGTCCTTAGCTTGGGGTAAGGTACCGGAACTTAAACCAAATTAGTTGGGCATTAGTTGGGGTCGTGTGGCGCGGGGGTGGAAAGTGGGAAGGTCAAGACTCAGGAACTTAGCCAGTAACGTTTGATCATAGCCTACTAGGTTCCTTGGTATCCTGCCCCTTGGCCCCCCTTTTTATTTTATCATCGTACTATCGCTGCATTATGTCAGTGTGCAATGCCCAGTGCTTGGTATCGTACCAAACATTTACAATACTAGCAACAATGCCGAGCTTACCTACATTCCTTACCTTAGCTTGGTAAACAAGGCAGTAGGGCTAAAGTTGGCATTCTGCCCGTACGTACATTTACCTACATATCTAGGTGCGTGCCTTGGTAATGCGCATCCCTTACCCTTACCTCATAGTACAGAAACGGTCTAGGCTTAGACACACCGTCACAATATTCTCGTCCAATCCATACCGGGGAAACTATCTCGTCCAAGCCCGTCCAAGTCTGTCCAGACCTGTCTCCTTGTGTCTTGGTCACAGGGCGTTGGAACTTGGAAAGCTCGGATTTCATCCTATGTAGCTCGTAGCTCATAGCTCTGCCATTTTATTACGGCCCGCTAATCACTGACACCCCTCCCCTCAACGCTCATATCCTGCTTCTTTGGATGAGTATTTATCTCGCTTCTGCCGATCTCCTTCTCCTTTCGGAAGGTCATACACCCGCTATTTATCGCTATCCGTCAACATGTCTATTATTTCGAAGACTCGAACTACTAGTGGATATCCTCATGGGTAATCGGCTTGTAACGTTTCCCTCCTCACCGGACGAGAGATATCGTTCTTCTCCAGAACTCATCAATATGCCATCATATGAGCTATTAACGCTTTCGTGATGTGCTGTCCGAGCCACATGGCCTTGTCCCGGGTGAGATTTAGGACCCGCGTGCTTTGGCTCTGTGATCATCAGAGTTGCATTGCAGCGACCCTTAGCTTACCTCTATGTCTTGTTCGACGGATGTACATACGCGCCAGAGATATGATCCGCACCCCCCAGTCCCCCCTAATAAAACTGGCGAGCCGCAACGACCGCTTTGCCATATTGACAGCTTGGAAGCCAAGGGTTACGCAGTTAGTTTAAGCTACCCAAGCCACATACCCATCCCGGCATTAGTATCCCTGCCGTACTAATAGATCATGAATTCGGCTTGGTCGGGTTATGCGAGTGATAGTGGGATAATCCACCTTCTGTAGATTGTCACCGGGGTCACATACCGTAGGTCCCGTAGGTAACGCAGGGACTCGGTCCTATAAGACTAGGGCCTATTCCCATTGTTATCTTTCATTTCTCCTTACTACGCTCGGCCATTTGAAGTTTAATCAGGCTCGGTCAACAGGTAGATCTCATCCTGTTGTCTTCTCAAGGTGGCTTTTAGTAGCTAAACCACTACACATTAGTAAATCATGGTGAACTCCAAATGGACTGCCGCCATCCTAGGTGGTGCCTCGCAGGTTCTGGCCCAGTCCTACCAAAACGCGCCAACCTACGTGTCTCACCCTGATAGAACCGACGCGGTAAAGGCGACCTTTCAGCGTTCTTGGGATGGCTACTACCAATACGCGTTTCCCAACGACACGCTGCTGCCCATCTCAAAGTCTTATCAGAACGACCGGTGTGTAAACATTGTAACGGGTGCTCATATCGTGTACTAACTGGGATGATAGGAACGGATGGGGAGCCAGCGCGGTTGACGCCATTTCCACCGCCCTAGTTATGGGAAACCAGGATGTTATCAACCAGATCGTTGAGCATATCGGGTCTATCAACTTCAATGCTACCGCGCCAGAATCCACGAGCGTATCTGTTTTTGAGACAACAATCCGTTACCTCGGGGGCATGCTCTCAGGTGAGCTCGACGAAAAAAGATCCTTATCGCCACTGTTGACTCACTCAATTTTTTAGCATATGATTTCTTGACTGGCCCTCTAAAGGAATACGCAAAGGACCAGGCTTCCGTAGACAAGATTCTCCAGCAAGCAATTAATCTTGCCGATGTGCTCAGCGTGACTTTTGATACTCCTAGTGGTATTCCAATCAACACGTTGAATTATGGCTCGGGCGGGTACGTGGTCGGCCCCGACACTACCAACGGCCTCGCCACCATCGGAACCTTAGTACTCGAGTGGACTCACTTGAGTGACATCACTGGAGACCAGAAGTACGCGGAACTAACGCAGAAGGCCGAAGAATACCTTCTCAACGTGGTAAACCCCGACGTGGGTGAGCCGTACCCCGGCCTGCTCGGAACCGACGTGAATATTACGGACGGCACCTTCACGGATTCCAGCGGTGGCTGGAACGGTGGTACCGACTCATTCTACGAGTATCTAATCAAGATGTACGTCTACGACCAGGACCGTTTCGGTACCTACAAGGACCGCTGGGTCACCGCCGTCGACTCCAGCATCAAGTACCTGGCGTCTCACCCCACCACGCGCCCCGACCTCACGTTCCTAGCCGCCTACAACGGCTTCGAGCAGCTCGAGTTCGTCTCCACGCATCTCGCGTGCTTCGACGGAGGAAACTTCATCCTCGGCGGCCTGACGCTCGACAACGACGAGTACGTGCAGTTCGGGCTGGACCTCGTGGCCGCGTGCCACGACACGTACACGAACACCGTAACAGGTATCGGGCCGGAGGTGTTCTACTGGCAAGACGGCAACCTACCGACGAACGCGAGCAACAACGCGGGACCCCCCTCGAACGCGTCGGCGTTCTACGCTAAGGCCGGCTTCTGGATCCCCGCGGGCGACGGCGCGTACGTGCTGCGGCCCGAGGTCATGGAGAGCTTCTACTACGCGTACCGCGCGACCGGCGACACCATGTACCAGGACTGGGCGTGGGACGCCTTCCTCGCCATCAACTCCACCTGCGCCGCCGGCGTCGGATACAGCTCCATCACCGACGTGAATGCCCCCGGCGGCGGCAGTTTTGATGATTTCCAGGAGAGCTTCTGGTTCGCCGAGGTGCTCAAGTACAGTTACCTCATCCAGGCCGACGACGCGGTCTGGCAGGTCAATGCCGCGCACGATAATACGTGGGTTTTTAATACCGAGGCGCATCCCTTCCAGGTCAAGGGCACGCCGATCTAGTTCGGCCTTTGCGTACCTAGATGGGTAGGATCTGTTTCTGGGCTGAGGGTAGTTTGTGAATATCCAGGGCTAAGCGCGGGGATCTAGCAAAGAAAGTGATGAGAACCTCATCTTGCATAGGGACGGCGTTCGTGCTTTTTGGGTCAATCCGACTTCGCTGTATATACTTAGGGGATTGGATAGGTAATCTCATAATAACAGGCTGCTATAAGGCTGCGATTCAACTATGGGTGTTTCTAATCCGGTGTCTTTGTTGAACTAAAGTTGGTGTACTTCATTGCCATAACGACGTCACAATCAGTGTGGTAACACAATTACTACACTCAGCTACATTAAAATAAGGTATGTTACCTACCCGTTGTTTCTTAAAATTGCCAATTTTCCTTGGTATGTGTTCCGTTTAATGGGTGTTGGTACCTGGCATGTGACGACGCGACGCAACTAGTGCTGACTTTCTCCAGGTCTCATGCCGGAAGCCGAGACACAGTTGCATCAGCTGGGCACACTCCATACTGCTGGGTAATCAGGCGATACAAATCCTTCTGTGCTGTTCTGCACGTCTGCTCTTGTCATTTCAATAGATGCGATTATATCCGAAATCAACTACTATCGAATGAAGAACGTCGTGGAATCCATGATATCCTCGCAGTATAATTCATCTACCATCTCGCCGCCCATAATGCCGCTCACGTACGATGCGCCTATCAGAGAATGAGTCGGTCTTTCTCCATCGACTGTTTTTATAGTGTCCGATTTTTGGCGTAGTATAAATGGGACCGGCGATCCGAAGAGAATAGCGATGATATCTCCCTTGCGGCTATCGGGGACACAAGTACCCACGAACCCACTCGTAGTAGTGAAAAATGACTTCTTGCTGATATCTGGCTGTAGGCATTTTATGTATTCGTCTTCTTCTCCATGACTTATTTTGGCTTTCCCGTCTTCTCCCGCGGCGAGGCTTTTCAAGAGACTCCGGTACATCGCCTCGTAGGATGCTGGAGCGGCGTCATATCCCGAGTTTAACTGCTTGTTTGAAATCAGTACTCTCCACAAGGACTCTTTATTCTTATATAGCTCTATGTAAGGCCTTATAGAAGGTTCAAGCACACAGGGCCGTCGCTTGGCAGCTTCGGCAAGAGACTCGATGTGAGGGAGCTGCTCAAGGAGCGATTCAAGGGATGATCCGAGAAACACCACGTCCCTAATCGTGTCTACGAACAGCCCTTCTACCTGCAGCGTCCTGCGGTCACTCAGTCGTCTTCCATTGTCGGCTCCCGCTCCGGGCCCTGAAGCGCTGATGCCTGCTGGTGGGTGAAATGAGATTCCGTTAGGCTGTGTCGCTTTTCCGGAGACCTGTTTAGAGAAATCCGGTACCCAAGACGGAAGAGTAGGCTGCGGGATGGTCGACGGTAGGTCGGGGATGTGAGGAGCAGCAGCTGAGATTCCAGGCAGGCAAATTCCCGAGAGGAAGTAAGGGCCTTCTCCCTGAGCGAAAATATGTGCCATGGCATCCGTGTAGACCTCTGCAGTTGGTTTGCGATAATCTACCTCGATCGGGCTGTCGGAGCTCTCGTCGGGTTTTAAGAGACCAAGAAGCCCATAGACCCTGTCTCTTGGGTCTGTCGCTTCAGAAGTCCTCGAGATCAATAACAATTTCCGCAAGCTCTCGCCACCCTGAGACCTCATCGCCTTGTAGAGGTCGTTAAGAACGTCGAGCTTGGACTTAGCGGTAACTTCAACATCTTCTTCTCCCTCTTCAAATGGGCTGCTACCCTCTTCGATCGAATCGTTCTCCGACGTGCTCCGACCATCGTCACGCGACTCCTTACGATGTATCCAGCCAATTTCTACGAATATCTTTCTATAGATGAACTCTAAGGCCTTCGCAAAAACTGACCACGCCACACACTTGTGCCCACATACAACCAGTGGATCTCGCGTAGCCATCGCCAGCTCTTGGATAATCCAGACGCGCGAAAGCCAGGGACGTCGGTCCGTCAGTCCATTGAAGAAGAGACTGCACAGGCGCGTCACACGCAAAAGTTCCTCGTCCTGATCATCATCTCGGCAGTGGCGTCGTGCGGCGAGCACCGGAATCGCATCGAATGCGAGGTCACTCTCCTCGTCCTCTTCTCCAAGCCATATAACCACTCGTTCGGCGGACGCGTATATGTCCCGCATCATGGAAACCTGCTGCCTCCGCTCGTCCATGTCTTTTTGGTTGATACATATCGCGTCCGCCCACAACGTGATCGGACCCGCCGCCCCGAGAAGAGAGCGCAGATAGCGGAGGGCCGCGAGCAAGTTCGCGGTTACCGGGAAATCATATCCGTCGATGTTGACGGTATTCCCTGCGATGCTCGCGCTGGCGGGGTCGCCCCATACGTATGAGAGGGCTTTGTAGACGGGAGCGGAGTCGAGACTTCGGGCGCTTAAACTGACTCGAAGCGGCTCTTCGAAAGCGCCGGGTAGGAGAGTGAGGACCCGGATCTCACGAAGATTTACGTTGAGTGCACTATAGCCAAATCTCTTTGAAGACATACCTTCATCCTAATGTATAGGTAGGTGCTTACTTAAGAGTACTTAAGAGTTCCTGTAGTTATGAGATTAGTATACCAACCTGCCTACCTACCTACGATTGGGAGAAGAAATGAGTCATGAATTACATACCTACCTACCTAGGTACCTAGTGAAGGAGTGGACCAACTTCATCGAGCCCATGCACTGCTTTCTTTTCAGCTTCTTTTCAGCTGCGGGGTGATGATACTTGGCGATGATATTGTGTTAGCAGGATACATAAATGCTGTATGGACCATCTCTTATTTAAGATGTATATATCTAACCTTACCCCTTTTTCTAATTAAGCGCAGTACCCATTCTGCCCGATAAGAGACGAACTAATAACAAATAACCCATCCAGCAATAATTTCATTCATTATGTTTATCCTATCTGCGCTTTTTTTTTTTTTTTTTTAGCAATGAGTCGGCCTATCCCTTCGATATTTAAGTTGCCCATAATTTCGAATACCGTCACCACCTCCGTCCGGAACTCCTTGCTGATCTAGTTATGGACATCTACCACTATGAAAGAGTTGACGCCATAATCGAGAGTACTTTCTCAAGCTGTAAATCCTCTATAGGTACGGTTAAAGCGCGTGTTAGCATCGCTGAGAGCTCATACACCAGGATTTTGGTTCCTGGTTCGAGGAAGCCGGAAAGGAGAACAATACAAACTCAAGATGGCCACCAATTCTTCTTCTTCTAATGGTACCATGTCACGTCCATTGCTCTGGTGGCCCTCGAACTCCTTGGCCTCAGCTATTATATCAACCGTCTTTGAACCTTCTCATTCTCCTGGCACGACCATAATCATATTTCGTCCCAAAGATCCGGAACTCTATGGTAAGTAACCGGAACAATCTCTTTGCATCGTTCTATAGTTGTTAGTCTATCGAATGATTAATTTTGTGGTTTTTTCGATTCAGTAATGGGAGGTGACGTGGAGGCTGTCATTAAGGATTTGGTTGTTGGGTTTATTTTCTAAAATTTTAGGGGTTTTCAAGTTTTTCCAAGGTAGGTATATACCAGAGCACAAGCAACTATTAATAGAGTTCAAACTTCTCACTGAGGTTTGTGTTTAGTTGCCCTGGCATATAGTCGTGTTCATTAATGGAAACATACTCCCAAGTAAGGGGCATGGCTATTTTACCAACAAGGAGTTGGTACACAACCAAGATATCCAACATAAATGCGACATTTGGTGAGCACCTAGGTATGTAAGTTGGCCGTTTTGCTTGATACTTCGTGCCAATGCTTTTTCTCAGTACTGAGTGAATCAAATCACTAAAAGAAGGAAAATAATCCAAAGATGTTCTTAAGCATTTCACCTGATGCAACGATGATCGTAGTTTATGCCGTCGCTATATATGTGAGTTGGGATTCGGATTGGCTTAGGTATGAATGGATGCTAACCTCACGAACGCAGGGCTTCCTAGCAGTTCTTAAACTATTATACTCTGTCCAGGAACGTTTAAATAAGAAGCTGCTGCAATGTTTCGCGTGGCCTTGACGGCCTTGACGAGTTATGCTCTTCATATACCCACCTTGAGCTATAGTTCATTTCCATCACATCATATCGCGGATGTAACGACAAGACACGATCGAAACTACGTGAACAAGAGGCTAGATTGTGGATTGGGAAGCAGGAAGTGAGTGCGGTTTCCATCCATGATATAATATAGATGAAGAGCGGCGTATTCCAAAGAACCAGGGCTTTTCCTAGGAAAGATAGATATTGGCTTAGAATCTGTGGCTGATATAATCTAGACAATGGTTAGAACACAACATATTCGGATATACATACACATATATACGGGTTCTAATATACTTATCATCCAAGCCTTACAGTCTTCCATATCCGCAGACACTCTTGTAAATCTATTGATAGCGTACCCTCATGAGCCGTAACAGTATCCCTGACTAGTGCGACCAGAAGACTGGCCAGAGCGAAGAGCTCCTGCTTCTCCCGCAGGGTGTCCAAGTCAGACCTCCTCATGCCGCCGTTGTCCGCCCAGGCCTTCCACAGATCTAGTATCTTGCAGATTGAAGAGGCGAACTCGCCATCGAGCACCATTCGATGTAGCAGCATACCGACAATGTCTCTAACGGTCAGGGAAGCATCAATATTCACGCCGACGGTGGAGGGCTCTTTTCTCTCTCTGAGCCAACGTAAATAGTGCTCGGAAACGAGTTTAGTGTCCCACTTAGGACTTTGGAGCGCTTCGGACATACGGGCTTCGCGACGTTGGTAATCCCGCCGCTGGCGATCGCGCACTGTCGATGTGTAAGCATCATCAAATTTGTGAGGTTGTCGTGATTTAACTGACTGTCTTGCATCCTCTGGTTCATCTCCCTGTACATACGATCTCGAACAGCGGCCTCCCTCTGGGCCGGTTGCATCCGCGATTCGGACATCAGTGCTTCGTGCCGTTCATTGCTGCGTCTGAAGAAAAGCTCGCGCTCCTCTTCTGCGGCGTCGTAGCTCGTGGTCCATTCCGGCGTTTGCGAGTCATCTACAACATCTAAAACTGCTAGGATACCACACGGCACGGTATCCCGCCTGGCGAAGTTGAGGATATCATCAGGGATCTTGTAATTCCACAATACGGTCTGGCTGGTGGTACCGTACGCCGTCGCTATGCTTGCAAACCATACACCGTCGTTCTTACTGGCCCGGACTCGAAGGTGCTCGATGTAAAGGCTCTGCATATCTGCTGATGAAAAGTTGGCGCTGTCCTCTTGACTCATAGCGGAGATTAGGCCTTCAACGGATATCTGACATGTAATAGTGGCGCTCGCATTCTTCTCAGCCTGCTTCTGAACCGAGTCTAATGATTTCTTGCGCACGCTGCTTTTCTCTTTTTCCTCGACACCCTTCTCTACATCCTCCACTTGAGGCCCTTCTGGAGAGGTAGATGTTCCTTCTGAGGGTTCAACGGGCTCGGTGATTTCCGTGGGTTCTATTATTGGTGGAGGAGGAAGTCTTATCCAATAAGGGGGCAATGAAGAAAAGTCCCGAGTTGTCCAATCCAATGACCATTTCGCTTTCAGTGACAGATGCCCGTCAGAATCGTCTAAAGGGGCTATAGTCAAAGCATCATGGTATCCGTCGGGGGATTTCATCAATGAGCAACCCGTTGGAGTCCACAACCCTGTTGAGCGTAACAGTTTCCAACCATGAGCTTCCGGGACAGCGCCCAGGTCTAGGAGATAGGCGACGAGTTGGTCGAACGCGACATCAACTTGTGGCTGGCGGAGCTGGTCAGCGTACTCGACGCGCTGGGTCTTGGCGCCGATAGCGCGAGCCTGCCAGTTGAACGTGGTCCACGAGCCGCCGGGGATTGAGCTCGGCTGCCGCGCAGGCTTCCAATACAGCTCCGTCTCCGCAAAGCGGTCACACGGGGTAACGGCGTATCGCGGTAGTTCCACCTCGATGACTCGGTTCACGACGTCGCTACGAGTCAGAGCAGTCAGGCGGCCGTGACGGAGCATGCGCTTGATCTTAGACAAGGCGGCTAGCGTCGCGACAGTATTGTATAAAATCGGGAGCACGCCAAGAACGGCTAGGGGCACACCAATATACGTGATGATGTCCGTGGCCGAGTAGCCCGAATTTGTCGAAGACATTTTGCCTCCTTTCCTAGGACATGCGCCCTGTGGACGGGAAAATATCTTGAGGATTCCTTCGGAAATAGGAACAGGTATTGGAGAAATTTCAAAACAGCCTTAGAAAAGTATCACCAATTTGGGGCCACCCTCAGCCCCAGCTGAGCTGAAGAGTTAGCGTACGCCAATGCATGTCGCCGCGTTAGCTTGTCCTTTTTAACGAGGGCCCACTGATAGAAAACGGGTTCGGTGAGAGGCCTATCATTACTGAGATTTGTGTGATATATCAAGATTAACTATGATTAGTTAGTAATCTATTATCGAACTTCCCTGAAAAATCATGTTGAGGTTGAAGAGTTCGGATTTCATGAAGCGTCTTTATCTTCTCTGCAGAATTATTCCGTTACCTACATGAAACATGCATCTATGCAGTATGGCAAGCTAATCGAGGCACTTAATGTAAGGTACCCGATACTAGCGGCATTATCGAGCCACTGATTGAGCCACTTTGATCTCCACTAAATCTGCCATCATGAGCGCCAACCTTCCCTAATAGATAGATACATCATTCTGACTCCAAGATATTGGATGCTTGGGTTGGTTTTTATATCTTCTTAACTAATTCCCTGCATTATTTCTTTTTGCCTCACCTTCGCTCTCATAACGTGACGTTGACTTGTCCCCCCTTTCAGGGCCGGGCGCGAATCGCAAACAAGAATGATGACCGTCAAACGGCGATAATGCGACTAAACTGCCTCAATGCAGTTCTACTTGCTGCCGCAACGCTGTCGCGCTTCGCCAATGGACAATTCCCGAATGCGACGTCCCAGTACCTAAATCTGACGACGATCAGCTCTCCTATCGATCCGAATATCAAGATCAGCTACAAAGTGCCCGAAGGAGCCTGTAATACCGCATTCGAGTCGCAGACCCAGTACACTGGCTGGGTAAGCGTTCCGGGCGACTTCCCCACAAATACGTTTTTCTGGTTTGTCGGCGCACGAGATCAGCAGGCAAACTCTAGCCTGACTATCTGGCTCAATGGCGGTCCGGGATCAAGTTCTATGTTCGGCTTTTTCAGTGAGACGGGACCTTGCGAAGTGGTCGACGATGGCACGGACGAGTTCACTACTGTAGCGCGGGAGTGGGGTTGGGATAGAGCCTCGAATATGTTATTCATCGACCAGCCGAATCAAGTCGGTTTTTCATACGACATACTTACGAATGGCTCCCTCGATTTACTTACCAACAATATCTATATTCCGCCCTCGGATAGACCGAGCTCCGTCCCACGTACTGCCTTTCTAAATGGCACCTTCAGCTCCATGAACCCCAATAATACGGCTAACACGACCGAAACGGCTGCTGTTGCTATATGGCACATGCTACAGGGGTTTCTAAGCACTTTCCCAGAGCTGAACCCTCCGAAGGACAATGTCTTGGGCGTCAACCTATTTTCCGAATCCTACGGAGGGAAATATGGACCGGCGTTCGCGAGCAAGTGGAAGGAGATGAACGCCGCTCGAGGTAACGGCACCATGTCCAATGCCACCACGGTGGAGATCCGTCTTGCCTCTCTCGGCATCGTAAATGGTTGCGTCGATGATTTAATCCAAGCGCCGTACTATCCCGTCATGGCAACCAATAACCCGTACGGGTTCACAGCCATCAACTCGGTCAGAGCCCAACTGGCCAACTCCAGCTTCTACGCTGACGGAGGGTGTCGCGACCTGATCAATCAATGCCGCTCCGCCGTCGCCGGCAAGGACCCGAATAACACCGGGTCGGTCTCAGACGTAAACAGCATCTGCGAATCTGCCTACAATAGTTGCACGAACAACGTCATGGCACCTTACTCCGACTCCGGCCGCAGCGTGTACGACATCTCCGCCGTGCTCCCGGACTCGTTCCCGCCCCGCCGCTACCTCGAATACTTGAACACGGCCTCGTTCCAATCTGCCATCGGCACAAGCCTCAACTACACCGAGACCAACGCCCAGGTAGCCGCGGCATTCGCCTCGACCGGAGACTACGAACGTGAAGCCATGGTCCCCAAGCTAGCCTCGCTCCTCGACGCCGGCGTGCGCGTGGGCCTGATTTACGGCGACCGGGATTATATCTGCAACTGGCTCGGCGGGGAAGCCATCTCCTTCGCCCTCGCCGCAGCCGCCTCCTCATCCTCCTCCTCCTCCTCCGCCTCCAACCCGAACCCGAACCCGTACTCCTCCGCCTTCCCAGCCGCCGGGTACGCGCCCATCATCGTAAACGACAGCTACGTCGGCGGCGTAGTCCGCCAATTCGGCAACCTGTCCTTCAGCCGCGTGTACCAGGCGGGGCACTTCGTGCCCGCCTACCAGCCCGCGACCGCGTTCGAGATCTTCGCGCGCGTCATCCGCGGCGACAGCGTGTCGACCGGCGAGCCCGTCGATCTGGCCACGTACAACACCTCCGGCCCTGCCAACGCCACCAGCTCGCTCAATTTGCCCCCGAGCCCCGCCCAGACCTGCTGGCTGCGCGACGTCCCCGGCTCCTGCAGCGACGAGCAGCAGAGCGTTATTCTGAATGGTAAGGGGTTCACTGTCAATGGCGCGCTGCAGACCGGGTCTACGGCTTCGACGCCGCCGCCGCCGCCGAGTGAGACCGTTGGCGCGACGGCTACGACTTCCGTTCAACTCACGGGCTTGTTTACTGCTACTGCTACGCCGTCGAGCGCGGCGGGGCTGAGGCGAGGGTTTGATGGCGATTTGAGGTTCGCGATTGGTGGTGGTGCTGCGGTTGCTATGCTGGTTATGTAGCGGGTTCACGATGACCGCGATGAACTTGATGGTTATGATGCTAACGCTGGGTAGGCCTGTAAACGTCTTAAGGGGGTGATTCGTAGGTAATTAGGGGAAGTCGAGGCCGTGCTCCGGATATAGTAAATACCTGTACCTAAGTAGCGAGGCATTCTTGATAGTTTTGACACGTATATGAACTTGGGTATTATTGTCATAGCACAAGCAAAAATCAGCAGTTCCACTCAATGGTGTGGATATATCCAATATTTCGAGTTATTATGTTACTATCTAGGATATCATAATGAACACCAATACGAAACTATCAGGGTTTTATATTTCCTGACACATCGTAGAGGTGCAAAGCAGATTTCAAACAATGGGCCGCTTCTCAATGTATAAGATTGTAGGCTGTCCTTAATCTAACAAATCTCTACGCGATTTATCGCTACCTAAGATAAGAAAAAACCTACCTGCTACTCACCTTAGGTCTTCCTGCAAATAACTTTGCAGACGGAATTTTTCATTCGTGTTCATTGTATCCTGTACTCTTTGAGGCGAGTTAGCGCAATACAAGATTACGAGTAAATAGAAAGTGAGGTTGGAGATCCTGTTTCAGACCTAATGCCTTGTCAAAGGCGATATCATCAAAGCTATGTCGAGCTATGTTGACCGTCGTGATAATTAAATCATCATTGTAGGGAATAGGGTATGATTTATAATTGAGAGATTCTTACCTTGTAATCACCGGGAAGACATCCATATTCGATGACTAAATTCTGAAATAGCCACTGATTCAGCTAGTTAGCTGTGGCACTACTTGAGCGAGAGCAATTGAAAGGATCTTGTCCAACTGCAGTCAGACATGACTGGTGTCATCAACGCCGTGAAGCTCTGACATATGCTTGTCAATTTTTATGTCAAATCATCATGTTGCAGTGGAATCCAGATCTTCCGAGACCGAAAATGGTACTAACCCTAGGAGTACAAGTAGCAGTGTACCGTGTTGGAATAGTAACTATCAAAACTGTTAGAAGAGGAAGTAAATCATGCGGGCTAACAGTAAGGATGGAACTAATATCAGAAAATGCATGAATGGTAGTAAATAAGGTTGTCTACAACGGAAATCCGAATCAGACTCGTCATCTGTGCTCATCAGGTAGGTACATATTGGTTTGTGATATAGAATAAAAAAGTTGCATACCTTGACTTCAAGCCCTAGACTTCCAACAGCACCCAACGTGTTGCCGGGAGATGGATACGACAATATCACAATACTATTCCCAAAATCCAACATTAGCGAGGGTGTCGCTGAATAAACTGGAATATTTGAGGCATGGGAGGCGTGATCAGTGGGCGAGGTTTTCTAGGCCTGCCACAAATTGGCGTATCGACTCATGTGAAGATATTCGGAGCCCAGTGCCGCTTCATCATATTGGCATGATAGAGGTTTGATTCGGAGGGATGGCATACCATTCAGAGATTCACTGTGGTCACTGTATATAGCGTTAGTAGTTGCAGAAATTTTGCATTTACAAACACCGAATAGTGGTAGATTTTATCAGAAAACAGCCAGTTGTTTTTCGTCAAGGGCATGTGCCTCGGACGGTAATTTCCAGCTATGCAAATGCATAGAAAGGATCATCATAAAAGTATGAAGGGTGGGATCAACCAGAATGAACATACCAATTATGATTGCGCCTGAAAGGTTAGTTGAACCATGACTGCGACGGATCGCGTTCATGCCTCCAGAGAGTATAATCTACCTAGCTTCAAGTTAGCACAATGAAGCTCTAGAACAGTTCGACAAATGGGTGTCCAATGTTTTCTGCTCAGACTGACGTGCAAAAACTGTCGTTTCATTCCAATTGGTCAAAGACTCTAGTTTGTAATTGGTTTAATTTGTCATCATTGAGAGGAAGACGAAAGGAATTTTTGCGTACTTACATTTGCGTTCAAAAGCGCATTGTTGTGTTCAAGTGAGGAAGAGAAAAAGTGCAATAGATGTTGACGAGAAAAAAATGTTTTAGATCCCAAGCTTCACGCGGAGTGGGGCATAATGCAGGTCCAATCCCCTGGCGCCATATCGGAAGAGGTAAATTAATAATCCGAAAGAATGGATAAACTCCGGTTCAATATCATGAACTGGTCCTAGCTTCAATAAAGCTCCCTCCTTACCCCTCATCTAGTCTGTATGTACTACATCATTTCTATGTCAATCTTTTTCTGTTACCTCATTTCTTCCACAGTTATTGATCCAATCATCTCTAAGCATTACTTCACACTTCAATCAGGATTCAGGAGGTTCTTCCGATGCCATTGAAACCATTAGAGGATATTCAAAAATAGCCGGATGGTTGTAAGTATGTTGTATCATATGGAAAGCTCCAAATGAATCGACAAGCGCGGCTTTCCTTAGCTAGTAGCTGCTCACAAGACCCGGACCAAGGTCTTAAGTGACGCTTTGCGCCCGAGCAACGCCGGCATCTCCCGCCTCGGTATAATCGATGGCGGCTTAAATGCCATGACCCGAGAAATCCTCTTTTATATATCCCACCTGGCTCTTCCCTAACCCACATTTCCCCTCGGCCGGCTATGGAGCTCTGGGTCTGGATCTAGATTGGCTCCTCGGAATCTTGCCGCTTGAATGCCGTATGTCATAATGCTGTTGATACCCGCAACACCGAGCAAACCCAGCTGCCCAGCAGACCCAGTTGGGGGAAGGAAGCATAAGGATATGTAAGGATATGTAAGGTTGTGGAGACGAACAAAGATACTTAACACACACCTCAGCTCTTTATAAGCTCCCAGCTAGGTACCCCCTCGGCATATATTTCTACTACCACCAGTATTCGTCCGACATTGCTCACGATAACTTGCCGGAGGTTAGCCTATTGATACGCCCATACCTAGGTATCCTTATCATATCACCTGCCTCGTCACTTGGGTACTCAGTAAGGTACCACTCACAGACCATCTCCTCTCCATTTCCCCGTAATTATTAAAGTAAATCTTCCTAACCCCCTTCCTACTTTCTACTTTTTCTCCCTCTTCTATTTTACCCATGCCTAGTTCGCCTGTAAGATCTCCAGACATAATGGCGAGCAACGGCAACAGTAACGATGTACCCCCAGCAGAGTCGGCGGCTGTCAACACAAACATTGTCACCTTGACTCGTTTCCTCACAGAAGAGCAAGTAAAGCACAAAGAAGCAACTGGTGACTTCACGTAAGTTTCGGCTCCCCGATGCGGTGAAGAGAAAACCGACTAATGCCGCCTAAACTAGATTATTATGCCATGCCCTCCAATTCTCCTTCAAAGCCATCTCTCATTATATTCGACGTGCCACGCTTGTAAACCTAACGGGCCTCGCCGGACAATCCAATGCAACGGGTGACGACCAAAAGAAGCTCGACGTGATCGGCAATGACCTTTTCATATCGGCTATGCGATCATCGGGGAAGTGCGCGCTGCTAGTGTCGGAGGAAGAAGAGGAAGTTATATACTTCAAGGACCACACTGGTGCGCGGTATGCAGTGGCTTGCGATCCTATCGACGGTAGCTCCAACTTGGATGCAGGTGTATCCGTTGGAACGATTTTTGGTGTCCACAAATTGGCCGAGGGCTCAACTGGCACAAAAGAGGATATTCTAAAACCTGGTACTGAGCTGCTAGCTGCGGGATTCACCATGTACGGTGCATCGGCCCAGCTTGTAATCACCATGAAAGGCGGTACCGTCAACGGCTTTACGTTGGATAACTCGTTCGGCGAGTTTATCTTAACCCACCCGAACATGCGGATTCCGAGAAAGAGAGCTATTTACTCTGTCAACGAAGGTAATTCGTTATACTGGGAAGACCACACGAAAGAGTACTTCAATTCTCTCAAGTTCCCGCAAGGCAATGGAAAGCCTTACAGCGCTAGGTATATCGGTAGCATGGTTGCTGATGCGTATCGAACGTTGTTGTATGGTGGTATTTTTGCTTATCCGGCGGATAAGAAGAGTCCTAAGGGCAAGCTGCGAATTCTATACGAGTGTGCGCCCATGGCTATGGTTTTCGAAAACGGTAAGTTATTGCCCTGATGTTTAGCTATGTTGCGTATGGAGAAAAACTAACAGCCCTTTAGCCGGTGGTCAAGCCGTCGATAGCCACATGAAAAGGATGCTCGAGGTCGTGCCGGAACATATCCATGATCGATCCGGTATCTATTTGGGTAGTTATGAGGAAGTCGAGAAAGTCAAAGGCTTCTATAAATGATTTATGAAATCATCATATGCTGCCGTAACAGTCAGATTTGGATCTGCTTGGCGCGGAGGCATGGGTAATGGAGCAATAGGCGCATCCTAGTATAAATGCCGATTTTGATATATTAGGTATCATTACTCAATATCAATCCGTGAAACCCGTACATCTAGTCTACAATGATTCCATGACTTGACTTGTCTTGCAGGTATCATACTTCAACATTAGAAGAGCTTAGGGAAGAACTTGGGTGTGTTCTGCTTCCACTCCTGATAATCCTTACGATGGCCGTACTTGGCATCGTACTTTTTCTCACTCAACGGCACACCCGTCACCTTTAACAGCAGGAAACTCACGAACGCCGGGCTCACGAACGAGAGCCCCAGAGTGAACATCTTACTCACCAAACCACCTGAGAATCCAAGTCCGAATTGAACCGGACGCGTTAAAAGCACGCCAGCAGCCGCAGTAGCAATGCCCGTCCATAGAGTGCACTCTCCGAAGTAATTCGGAAATTGACTACGTCGAAGGTTAGCCGCAACCTAATACCTAATATAACAACCATAACAACTATCATCCTCAAAAATTCCAAATAGAAACTTAGCATGGGCACTCACCTCCTACTCCACAACCCCTCCGTCATGAACGGCTCATCATGCAACTTCTCCTTCCGGCGGCTCAACCAACGGCCCTTCTGCCGATCCGCCACGATCTCGAAAGCGAAGCCGCCAGCGAACAGCGCGAGACCGAGGACGTCGGTCGCTTTCAGCGCAACGGCCGCGAGGGCAGCGGGGGGCGCCGCGTTGATGGCGATTACGGGCGCTAAGCACAAAGACACCCAGGTCGCCTGGCCGACGAAGGCGCCGGCGAATTTGGCGGGCGAGGCGCGGATTTCGTCGAAGCGCGAGTCGGAGCCCTCGTGTAGGATGCGGCGGAAGAGGTATGAGCCCACTTGCAAGGATGTGTTAGTCTGTTAGTTTCGCGTGTTGCGTTTACCTACATTCGCCTTGCTACCTAGGTAGGTAGGTAAATACGGCATGTGGAGGTGGGATGTTCGAGTGATACGGACTATGTGGTACGTGGAACGGTAGGTAGGAAATGGGAGTCGTACATCGAACAGACCAGAAGACGACGGCCGCGCTTAGTACCACCTGACGCCAGTGGAAGCCCCCAGCGGCCCCCGTGAATGCGTTTACAAGACTGGGTAGTGGTGGTTTTGGTAGGCCGGCTAAGGAAGCGGCGGCGCGGGTGCGCAGGCTGGGAAGGTACAAGCTTAGTAAAGTGACGGACAAGAAAGTCACGGAGCCGGAAGCATCGTAGAAGCGCTCGGACTGGGCGAGGATGGAAGGAACTGCCACAGCCGTCTGTAGCGCAAACGCAGCTGCGACGCCCGGGACTGCCGTTCGTAGGAAGGGACTACGGAAGTTGGTTAGGTGGAGGAGCTTCTGCAGCAGACCTGATGTCATGGTGAATAAGTCTGAGTTCAATTAATGTTAAATGAATGAGTTTGTCACGTTATAATTGAGACGGAGCTACGTGTTATATACTCCTACATCGCGCGTAATGCTTAGAGTCAGAAATGCTTCTTAAGTCGTGACGTCGATGGAATTCTTAGTTAGAGGACACAAAGAATTGTTTTAGAGGGAACTACGGCGGGTAGTAGGCGGGAAGCCCCGCATTTACGGGCTCTACAGGGGTTTAAGGACTCCGTTAAGGGAAGCCACGATCCCCTCAGCCAGGAGTTTCTCTTAAGATCTTGTAAGTAATTACCGGAGCTCAAAAATTTACCAGATTCAATCATTTATTAAACGCACGTCTTAGTGTATTCGATATAAAAGAAGACGACTTGAATAAAAATCTCAAACTCCCTCAGTCACCTTATACGACTAAGGCGTCACGGACTAAGGTAAAATCTGTTACTTCTGGTAACGAGTGACGTTGGCTGACCCGGTTACTTTCATCTAGGTAACGGGACGCTAAGCTGTCAACAATTAACTGCAAGTTATCTAAGTTACCAATTGGCATCGATGGGTTCATTCTGCGCCGAAACATGAAAAAGATGCCTCGTTGGTGAGGAAGAACTGAGTAAAATGTAGAGGTTCGGATGGACGAGGCCAGGTCCTCAGGCGAAAACAGGTGTATGTCGTGCCTCACAAGGATTTATGCTTCAGGGCTTGTCATGGTGACTAGCTATCTATATGGACGTGATAGGGTATTTTATAAAATTCAGGAGTCATCTGATCCTAATATTTACTATTTAAACAACTGTTCCTCCGGCCTTAAACTCTCACCACAAGTACCACAGTCGCAACATTCCACCACTGCCTAAGAATACAATTGGATACCTCTAAACATAAAATGGCGGCACCAGAATCAAACCAGTACTGCATACGGGAGGTACTACTTAACGAGTTAGAAGAACCTCACTTAACCGATATGGCTTCGTGGATCTCTAGAAACACACGGTTCAACCCCTACGACCAGATCAGAAGATCATTGCTCCCCGGCTCCACGCCGTTCTTACCGTACCCGCCATGCGAAAGCACGGAATTCGAGGTCGAGGGTGTAAAGAGAGTAATCGTGAAGGAAAGAGGGGACAAGAGAGTCCATCTCTTGGTAGTAACTGGGCGAAATGACTCTGATATACACGGCTTCGCCTGGCTAAGTGTCTGGAATAATCGTCTACTTGGCGAGCCTGTCAACGAGGAGTTTATGGACCCAAGCCGAGACCACAACGATTACATAAACCATATACTCCGCAATGAGACTCCATATGGGGCTCATCGCCGTCAGGCATACTATATCGAGCCGGCAAAAGCATTAAGGAACAGGCGATTTGGCCAGTTTCAGGGCAATGTCATCCGTAAGTCTCCTCTAATAAAGTTGACCTGCTATTACTAACTGATATCTTGCCAACAGAGCTGCGAGATGTAATCCTACCATTAACGCAGCCAAACCCCGAGGTCCTAAGACTCTTGATCAAGAGTGCTATCGAGGTGGCTCGGAGTGTAAAGGCGCCCTTGATCACGACACTTCCTAGGCTGTACCTAGAAATTAACCACGAGCTAGATCGGCAAGGGTTCCGCGTGGTCGATATGGAGAAATATCCATTCCTGTGCCTTACCAATCACGGGATGAGGCTAGCGGAGCTGCGCCATCCTCACGAAGACGTATCAGATCTGGCGATATTCCTGAGACAGGTTCCCGTCGATGTGATCCTAAGAGTCTACGACAAGGAGGCCTCGCCGGAGGCGAAGGCTAACTTAGCTCAGTTGGGCATTTAAGTCTGCTACATAAATGCATGAAGAAGATCTACAGCGAGGCAGATCTAAACTTTCTTAAATACTATTACGGGCGGATTTCTTGCTATAAATGGAGTACTTAAATTACGAAATGGGTGTCGGATGGGATTGTCAATATTGCATACCTATCTTACGAGGCGGCATTGTTAGTTACTATCATCGCATTTGCAATCTCTTGGCATTGATATATGTTACAGCCGTGAATGCGTGAACCTTCATCTAATTCCCTACCTGCTTTGAGCTGGATATGAAGATAACCAGTAATATATACTCTAAATCACTATTATCATCCAACACTTCTTCCCAACTCCAAGACCGAGATCTCCTATTCCCAAACCCCATCACGCGCCCCAGATCTTCTCCCCATTAAACCAAGTCTCCTCCAGCGTAGCCCCCAACAACCTATCCTTATCCCACACCATATCCCAAACCGTCAAATCCGCCACCTTCCCCTTCTCCAAGCTTCCCAGCCGGCCATCCCAGAACACGCTCTTCGCCGACCCGTAGCTGGCCGCGACCACGGCCTCGCACACGCCGAGCCGGAAGTCGTAGTTCACGACCTCGCCGTACCCGGCGTTGCGGTACGACTTCCGCGTCGCCGCCACGTACACGTTGGCCATGACGTCCCACGGCGACGTCGGGCTGTCGCTGCCGAGCGCCAGCGACGCGCCCCCGTCCGCGAACTCGCGGTACGGGAAGGCGCGCGCGCAGCGGTGGCCTAGCAGGCGAGGCCACGCTCGCAGGATCCACGGGTCGGCGTGCACGGGTTGGATGGAGGCCGTGCTGGTTTGGGGATTAGTATATGTACCTAACTTCCCGAGCATATATGCCTAGGTGATATAGCCGGGGCAAAAAAAAAAAAAAAAAGAAACAAGAAAACCGCCAAAGTGAAAAGGGGGAAATGTGCCAAGTAGATAGATATGTACTTACATCCCGAATTCACCAAGCCTCTTCGCGTCCCGCGCGGACGCAAGCTCAAGATGTTCCATGCGATGCCGGTTCCTCGGCGAGCAGGTAGACAGGGCGTCGAGGCACATAGTAATCGCCGCGTCTCCGATAGCATGGAGCGCGACCTGCAGACCCGCGGCGTCAGCCTTACGCACCACCGCGTTGACGATCTCCGGCTCCCAGAACGGCTTGCCGGTGGTCAGCTTGGCGACGTCGGCGCCCTTGAGGTACGGCTCGGAGAGGTAGGCCGTGCAGGCGTCGATGATGCCGTCGGTGATGAGCTTGATGCCGACGACGTGCAGGTCCGGCGATTCCGAGGCGCTGAGCTGCTTGTGCGCTTCGATGGCGCGGTCGACTTGCGCGAGGCAGTCGGCTTCGGATGTTGAGGGGGCTAGGAGCCAGTATGCTGCCAGTCGGAAGGGCAGGGATTGTTTTGGTTGCTCTTTGCGTATGTTCAATAAAGTACTCCACGCTTGTTCGTCCATTGCCATGTCTATAGCACCGGTGTAGCCGGAACTATTGTATGCCTGAACCGCAGCCCGGATCCAGTCCTCGCGGTCTTTCTCCGTTGCTACGTCGGCAAGGAAAGGCCATATGATCGTGAAGACAGCGGCTTCCTCAAAGGCACCTGTAGGTTTCCCATCGGCGTCACGCTCGATTTTGCCTCCTTCCGGGTCTTCCAAGTTTTCCGCGTCGAGTTCCTTCAGCGCGGACGTGCTACACCAGGTGGTATGAAGATCCTTTGAATCCACATAGATAGGACGTGGATCTAGATCATCGATCAGACTTGCCAGGGGCTTCGACATATGCCTCATCCATCCCTTACAGAGAATGCGTGGTTCGTCTGGGTTGGCGAGCGCGTGTTCCTTGATAGCCTTACGAACATCCTCAGAATTCTCACAATGGTCAAGCGCAGCTTTGCTTAGCGATTGTCCTAGTCTTAATAAGTGAATGTGACCGTCGATGAAGCCCGGGAGAACTGTTCGCCCATTTAGATTATGGACGACAGCACCGGCAGCCCGGCATTGGGTGATCGCATCGTCTTCCTCGAAACCAACGTGTTCGATAGTACCGTCGCGGATAAAGATTGCACTCCCGAACTGAGGTTCGGCTTCAAGACCTGGCTGGTTAGCGTGCAGAAAGACTTTGCCGCCAACCAAAAGATGTCCAGCAGATGGTCCCGTTCGAATGTTCATATTAGTAGAGTCTATACATGAGTTTACCAGTTAAAGAGAGAAATAAACGCCTCTTTCTAACGTTGCAGACAAACTATGAGCCAAGTTTCCATTGTCACGAGATATCCCTCGGTATAGGACCGCTTTCGGCGTAGGATTTGGAGCTTGTAAAGCCCCTTAATACACCCCGCGCGATCCACCATCCATCATTAGTTCAGCTGAGAAGCGCTCCGACCCAGGGGTCAGGTCCGGTCTCGAGCCTCACATATACCCGTGTTCTCGTATTTAATCGTCTGATATCCGTTTGATTAGGTACGTTCTATTTCGTTCTAGGTATGAATTGGAAGTTTGATGAGTGGTGCCCAGAATAATTCTTAAGATACTACCTAAAGCTGTCGTCTTTTTTATCATCTGTTAGAGTACTTGCATTCCCAAGTTTTCTACGTACCTACCTACCTTGCCACATCTGGAACCCGCTAAAGGTATATGAGGTGGCTTTTTTTTAGCCTTACTGATTTATGCAGGCTTTCTCGTATGTTACTGTTATATTGTAGTAATCCGCTTGGAATTGCAAATATCGTGGAAGTATTTGCTTCTGAAGACGGCACCAAGTTCCAGCCCCTGTAATTAAAACTTACTGAGTCACGTGTGAACTCCGATCGATCGATCAGATAAGATAAAAAAAAGGCACCATTGCAGGTTGTTCTTCATGGATCCATCATATTGGCGCCCCTAATAGTACAGCACTGCCTGCCCCGCGCTGCCCGCGTTGTTTGTCTCTAGGTAACCCAAGGAGATCCGCTGTCTTCAAGTCGCCATTCTAGTAGCTCCTTGGCGACAATTAACGATTTTCGCCAACGGCCTTTAGCCTTACTTAGCTAAATACCTAGTTCATAAATAAGTTGGACTTGGCCCCGGTGAGAAGCGAGGTGATGTTCTATGCGTAACATCCTTTATGATCGACTTCAGTTCCCTTTCAAGATTTTTCTAATCTAGACATCTCTTCAGGACTCAGACTGCTAATTATAGTACGTTGGTATCTATAGCGATGTCGGTTACAGCCCGACATCTACGAGTCTCCCGGGAGGTGCTTATCATATACGAATACCAATAATCACCGTCGATTAAGGGGTCAGCTAGGTAATTATTAGAAACGTTTCTTTCTTAGGTAGCAAACTATTACTATTCGACCCGATACTATAGAACACACTGGTATCCATCCTTACATCCCTCAGGTCAGCCTATGTATAATACGAACCACCATCAACAATCTGCGTCTGTCCAGTAACATAATCACTATCACTGCTAGCCAAAAAGCTAACCAACTTCGCCACATCCTCACCCGTCCCAGGCCTCGACAACGCAACCTCGTCCTGGATCCTCCGGCGCATGACCTCGCCCTGCGTCAGGCCCTTCCGCTTCGCCATGTGCGAGTCGATGAGCTCCCACATGTCAGTATCGATGATGCCGGGCCCATACGAGTTAGCAGTAATATGATGTTGCGCCATGTACATGGCGTAGCACTGCGTGAGGCCGCGCACCGCGAACTTGGTCGACGTGTAGTGCGGCATCATGTCGAACGGCTTGAACCCGGCCACCGACGCCGCCGCGATCAGCTTGCCCGGGCGGTCCGCCTTGCACGTCCCCTGCGCGATCATTTGGTTGGCGGCTTCCGCGAAGCAGTTCTGCACCCCGAACACGTTCACCGCGAACATGTGCTCGAACTCTTCTGTTGTGAGCTCAAGCACGCTTTTCACTTGGCAGATTCCCGCGTTGGCGATCCTGGGTTAAGAGCATTAGTTTTAAGGCCAAGATATGAGTTCCTAGACTACCTAGGTAATCAAGAAAAGGAACTGTGTTATAGTGGTCTGATAAAATAGGAGACGCGTGGATGTGCAGTTAACTTACATGGTATCCAGGGGCCCCAGTTCCTTAACGCTAGTCTGAACCAACTCTTTCACTTGATCCCTTTTCGACACATCCGCGATCGCAGTGACTGACTTCCTGCCCATATTTTGTATTTCTTTCACGACCTCGTCGCAGCCGGCTCGGTTCGCGCCTACGTCGTTGACGCAGACATCGTACCCGTCCGCGGCGAGGCGTAGCGCGATAGCTTTCCCGATCCCTCGACTCGAACCCGTCACGATGACGGTTCTCCTCTCGCCTTGGTTGCGGGAAAGCGAGGAATATCCAGCTCGCAGGATACTTCTCCCTACATTCGAGCTGTTTGCCAAGCTCCCTGATCTAACGAGACGAAGACATGCCTGCTTTGAGAAGCTTGTTGCTCGCGGACCTAGAAACATGATTACTATTAAGCGTAGGTGAGTTAAATTGATACAGGCAGAAATACCTAGCTCGTTAGAAACGACATTATTTTGAGATACACCCCGCGTTATAAGAGCCAGGTAAACTTGAAAACTTGATAGGTACCTAGGCAGCGAGACCGGGAAGGCTGTCGGGGTAAAGGATCAATGGACGCTATGTGACATCGGTTGATCATCCTATTCCCCTCTAAACACTTGCATAGAATGGAGTGCAGAGGGGCCGGCGTTGGAGACCTCTGCGGATATCGTCTACCGACTAAAGGTCCTGTGCCCGCATTCGGTCTTGGAGTATTCCGGACCTCATATGGTCTGAATTTCCTTTATGGGAGGTAGTTACAGCTCAAAACTTAGTTAGGCAATGAATAGTTCGTGAGTTAACTTGGTTTTATAGGTGTCTCCAATTATTGGCATTATTTCTAAACCTTTCTTAGGACCGTTATAGAAAGCCGTTAATGTAATTACTTTAAATACCATCTCTATAGCTGGAATCTATTATTCGTAGTGAGGGGTGGTCTGGAATTTGTCAGTTAACTTTATACCGCAGTTAACACCCGCCAATGATCTTGATATACGTTTCGAAACTAAATAAATTAGGAACACGTGAGTTCCTTTTTTGGACGAATGCACTCTTCTATTGGGTACAGCGTAGGGAAGTTCCCATTTGATAACCTACCTAGGGTAGGTAAAAATCCTAGAAATGATAACTTGTTGATGACCATAGAGCTGACCGCATATCAGACCATAGTCCAGGTCGTTTCCACTACGACGTCAACTTAAAATACATATTCAATTAAAACATGCCGTTTCCTACACTAACCTCGAAACTAATGTACTCATCCATACGCTAGACTATGTGACCGAAAGATCTATAAAGCACTCCTCATAAATAACCATGAAATATATCAACCACGTTGCCAATCTCCAAGAATTGAAACCCACTCTGGAAATCTCCGCGACCCCAACGGCTAGAAGACTACTAAGGGATTCCCCTTTGAGGACCGGAATACCTTGTAGGGTTAGTGAAGCATATGGAGAATATGAGGGGAAGGCAATAACTAGCCTTCGAACGGCCTGGTCTATTTAGTTAATATGGGGGCGGCGCATATAAATGTAATCGAATATGAGACTATGTTTGAATTCCAATGTCATATTAACTAGCGAAGTATTTCAGGTAGGTCGAAGTCTGAAAAAAGGGGGCTTGCCATTGGTCAATGCACACAGGTAACAGCGCTGCCGCTTTGAACTGATTCAAAAGCTTCACGCCTCGGAAAAGATAGTTCCGTTAGAAGATAATGTGGTATTTTATACTAACCTAGGTGTAACTTATATCGGGACTTAGGCGAATGATTCCTCTATCTTATACAATCGGTTTCTGTGACGCGCCACGTAACGAATTCGGGTTAATGCCGGCTGAGGGAAATCAACCATCTTATACAATTATCGTGAAATATGTACTAAAGACCCCAGACCGAGAACCCGAAAAACGCCCATCATGCCGCCCATTCCATTGATGCTATGATGCGGGTCCGTCCGCTGCTTGTCGACTTTCGCCCGGTGAGAGACGCGTGCTTCCAATCACTCGATCCGACCTACCGACCGGTGTTGGCGAAGGCGCTCTTCACGTCGGCGCGAGGCCACTCAAACAGTACGTCGCCGCTGTATACAGTCGCCGTGACGGTGGAAATCCGAACTTCTAATTCTCCGTAAAACTTTTCGCATTCGCGCAGGACCCGATTGACCAGACTACGGCTCAGAGTTGGGTCGTCCGCGTCGCCAAAGTGCTTCTCAACTCGCTTCTTTAATGCTTCGACGCCCTTGCGCACCTCGCGACCGTCGTAAGCACTCAGTACCTTATTGAACGTACCCTTCGCATTGCTGGGTTGTGCGGCAACGATCGCGGGGCTCTTCCCTGTTGCAAGCTGCGCCTCGATATTCTCGAGATATTCGAGCAATTTACCTAATGGCCGGCGCATTACTGCGTTAAGGTATAAACCCATATGTTCGGCCATCTCGCTTGCCGCAGTTTCCTTCCAGTCCTCGAGAATCTCCAAACCGTGGGTATCGAGCTCCTCAAGGAAATGGTTCATATTTTCGATAAGCAAGATGTGGTAGTTTAGAGCCTCCTTATCTTCAGGATCGGCGCCGCTATTTGTGAGCGTTACGGGGTTCTCGCGCGCGATGACCTTGAGAGAATCGAACATAGTCTTGACGATACGGTCGTACTCTCGGTCTACGGTTCTCCTTACAGAAGAGTTCGTGTCGACCGCCGAGAGCATGTTCTCTACGGCGTTGGAGAAATGCGGGAAAACCCGCATAAAGGAGATGACACCTTTGCGTTTCTTGATCTTGACTTTCGTTTCCTCAATTGCGCGCAATTGACCTTCGACAAATTTCGAGAAACGGGTCTCGAGGTTACTGTGAAGCTTTTGTAACACGTTGTTCAAGAAATCCTGGTTGGACTGTATAATCTCCAGGTGTTTGCGTTCGAGTGTTGCGAGAATACCAACCCCTTGCCTGTTTGTTTGTTAGTGAAAAGAAGACGCCACGAGACCAACTGGACAGGGCACTTACAGCGGATCTTGCGACAAAACCCAATCAACTGTGATCTGCAGGTCTTGCTCCAAGAATGAAAATATCGCCTCCATAGCTCGAGTAACCCTTCTAGCTAATTCCCGATCCGGCTCCATGAGTCTATGCCGTTTCAAATCACCACCTCGTCGATCTCGTGGCTTTGTAGCTGTTACAAGATCGGGGAAGTCGGCTGTCTCCAAGGTAGTCGCGTGGAAGAAGTCAACGATGAAATTTTGCTCAATTTCGACCAGAGGAACTATATCATCCATCATGCCGGCAAACACTTCGTATGGAAGATTGCGACCGTCGGAGATCTTGTCGAGGCTTGTCTTACTGCCCTCGCCAAGGGGACTGCGTAGAGTTCTAGCCAGAGTCTGACTTCGCTTGACAGTGAGCTTCCTGGCGGTGGCCATCGTGCCCTCCTGTTGTCTCTCTATTTCGGCGGTGAAGAGAAGTTCTAGTTCGTCACCCGTGGGTTTCCTAGCATTCCGTCTCCATGAATCTAGGATATCTTTAAACCTAAACTTGTAGAGTGGAAGGTTCTTTTCTTGATACACTTGTAGGCATCGATTCCAACCTTCGAGGTCTACCTCTCTGGCATAGAGGATAAGGGGGCTGTAGCGCCAGAGCAAGTCGCGGCCCACATCGTGATGAGCAGGGTCGACCTTTTTCGACAACGCTCCATCTACAGTAGCCCTAATCTCTTGGGATGCTTTATCAAATTGTCGAGACATGAATGCACTAAAGCGTTGTAAGAATGCTGCGCTTTCTGTGCTATACATCTCTCTTTTTTCTTGGACGATTCGCATTTTGCCGTAGTCGGTGTTCAGGCTAGATTGTGGACCAGCTGAACCTCCATCCTCGCTTTTGCGGAGTTCTGACCCAGCGGCGGAAGAATCAATTTTCATCATCGCCTTATACAAGGTAACGAGTGCTGCTTCGATCTCTTCAAGACCTGAAGTAGTCTCGAGTGGTGCCACCGTAAGAGCTCGTAAGTCATCGGAACTAATAGCACAGGTATCAAGCAGCGATTCTACCTCTTTCCTAAGAAGCTTCTGATTTGCTGCCTGCACTTGCAGACCCTGCCCTTGCGCTTCTATGTATGCGATATCATCAGATAAGGTCTAAATTGTGGTTAGCAACACGAATCCTATATTCTTGATTCACACTCACAGATAATTCCACGCTGTACAAAGTGAGAAGATTGTCAAGTTCGTCGCATTCTGCGAGGGCAACGTCAAGGCCCCTTTTGATTGCTTCAACTCGATCATCCTCCTCTTGAAAACGTACAACCCAGCCTCCAGCCTGTGCTTTATTAAGTTCACGGTCAATGTCAAGTTTCATCTCTTCAAAATTACGACATCGCATTTGCTCGCCAGGTACCCAGCCGAAATGATCCAGCCATCTTGCGAACTCCGGGGACGTATCGGTCAGTAGAGATATATCGATACCCAGTGTAGACAAGTACTTCGTATCATTGCCAGTAACAGTCAAGGGTCGTGGCGTATCTTCTTGTCGAGCCGCCTCCAGACTCTTCCTTTGGCTCTCTTTGATGGAAGCTTGCAGGCTAGTAGGCCTGCTAGAATTAGGTACTGTTACCTTCACTTCAGGAACAATGGGCGCCTTTTCTACGGAGTTCCTCTCGGGCTCAGCGGGTTTTGGCGGCTCAGGCTTCGGTTCTGGACGTCGCGGCGCTGGAACAACGCTTGTTATTCCATCTGGGCCTTCAGTTGTCTTGAGAGCTGCCTCTCGCAATCGTTCGCCCGCGCCGCCTGGGCGAGGTTTGAAAGCTGTTGCAGCTGACGCGGCCTTCCATAGGGCTCCGGCTAGATCACGTTGAGACTTTGCCTTGATCATAGGCCCTAATCCTGGACGCGTCTCCATATCTGCTGGCTTCTCTTCCGCCGTCGGTGCAGATGCTGGGCCCTCAGCAGCTGCCGCTTCTGCAGCGCCGTTAGGACTAGGTGTCGGAGAGGGAGGTGCATCGGAGACCGTTGGAACTACAGGTACCGGCTCCGCCACTGCGGCTGGAGATGGTATCTCGGCGGGGGAGCCATTCTCGAATCGCTTTCCGATAGAATTCTTTCGAGGCGACATTCGTTCGGTACTCCGTGGTGGCGGTTCTTTTCGACCTCCCTGGCTCATCAATGGTGCTGGCACGAGACCATTATCTGTAGTTTCCTTTGGCCGAGTTGGATCCATTGGAGGTCTTTTCCTGTCAGGTAAATCTACTTGCGAGGGTGATTCGGAGCGATCGGCGAATCTACCGAATGCGCCAGGTCCCGGCATCCCCCCTCTGGATCGGGGAGGAAGGCTAGCTGAATCATCGCTTCTGGTGGTGGATATAGAAGCTGCTATGGAGTCCTGACTCTTATTATTCCCAGCCAGCCTACGCAGAGCAGCAGCCTGATTTCCTGCGCGAGCAGAATCTGCGCCGGATGCCGATGCTGGCGATGAAGATCCATTCGGAGGTGCGAGGTTACGCCCTGGAGAGCCAGGAGATTGGTTTTGGCGAAAAGGCTGGATTCCGCCAGCGGCAGCTAAAGGGTTAGGGGATTTGTTTTGAATGGGTACAGGCTCTGGTTGAGATGGAAGAGGATCGGGTCTGGGCGGTCTGGCTTCGACTCGTGGAGGTGTCGCAGCACTTCTCGAAGGGGGAGGAGTAGGCCCAGTTCGTAGTGATGGAGTAGAGTCGGCAGGAGATCCTCGATTCGGATTTGGTGGGATCCTTCGTGAACCAAGCACTTGGTCAAGTTCGCGTGGATCGAAACCCTTTAATTCAGGTACACTTCCGCCAGTGTACTTTCCATATATCTTAACAAGACTAGCGATGAAAAACTTCTTTTCCTTGTCAGCCTGAGCTTGCCAGTAGTAAGGCTTTCCAATGTTCACGATAAATCCGGTATCGCCAGCCCATTCTCGTTTCTGAGGGTCAGCGTTAGGAGAGGTAAATGACTCGATAACACTTAGGTCATTCAGATCCCAAGTCTTGCCAATGGAGAATGAACCGTTTGCATTTTCCTTGGACTTATGCATGCGCACTCGACCCGATTTTCGCACGGCTACAATGATGACTCGCGGTTTTTCAGATTGGGATCGCGCTTCAGGAGGCGGCGGGGAGGTCGGGTGAGAGGAGTACTCTGTGATTCTAATATGGGTGATATAGGTTTCAAGTACTACAGGGAAACACAATGTACGTCAGCTACTCCCGTAGTCAGTCAACACAAGCGGAACATGAAGCAATCTTACTGGATCCGTCGACATCTTTTTTGTTGAAGCAGCTTTCTACGATGCGCCTCTTTTCCTCCTCGAACCGCTCGGCTCTACTATATTCACGGCCCATACCGGGACCACCATTCTGTCGCGGTTGATCCATTGCTTAGAACGGGGTACGAATCCGTGACAAATTCATGAATGGAGGTGGTCGTGGGCGATTCGTGGAGGTTCAGTGATCATTTTCGTCTCCGTTCGATCAATGAGCAACAGGGCGAGAATACTGCGACCAAGCTTGGAGAAGTGCCTAGTCAATCGGGATGTTTCGGAGCGCTGGGAAACAATCTAAAAAGCGCAAAGGTGGTGATGACGGGATTGAATGAGTATGCTAAATGCTAAATGAGGGAACGGTGGTGATGTACAATGTGGTGTCTCAGGGAGTTTGGGGCCAAAGCGTCCGACTGTAGCTTCTTGGCATTATTTTTGGTGTTCTGAAGATGTACCCCGCTACTTCCTGGTATCTATTTGGTCTTAAGTAAGCTCACCAAATCTTAACTCAAAACTTTGAAGTTCCTACTTCGTTTCAAGTACCTGGTACTTAGTAAGTGCCACATTCTGCCACATATAAGCCACTACGTTTCATTTAATTAATTGTGACGTCGCTTCCACGGCACGGAAGACGAGCTGGGTACTCCGGACTAGCGTACATTCCCAAATTCATTGACTCTGTTTGTATATCGAGGCGGGACAAACTTGCTCTTAATTCAACTATCTTTTCGAGAAAACTTCAAGAACTGGTCATTTTCAAGCGTAACGCTCCATAATATCTTTGACCCTTTCAAGAGGGAGTGCTTCAATCCTATGACCTTGGTTTCCTACCATCGTCTCAGCCATGCATAGACAATTATATATCGACTCTTCTGTGGCGTCCGCTGTGGCCTCAAATAGCCCATTGATCGTCGCATCATCAACCACGTCAACGGTGATGGGTTTTGTCTTGAATCGGTCGACTTCCTGTTGGACTGGAACCTCATTACCAGTCGAGAAAGCTAAGAAGACATCACCGGACGGATTATGACCGTATCCGCCGACTTTAGCTAATCCCACAGTGGCTCTCTTAGCAAGTCTCTGAAGCTGCGTAGGATGCAGAGGTGCATCTGTCGCGATGATGACAATGATACTCCCGTCCTTCCTGTCTTTCTCTTTCTGAAGAGCTTCTCTTGCCAATTTTATCGCCAGACTACTCTCGGCAGCTTCGTCAGCCTCCTTGGCTAAGATGCTACCAACCGGCACACCTGCGATACGGAAATGGTGTGGCCTGCCGTAGTTGGCCTGCACAAGAACACCGACTGTGTAATTCTTGGGCTCGCCTTTGGTATCAAATCCCTCGACGATTCTGCTGCTGCTACCAGTGCCGCCCTTGAAAAAATGGCAGATCACTGCAATGACCCGGTCAGGATGTTTCGCGGTCTAGTAAAGAATACGGAGGTTACTTACTTCCAGTCCCGCCGCCGACATTGCCTTCCCTGACACGGTCACTCGACACACTCTCAAGACCCTTGACGATGTGTTCGGGTTTGACTGCGAATTGAGTAAGGTCGTTCATGTACCCATCAAAAGTTTCTGCGACCACAGGTAACAAAAACCAGTCGACGTTCCCCTTCGTTACCCCTTGAGCTTTAATGGTGTACTCGTATATGCCCTGGTACGCGGCACCCACGGCGAACGAGTTGGTAATGACGATAGGAGAGTGTAGTAGGCCTGTCTCGTTGATCCAATGGCTGCCAGTCATCTCACCGGAACCATTGAAGCTGAATATTCCCGCGTAACAGGCTTTATGAAACCATTCTTCTCGTGGCAAGATACTCGTGACGCCGGTATTCACATTGCCATCGTCGGCAAAGATTTCCTGGGTATGAACCCGAACGCCAGGAACGTCAGTGAGGGAGTTCAGAGGACCGGGTTTCCAACCTCCTAGCTGTAAGTTAGGCAAGAGTTCCCTGAGTCGCATTCGGGGCTCATTGCCTGTGGTTGCAGTTGTGCCTGAACCGGACGACATGGTAAGATGAATGGCAAATTAAGTTAAGTTAAGACAATTGGTATTCTGGCTTCTGAATCCCTTTCATCTTCAATGCTGGCTTGTACGACCAAGATTAGATTTATACTGAGATGGTCCTCTATTCATCATGTGATATTGATAACGAATGTGCTTTGGTATGCGTGTGTTACCTCTCTGTTGACTCATGCCGGTGTGCTATCGAATTAAGACCATTTAACTTGTCTCAATTTGGGAGGTGAATGGTGTTATGCATCCTAGACACATTGGAACTACTGGTAGCTTATTGGTTTAGATTGTAGTTTTTGATGCCAAACCCATATCTTAAAATGGGTATAGGGTCTCATCGCGAACAACAATCTCACAAGGCAGGGTTCAATTGCACGCATACGCCGAAATGGAGAGGCTAAGTTCGCTTTTAAGTGAATGGAGGCTTACCTACTTACCTAGGTAGGTACTAGACCGAATACTCGGCCCCTATTCCCCAATGCGGAGATGTTTATTACCGGCTCGAGCACCGGTTGAAGGTCGATTCCCCCACAGCGGGACGGTTGCTACCCCACACTATTCTTCCCTTCCCTTTGTTTTTACCTAGGTCTTATGGGGTAGGGATGTTGAGGATCTCACTTATTGCTCCCGACGGCTTAAGATTCTATCTTATTCATTTACGTCACATTAAGAATCAACCGAGGAACATCAATTATATCTTACCTAGGTGCCTAGAATAGTAATTGGAAGATTGTATAACTAGTGTACGTCTTTGGAACAGATAATCCCGGATTTCGGCAAGTCACAACTTCTCAAGATGGTTGCCGCAGTTAGGGTGGCGCCCACAGTGAGTTTCAAGATCTCACCACCGAATTGGACGTTTACTGACACCAGGGGAAACACCAGGCTGCTTCAAGAGCAGTTAGTCTACTGCGAACTGTCCAGTACGCCCATCCGCCAAATTGTCCATGTCACTCAAATCCGGGCCATCACCATCATCATGCGAAGCATCAGATTGATGCATATGCTCAACATACTCAGCAGCGGACGGGAAGACGCGGGTTTGCCTCTCCTATAGACCCTGCTCAACAAAAAGAGTATGCGTTTGAGATGGCTGCGTCCTCAATCCGATTTGGACCCGGCGTCACCCAGGAAGTTGGCATGGACTTCAAGAATATGGGTGCCAAACGTGTCTGCGTCGTGACCGACTCAACTGTCCGCAAACTCACTGCTGTGAAGCAAGTCGAGGAGGCTTTAACGAGAGAAGGCATCAAATATGAGATATTCGACAAAGTCCGGGTCGAGCCGAAGGATAGTTCGTAAGTAACCTCTGGATTCTGTAAGATATGTGACGTCTCGGCTCAACCCAATTCAGGATTAAGGAGGCTATTGCCTTTGCCAAGCCATATAAGCCGGACGCATTCCTGGCAGTTGGAGGGGGTTCAGTCATCGACACGGCCAAGTTAATGAATCTCTATACTGAGTACCCCGACGCCGATTTCCTAGATTTCGTCAACGCCCCGCTGGGTAATGGACGGCCGATCGAGAAGAAACTCAAGCCCCTTGTCGCCATCCCCACGACGGCCGGCACCGGTAGCGAGACTACCGGAACGGCAATCTTCGATCTAGTGGCGAAGAGGGCCAAGACCGGAATCGCGCACCGTAATTTAAAGCCTACCCTCGGCATTTGCGATCCGCTCAACACGAGAACAATGCCGGCGGCGGTGAAGGCGAGCTCCGGATTAGATGTTCTATGTCATTCGCTTGAATCCTGGACAGCCATTCCCTTCAACGAGAGGGTACCCAGACCGACTAACCCGATCCTGAGGCCCGCTTACCAAGGTGCAAATCCAATCAGCGACATATTCTCCCTAAATGCTCTTCGTAGTACAGTGAAGTATCTTCCAAGATCCGTCAAGGACCCCGAAGATCACGAGGCCCAGAGCGAGATGCTACTCGCTGCCACGCTAGCCGGCGTTGGTTTCGGCAACGCGGGGGTTCATCTCTGCCATGGTATGAAATAATGTTTCTTGAGCCGAGGTATAAGGGCAATATTTGAACTAACCTAACCGATTGTTCTTAGGCATGTCGTATCCCATCTCCGGCCAAAACCCGGGCTACAAGCACGCGGGCTACGACGTCACAACTCCCATCATCCCCCACGGCGTCTCGGTCGCCGTATCTGCTCCCGCCATCTTCCGGTTCACCGGGCCCTCGAATCCCGACCGCCACCTCGCCGCCGCCGAGGCGTTCGGCGTGGATATCACGAACGTGAGGCGCGAAGACGCGGGTCGGGTCCTGGGAGACGCCATCACGAAATTCCTTGCCGACCTGGGCGACCAGCCCAAAGGGCTAAAGGACCTAGGGTTCGATTCGAGCCATATCGAGGCCTTGGTCGAAGGCACGATACCCCAGGCCAGGGTCTTGATGCTGGCGCCCGGTCTGGCGAAGGAGCTGGAGAAGGAGAGGGATCAGTTGAGGAGATTGTTTGAAGAATCTTTGGTGCATTGATGGGGGGCTGCTTGTTTATGTTGTATATAAGAGATTAACTACCTAAGGAAGTGCCTAGATGGATGGATGATTTATGTACCTAGATAGCTTGTGCTCTGAGATCTTGAGTCCTTCAACGCATGCATAGTAGAATTTCTATATTAAGATGACCTTTCATAAAGTTGTCATAGCAATAAAGTATCATTAAATCAGATTTTTTGTAATTGGGTCAAGAAAGAAAACCGATTATTTTTAGTCGTAGGGAAGCCTCCGGAGAATGTACGGCGCATGCCGGTGTCACCACCAATCTCCGCATTCTAGAGTGTGTCCTGTGGGTATCCATCTTAATATCTTATTTCCTACTTCTACAACCCTCTATTCTTGAGGGAATAATAAGTATAACTTTAGTTTTATCAATACATTACATTCTACAGTAATAATCTGTTATTGGCGACATGTATTGCGAATGAGCTCCAAGTCGTCTATGATTTCGCTTAGAATATTACTGTGGGCGTGGCAATAAATCTTACCGATCTCACATAACTCCCGGCATGAACTTGCAGCATATCGGGGCCAATTCCGAAGATAAATAGTCAAGAAAGACGAGCGGCTTCGGACCGATGCCTTCGGTCCTATAAATTCTCATTATACAGAAGACGAAGTAAAAGTAACGGATATGAAAATCTCCAGGCGCGAATGCAACTTGCGAGACTTGTTGCTTTCGCATGGCAATCCGGTTCGCGTTCCCTTATTGTCGGTCTCCACCGAATGGAATGTTCCCACACGAAGCTAAACAAGATATCCCGGGACCGCATTCGGCCGATAAGGGGGATCTAAGATGTGGAGAGATCCCCCGAAGAGCCTCGTTCGGCAGAGCCTACAAGCCGATGTGAGGCTTTGCTGCGATATAATTGAAATGTCCGTGACCCAGTCCGCTGGGAACGTCAAATCGAAGCCCGTCTCTCAGCCGCGACAATACCCGCGCCCGCCTCACAGTCCTGTCGTGAATGCCGGGGTGTGAGGCACGAGCTGAGTCCGAATTTCCCACCAATAGCCGTTTGTTGAGATCTTTGCCTCAATATCCCTTAGATTACGGGCACTACCCTCTTACGTAGCATCGCGGCAGGCGACTTCGAAATCCCAGGCACGTGCTGGTCCTATTATCCATGCCCGCTTTCTCGACAAGCGCTTACAGGTCATAGACGATCATTCTCTACGCGAGCCCTACAGATCTCTGTATCTTGCTCCCTGCCGCGTCTGCCTTTTGTGGTTGAGGGACGCCAAGGCCATGGAACCGAACGTGCACCTTGGCATCTGGACCTCGACGTCGCACGCGTGCTACCCCGGCCTAATCGCGCTGGTGGGATCGCTCACGGGAGATGTCTGGCCTATTTTCAGCAACGCAGAGTGCCGTTTTGGGGGTGCCGGAAGTATTTGGCCCGCCATCCTTTTTCGGGATTTGATGATTTGGGGAAAGCTGGGGTAGACGAGTAGGGGGAATTGAGATGTTGGGGGTCCTTCGTGAAGTGCAATAAGATTCCCATCGTGCCCGTGCGGTTCGAGGGGATGGGCTTTGTTCTCTCTCGTCCATTCCCCGATTGTTGAGATCGGGTTCTTCCAGAGACAACAAGCAACCATGGATGAGAAAGGAATCAACGTTGGCGGCGTCATGGTATCCCAGGAACATGTCGCCGTAACCGAGGGCACCGGCGCGGCGACGAGTTCACCCCGTGCAAAGGCTAAGGTGGTTCACAATGTAAGTCATCTTCGACATGAGTAAAAACGCGCGGTTTCGCTTTTGTTTCATGTGTTCGCTGGTTGAAATGTCTAATCAAATGACAGGCCGAGCTCTACGCGGCTATTCAGGAGACCAAGATCGACTACAAGAGCAGAAACTCCTTACACCTCTATTGTAAATGACCCAGGCGGATTGATCGATATCTTACTCCCGAAGCGTTGCTAATTATGAACAGTCGCGGTCCTTGTTGCGTTTTGTTGCGCCTGTGCCAACGGTTATGATGGTGAGATTTCAACGGTGATCCCCTCTAACGGCTAACGGTTGCTGACGAGTTGGACGTCTTAGGGTCACTCCTTACCGGCATTGTCGCCATGAGCCATTTCCAAGATACCTTTCACAGCGGAAAAACTGGCACCATCGTCGCTATCATGTTTTCTCTTTACACGGTGTTAGTTTTCATGAACTTCCCCTCTCTGTGTCTTAGACTGATCTAAAACTTTACTTCAGTGGCGCGATGGTCGGCAGTCCCTTCGGCGCGATGCTGTCCGACAAATATGGCCGCAGGGCAGGCATGTTCTGTGGCTGCTCAATCATTATCGTCGGCATGATTATTGCGTCAACAGCCTTTACGATCGCGCAGTTTGTCGTCGGTCGTTTCGTGCTCGGCTTTGGCATTTCCATTGTAACCGTTGCCGCCCCGGCTTACTCCGTTGAGATCCCGCCTCCGCATTGGCGCGGTCGATCTACCGGTAGGCAGAAGATCTTTCGAATTTAGCAACACAGACGTTAATGTACTGATGGTACCTATAGGCTTTTATAACTGTGGTTGGTTTGGAGGTGCTATTCCTGCTGCTGCTGTAGTTTACGGCTGCAACAAAATAGACAACGACTACTCCTGGAGAATCCCATTGATCGTGCAAGCGTTCGCCTGTATTTTCGTTCTATTTGGCGTCTGGTTCATTCCCGAGTCGCCTCGGTTCCTCATGGCGAATGGCCGTGAGGAAGAGGCCATTGATTTCTTAGCCAAGTACCATGGTAACGGCGACCGTAATTCCAAGCTCGTTCAGCTCGAGATTGAGGAGATGAAGGAAGGTATTCGGCAGGACGGTATCGACAAGAGGCCTTTGGATTGTATGATTTTCTTTTCCCTTCCCTTCTACGACTTGAATGATTCATACGTACCTATGTATGAACAAGGCTAATGTATGCTGATAGACCGCCCCTTCCTCTTCAGCCATAGCGGCCGCTGGCGAATTCTTCAGGTTTTGATGATCTCCATCTTCGGTCAATTTTCCGGCAACGGACTGGGCTACTTCAACACAACCATCTTCGAGATCATTGGTGTTTCGTCTATAGAGCAACAATTGGCATACAACTTGCTTAACTCTGTTCTCTCCGCAGTTGGCGCCTTGACCGCTGTCGCTTACACTGATACCATGCCTCGACGAAAAGTGCTAATTATTGGAACATTAGGTTAGTAATCCTTTCCCCGGCCGAATGTGAGATATCACTTCGTTTACTGACGATATATGTTCTTGCAAAGCTTGCGTTGCAGCCCTAGCTACCAACTCCGGTCTTTCTGCTGCTCTCGAGGCCCAAGGAGAACACATCCAAGACTCTTATGCTAAGGGAGCTTTGGCATCTTACTTCCTATTCAACATCGTATTTTCCTTCACCTACACCCCTCTTCAGGGTGTCATTCCTACAGAAGCCCTGGAAACTACTACGCGAGCAAAGGGCCTTGCCTTCTCCAGTGTCATCGTCTACGCCATGGGGTTCATAAATCAGTTTGCTGGTCCTATTGCCCTAGGAAACATCGGGTACAAGTACATCTATGTAAGTTGCCGATATCCCCCTCTTCGACTAATATGTGATTAACTTGATATGATATAGGTATTCGTTGGATGGGACCTAGTTGAAACGGTGCTCTGGTACTTCTTTGGGTTCGTACCCCCTAATCCAACGTGCCTCCTAATCATCACTAACCCTTATCACATAGTGTCGAGTCCCAGGGCCGTACACTTGAGCAGCTCGAATGGGTCTATAACCAACCTAACCCTGTCAAGGCATCCCTCAAAGTTGATAGAGTCATCGTTGAGGCAGATGGCAGAGTTAAGGAGAAGGTCGTAACGAGTCAGGCTTAGATATCACATACTATGTTGGCTGATAGACATTAAGGGTTATAGAAATCTTTGTCTGGTTTATCATAGTTAGCTTCATATCTCATGCGGCATAGTTAGACTAAATAGGGTTATATCGGTGACCTTGGAAAGGGGTAATGGAACTGAGGAAACTAGAGACTCATATAGAGGTGCAATTTGCGGTATGGCATACAGGGTCCCTAAGATAATGCTCCTGCTTGGGCAAATCGTCAAAGATCTAGGAAATATATTATATCCACCTCATCAGCTGCCATAAAAGACACGCACACTTCTTGGGTGCTTGTAGTGGGACGTATATTCTATCAACGCTGTGGGCTCTAGTTGTATCAAGGTTAGATATTCCCTGATATATTGCTCCTAATTCAGGGTTATACTTTCCTAGGTAAGATATCTTGGATCACAAACGTACTAGATTTTAACTCTTTTTTCAAGCATGTGTGCACTTTATCCCTAATTATGAATGAGACCTACCTTGGCTTCCCTTAACAGGCCTGTTTATGCTGGCAGAATCTCTCGGCTCAGCGATAAAATGAGATCTGCCAACAATATGAGGGAAAGGAGTCACCAAGTCTTGATCGATCAAGCCTTGGGCTAGGTTAGGACATATCAGAGAATCTTTACCTGCGAACGGGCTGCCAGGGGATGTGGAATTCCAGGAGTGGCGGTCTAACATGATTACCTACCTCACAACAGAAGCTTTGATTGGCCCATATACGCTGAGCTTTGAAATCACACGTATGTGTGCGTTTCTATCCCGAGACAATAGTGGCGGATGATTTATGAGCCCACTTCTGGTCCATGTTACTGCCTCGCCGTCTTAGAGTCGCTCCCAGATTAGAATGCACGACACCTGGAACGTTTCATAGTGATTAAGTTCGGGATATGGATAGTAAATTAACCTCAACGGCACAGACAAGACAAGGAGGGTATTCATATATGAGTGCCATCGCCAATGACGTGGTTTTCCAACTGTACACGGGTACGGCCTCCGGGTTCCGGAGTCATCACACCGATTGCCATGTATCCTACGAAGAACGACTAGAAGGGATCCTATGTACTTGATATGGGAGATTCATGCATAGCATATTCGAACTGTTCCAGAAGCGACTTGATCAAGGCCGTCATGCAACGGAATCCATCAAGATATCCACTTCCTTCTTGATAATGCAAAACCAACATAATGTTACTATGGCTAGGGCATCTAATCCTCCTCCCCTTCTAAACCTACCAAGACACGTGGGTGCCATGAGTCTCGAATTCCCTTAGGATGGACTTTTACAAACATAGCTATGGTAGATACCTACTTGAGTACCTAGGTAGATAGCGTTCATGTGGGAAGGCTATTACTAATTTATGCCTTGCCGTTCTGTCTTTCTGAAATCGCCCCCAAGTTTAAGCCTTCCCGTACTGCCCAAAGGTTCGCTTCGTACCTAGTCGTCTAGGTTAGATATCTCATCATGTGCCAGCAATTTCCTTAGTTGGCATGTCTATGCTACCGGCCTCAAACATTTGCTTTTATTTCATTTTACATCAGTGCATACCGAGGTAAGAACGATGACCAATATTATACCTAGGTAGGTATAAATGTTTCCCTGCATGATTTGTCATATCCTGACGCCAGCACTTCATCTCCGCACTGTCCGCCGGCAGATGATACTATTCTATTACCTTGATATACCATATTCGTTAAACCACACCGCCGCGCCCTTGTCATCTGGTCCCCTGGGTGAGGTAGGCTCAATCGTTCGTATCACCTTCTTAAAGCTGCCCCGGCCGAGTCCCAATCTGTTGGTTCCCGGACATGCCTTTTATGTCAAATACTACAGAATGAGTCTAGACCTCCGTCGTTCTGCATGTTCGATATGTTCCCGTCTTACTTCAAAGCCAAACGAGGAGCTTCAATGGTTAGATCAATAGACTTTGGATGCAAGGCAGCTCCGTAGATCTATTCCTAAAAGGGTATGTTCATAGTAGGTATTGACATATTGACCGTATTATCCAAGGGAAACGCAGTTGTGGTGTTTACTAGGAACGACATCCTTTCACGGATGGCTCAGGCTAAGGATGACTTCAACCTGTTAAAGACTCGATAACTTCATTTTTATTAGGTAAGTAATTAAGCATAATAAGATAGTTGATGCTGTCATCATAAAGAACTTACGTGGTAAGCTCAGAGTTGTTAGGTAGGTATTGGAAACGGAAAAGGGGTTTCAACTTTCCCGTGATTCTTCCCATTATTCTGATCGACAAGACTACCTAGGTTATGTGCTGCTTTAGCAACCAACAAAGTACAACTCTCGTGTTTATAGTAAAATATCACAAGTTTCACCATCGCTCATTAGTATTGTAACGACAACTCCATAATGCCATCTTATGCCAAAAGTTCATCGGAAACCACAAATGTCATTGGTCCGCCAACCTAGATACCCATATAGGAGTATTCAACTACTCCAGCAGGATTCTTGTAGTTTAAGGGACAAATAGCGTTGCTACGTAACTCGGTAAAAACGGCATGGACAACAACAACGTTCAACAAGAAAGGAAGATAAGTCTTGTTGGGAGTCTAGTTAGGGCTTGTTGCAGGTTAAAACTAATTGATGAAGCCGTTGCGGTTGATTCCGAGTAAACGGCGACAAAGAACCCCTATGCTGTATCGAGATGATTTGGGTAGTATTCTAGTTGGGGGGCGGGATGTGTGCGTGCAAGGTAAAAGGATATTGCCGACACTTCAATCCTACATCCCGCACCGAAAAAAAAAGGTATGCTCGGGGAGCTTAACACGAAAACGGGTCCACGATTTGCAGGAGGGCGCAATTCGCTTCGGGTCATCAACTGCCCGCAACCATCTCATCCCCGCTATCGAAGGTGGAAAGAAAGGACGCCCACCAATGTATGTCAGCTGAACTAAGATCAAAAACTACACGAAGGTTCTCACCTCACCTTTCCTTCATAGATAATAAAATAAATTATCTTGAGCAGGCTGTCTGTCGTCGGGTATGCAGAGATTCACTAATTTCAGGAATCTACCTAGGTGGCTGTCTATCATCTACCGTATTCGGCAGTCAAGAGCTGAAGACCAATTATCATAATACAACGTTGTAGAATGGAGTTAATAGCTGAATCGCCTGCAATAGATTTCGATAGATGACTGATAATGCCTTGCTAAGGATCCGTAACTGCCTGCCCTACCCCGCGAACAATAGCCTAGGTACTATATGGTTTTAGGGGACCTTTGCGGAAAATTATCCGTTCCTTTTGTCCTGATCGTGTAGCGAAATCGTGGGACGAAAAAGCGGGAGGCGTAGTAGAAAGTAGGTACCTTAGCCAATAAGCTGCATCGCGCGTGCGTATAAGCATTTCGGCAGTAATGGACCCCTGGATGGATCAATAAGATGATGGCACTGAGACGCGGCAACGGCGTTCTCAGACGTGTGGCTAACCAAAGTTCTGCTATGCTGGCAAAGAGGATTGCTGTGCCCGGCGATCGACAAATGGGACAAATGAGTAGCACCATGACATAGCAGCGTACTGCCAGACTGCCAGGCTGCGTACCAGTTAGCGGGTTACAGCTACATAGTAGCCACAGCTAGCATCAATGCTAAACACGAGGCGACAGGGCTTCAGGGCTTGCACCAACAGATCTGCCACTAGAGATTGAATGCTACCTCATCTCACCTCAGCTCTGCACTTGATTTGGTGAAGAGGCCCCGCAAAACCGCATTCCCAGTCGTTCTTAGCCCCGCCCACGTACGGGACAGGACAGTGGGATTGTAGGAACAGAAATAACAGAAATAGCCCCGATAAGACCTACCTCTTTATCCCGGAATCCATACGGCAACGTGGGAGAGTTCATTGGTTGCCTTACCCATGCCAGCTTCATCATTCAGCACTTCACATTCTGGCACTTAACGAAGGCTACGGGACTAAGGATGTGGTCGGCGTCCCACTGGAATAGACGGGTACCCAATCAAGGGACCTGCATGTGCTAGTTAGCACGTACCGCTAGGCCGTCTTTTTACGGAAATACCGCTGCCTGACTTGCATAGCGCAATCTTGTTACCAGATCCTACAAGTACGCGAGAGCACTCGTTTCCACCGAACTTTCACCTAGGGCTCCTACGACGCAATCGCGCAGAGCCTTTTCCCATTCCTGCCTCCACAGCGCCGGGATCTTCTGCTTCCTCCTTCTATATTCAGCGCGAGAAAAGTTCCCACGAAGCTTTTTTGGCCCACCACGGGGACCGCGGCCCCTCCCACCACGCGGTTGACAACATGAAACGTGCGTGCAGCGCAGGAACTGTGGCGTTCTATCCCTTTGGCTAGTATTTACTATTTAGCGACGGCTTTATTATAATTAGTGATAATATGTGAAGTTCTATAGAATAGGGTTAGATTGTCAGAGCCGCGCTAGATGCTAGATGGCTTACCTAGTAGTACCTAGCTGCCTATCTGCCGTTACCTACCATACCGGGAATCACCAGTAGCGAACAATGGTCAGGTACCTAGCTACCTTGAGTACCTAGGTACTTAGATAGCTAGAGGCGCGGGTTTATTCTCCGTGTTATGTTGATCATCGAAGAACGATGCTAGTCGGCAAGGAAGTATTGGGAACTACCAGTTTAAGGGATATCAAAAAGGAAACCCCTATCAAATCACATCATCATATTAATGTCCATCAAATTTATACGGCGTCTTTACCGACCTGTGTAAGACGACGGAATATGCACAAGCTATTAATCACGTGATTTAAATCCCGATAGGGGGCCGGCGATCTATTCCTCATGGAATCGCTCACTCGTTCGCTTGCAAAGCTTTGTCAGCGCCGTTAAGGCGCGTAAAAGCCCAGGCACAGTCAGCCATTAGGTAAAGCTGGCAATAACGTCTCCTAGAGGATTGATGGAATTAACGGTCGAGTATTGCACATACCCGAGACGTGAAGGCCGAAATATTCGGTAAGTGGGGATAGATAGACGCAGGGTTGACTAATGGAGGGTTACAGTATGCAATCTCCTTGAGATCAACTTATTCTAGAATAATAACACATGTGCATGAGTTAGAGATGTGTGGCGGGTA